ACATCACTGCCTAATGCATTCCATCTGTGTGTTCTCTGACACTGAAAAAGTTCCTTCTAACGTCCCTGTGGCTCATGTGGGTACTCAGTTTCCACCTGTGTCCCCTTGTGGAAACGCCAGTGTTGAATAGCTTTCCTTGTTTACCCGGTCGATTCCCCTGTCTTCCAGTGTCGTAAGGTGCATTTCCCGCAGCCTTTCCTCATAACTCATGCCTCTTAGTTCTGGGACTAGTCTAGTGGCATACCTTTGGACTTTTTCCAGCTTCGTCTTGTGCTTGACAAGGTACGGGCTCCATGCTGGGGCCGCATACTCCAGGATTGGTCTTACATATACTTACTTACCAGGATTGTTACTTACCGGTGTTGTGTGTGTGTGTGTGTGTGTGTGTGTGTGTGTGTGTGTGTGTGTGTGTGTGTGTGTGTGTGTGTGTGTGTGGCGGAAGCCGTGGTTGGCTACACAGTGGCTTCACAACCGGAGGTTATTATAAAATGTTATTTAGCAATCTGGTGGCGCTTTGAACCTCATAAGCTGCCTAATATATATATATATATACAGACTACGTCGCCATGATCGATGATAGATGTACAGGTTTCGTCACTTACACACAAAGGTAAAAGGTAAAATACACACAAAGGGATGATGTAGCTCAAGTTATTCTGACCCCGTTCAGTACATATATATATATATATATATATATATATATATATATATATATATATATATATATATATATATATATATATATATATATATAACTGAAAACTCACACCCCAGAAGTGACTCGAACCCATACTGCCAGGAGCAACGCAACTGGTATGTACAGGGACGCCTTAATCCGCTTGACCATCACGACCGGACTAAGGAAGTGATAGCCGAAGCTATTTGAACCACTTGTTGTATATAGTCCTGGGGACCATTCAGGCTTGTTTGCATATATATATATATATATATATATATATATATATATATATATATATATATATATATATATATATACATATATATATATATATATATATATATATATATTTATACATACACACACACATGTAGTATGTTACCAGACATACACACACATACTTGTATGACTGGGTACACAGATAATTTGCAATAGACATTCAGACAATTCAACAAAAGGTTATAACCTTGGTGCAAAATTCTTATGCATTTCCAGAGTATCATCAATCTTTCCGTTGTGACACATCCAGGCTATTTGTTCAGGAACAGTCCTTATCTCAGTGTTTCTACATACATTAATCAACGGGTAATCAAGAACATAATGGGCGAGGGTGTGAGACCTTAACATACCACATAGTTTACACTTCGTGTCATTATCATGAACACCTATCCCATATTCCCAGTAATATGTGTACCCAAGCCTGAGCCGCATGTACACAGTCACTCCAAGCATTTCTCCTTTTACCATAAGTGAAATGTTGGAGTTTTGACTCACATACATGTAATGTTGCATGGTTTGACTTCCCTCATACAGTATACTTCTCCTCGCCACTTCTGCCTGTGCCTGAATATGTCTGATTTTGCTTCTTATTTGTCTCAGTGTTAAAACTCATTCAATGTCAACTTGTGGTTTTGATGTGGCACGTTTGGCCAAGTCATCGGCCACCTCGTTGAGCACTCAGCGTCCCCGCGGCCCGGTCCTCGACCAGGGCCTCATTTTTCTTACACACATCCCCAGGAAGCAGCCCGTAGCAGCTGTCTAACTCCTTGGTACCTATTTACTGCTAAGTGAACATGGGCATCATGGTGAAAGAAACTCTGCCCATTTGTTTCCGCCTCCACCGGGGATCGAACCCGGAATCTCTGGACTACGAATCCGAAGCGCTGTCCACTCAGCTTCCTGTCAGGGTGTCAGGAATGCTCCAGCAACGTGGTGCCGTTATCAAAGCGTGTCCGGTGTTGGTGGTAAAACCTTAGTGCAATTATGCAGTTTTTAAATAATTTTGATTGCAAATTCTGTGTCGTAATTGCTTCAGTTAGGCGTCCTTTTACCAATCAGTTTCCGATACAGTATTACTAGACAAGTCCGGTATAATCGAGGCAGGTGTGGGTACACAGCCACGCCCTCACACTGCAGGTGTGGGTACACCGCCACACCCTCACACTGCAGGTGTGGGTACACCGCCACACCCTCACACTGCAGGTGTGGGTACACCGCCACACCCTCACACTGCAGGTGTGGGTACACCGCCACACCCTCACACTGCAGGTGTGGGTACACAGCCACACCCTCACACTGCAGGTGTGGGTACACAGCCACACCCTCACACTGCAGGTCTGGGTACACAGCCACACCCTCACACTACAGGTCTGGGTACACCGCCACACCCTCACACTACAGGTCTGGGTACACAGCCACACCCTCACACTACAGGTGTGGGTACACCGCCACACCCTCACACTGCAGGTCTGGGTACACCGCCACACCCTCACACTGCAGGTCTGGGTACACCGCCACACCCTCACACTACAGGTGTGGGTACACAGCCACACCCTCACACTACAGGTCTGGGTACACAACCACACCCTCACACTACAGGTGTGGGTACACCGCCACACCCTCACACTGCAGGTCTGGGTACACCGCCACACCCTCACACTACAGGTCTGGGTACACAGCCACACCCTCACACTGCAGGTGTGGGTACACCGCCACACCCTCACACTGCAGGTCTGGGTACACAGCCACACCCTCACACTACAGGTCTGGATACACAGCCACACCCTCACACTACAGGTCTGGCTACACAACCACACCCTCACACTACAGGTGTGGGTACACAACCACACCCTCACACTGCAGGTGTGGGCTCATCACACGGCTACCGCCTCAACTCTTGCCGATGGAAGACAAACCTCAGGTTTCATCATAGTTATTTTCCACAACATGTACACTAATGGCTCACAGGACACCAAAACTTTTAAATATAATAAATCGAAGCGAAGATTCCCCGATGGTTGCTGGCAAGTAAGGGGGAGGAGGGATTAGGGGAAGAAGGATAGAGGGAATGCTCTCTAAGGATGCTCTCGGACGCAGGCTCGAATCCTCGTCACGGCCCTTGTGGATTTATTCATTTGATCCATCACGCAATTGTGATTTCTGTGTGTGAGGATAGAGGAAAGCTTGTAGTAGGATTGGGAGATAAGGTAGAGAGGAGAAGAACAAGTTCAGAGTAGTGGGCGAACCGCTTTGGCTTTGTGGGTGCTTCTGATGTTGTGATGTGAGTTGATACATGGGATGTTGATCGCATGTCTTGTGAGTGAGGGAGAGTGAGGGGTTGACTGTGAGGGTGAGTGAGGGCTTGACTGTGAGGGAGAGTGAGGGCTTGACTGTGAGGGAGAGTGAGGGGTTGACTGTGAGGGTGAGTGAGGGCTTGACTGTGAGGGTGAGTGAGGGCTTGACTGTGAGGGTGAGTGAGGGCTTGACTGTGAGGGAGAGTGAGGGCTTGACTGTGAGGGAGAGTGAGGGCTTGACTGTGAGGGAGAGTGAGGGTGAGTGAGGGCTTGACTGTGAGGGAGAGTGAGGGCTTGACTGTGAGGGTGAGTGAGGGCTTGACTGTGAGGGTGAGTGAGGGCTTGACTGTGAGGGAGAGTGAGGGCTTGACTGTGAGGGAGAGTGAGGGCTTGACTGTGAGGGTGAGTGAGGGCTTGACTGTGAGGGAGAGTGAGGGCTTGACTGTGAGGGCTTGACTGTGAGATAGTGAGGGCTTGACTGTGAGGGAGAGTGAGGGCTTGACTGTGAGGGAGAGTGAGGGCTTGACTGTGAGGGAGAGTGAGGGCTTGACTGTGAGGGAGAGTGAGGGCTTGACTGTGAGGGAGAGTGAGGGCTTGACTGTGAGGGAGAGTGAGGGCTTGACTGTGAGGGATAGTGAGGGCTTGACTGTGAGGGAGAGTGAGGGATTGACTGTGAGGGAGAGTGAGGGCTTGACTGTGAGGGAGAGTGAGGGCTTGACTGTGAGGGATAGTGAGGGCTTGACTGTGAGGGATAGTGAGGGCTTGACTGTGAGGGAGAGTGAGGGCTTGACTGTGAGGGAGAGTGAGGGCTTGACTGTGAGGGATAGTGAGGGCTTGACTGTGAGGGAGAGTGAGGGCTTGACTGTGAGGGATAGTGAGGGCTTGACTGTGAGGGAGAGTGAGGGGAACAAGGAGGTGGAGACCAGGCTTTGATATACTACATATCTTTGATCTAGATTATATGCGAGTTAAATAATAATAATAATAATAATAATAATAATAATAATAATAATAATAATAATAATAATAATAATAATAATAATTTGTCAGAAGAGGGCGTTAAGTTAGTACTTAATATGGTACATGGGTCGGCTATGAGGACATAAATTGAACTGGATGTGAGGACAGATTGATGAGTGATGAATATTAAGCCACCCAAAAGGTGGCACGGGCATGAAGGTACTGGGTGCAACAGCGGACCCGTCACGTGTCCTTAGGCCCGCCTGTATGGAGGGCAGGTATTTATTAATTGTTACTGAGGAGTATATGGAGAGCATATTAAATGAACTACACTTAAAACTTCTTCTCATTACTATAATACTGTTCCATAATATGATAAAAGGGATTCGTCATAATACTATTCTTACCTGGCAGGGCAATATTATTTTTATTTATAATATGGTTATTATTTTCCCCAACCACTTGGATAGGTCGGGACAGCAAAGGGCTCACTTCCTGCAGGTCGGCAATTTGATAATCGAATCGAATTTCAATTCCCGACGGTGCAAGTTCCTGGGCACCATTCCTTCCCTCCTGCAAAGCCCTCACATCTCTTAAGAGTGCAATATAATATAGTTGTGCTGGCTTAATTAGTGCTTTGTCCTTATAATTACCTTACCTGATAGTTATTTTTCGTCTTCATGTTCCGTGTAAACAAAAAAATGTTTTTAATCTCGGTATTAACATGTAACTGGTCTCTTGAAACAATACCCAAGCCAGAATTGTAAGGTTTGTTCTTATTTCGGCAGCGGATGCTCGCTCGGTGAGCACCGGGACCCTGAACGCCTTCGTGAGGGCCCTGCAGCTCTCCGAGGTGCAGACAGAGGGTCCCGCCCCTACCAAGCCCCCCACCAGGTTCAGGTTCCAGACCCCGCGACCCAGCAGCAGCAAGTCCTCCTCCCGCATCACTTACATACCTCAGGTAATGTTTAACACGCCACTCCCATCCTCTTCCATAACTCCCCTCTTGACTACTGCCACTCCTCTTGGGTACAGCCAAAGAGGTGTGCTCTCAGGCACTGCCACCCCCCCCCCCTCACAATAAGGTATTGTCACACGTAAAGCCTCTATAACAAACACTGTCTTCTCCCCACCAAACAGGTAATTGCTGAACGATTAAACAACCCCTGGCTCACAAGTGGCATACTTAAAGCATTTAACAAGTAACATGAATATGAAAAAAAAAAACATTAGATTGACAGAGTAACAAAAAAAGTAGTTAGCGGCTGCACATCAATGCTTACCATTATAATAAGAAGTATCTTGTACTACCCACTTCCTCAATATTAGTCCTTCAGACATATATCTTCACCAGTGTAAGCACCTCCGTCAATTTATATTGCAGTTATATGTTGATATAAAAAATTTTTATAATGTACCTTTTCATCTTTCCTGATTTGTTAGATTAAGGACCTGACAAAATGCGTGTTAGTAGCTTAGCAAGAATGTAAAAAACACCAATATTATGTACTCTCACAAACCTAGTGTACTTTCTTGTAAATAAATATATTAATAAATACAAAAATAAATGTACACATGTACAGTATTTGTGCTGAAGTAAATAGATTATACCAGAGTACAGTATGAATTATTATTATACTTCATAGCTGTTGTGTTTTGCTAATTTATCTTGAATAATTATGGGATGTTAAGTGATGCAGTATCATTGGAATACTTCAGGATACAAAGGTCAGAGAACCACAGGCTCAGATTAGTAATATACTGTAGTATAATTAGAATATAGTATAGAGAATGTAGTGTAGTATAAAAACACACTATTTTTTCTGTATATATATATATATATATATATATATATATATATATATATATATATATATATATATATATATATATATATATATATATATATATATATATATATATGGGTCCCCCTTCTTCCAGCCAGAGGTGGTACTCCCTTCCCTATATATATATATATATATGTCGTACCTAGTAGCCAGAACGCACTTCTCAGCCTACTATACAAGGCCCGATTTGCCTAATAAGCCAAGTTTTCATGAATTATTTGTTTTTCGACTACCTAACCTACCTAACCATACCTAACCTAACTTTTTCGGCTACCTAACTTAACCTAACCTATAAAGATAGGTTAGGTTAGGTTAGGTAGGGTTGGTTAGGTTCGGTCGTATATCTACGTTAATTTTAACTCCAATAAAAAAAATGGACCTCATATAGAATGAAATGGGTAGCTTTATCATTTCATAAGAAAAAATTAGAGAAAATATATTACTTCAAGAAAACTTGGCTTATTAGGCAAATCGGGCCATGCATAGTAGGCTGAGAAGTGCGTTCTGGCTACTAGGTACGACATATATATATATATATATATATATATATATATATATATATATATATATATATATATATATATATATATATATATGTCGTACCTAGTAGCCAGAACTCACTTCTCAGCCTACTATGCAAGGCCCGATTTGCCTAATAAGCCAAGTTTTCATGAATTAATATATTTTCTCTAATTTTTTTCTAATGAAATGATAAATCTTCCCTTTTAATTATGTATGAGGTCAATTTTTTTTTATTGGAGTTAAAATTAATGTAGATATATGACCGAACCTAACCAACCCTACCTAACCTCACCTAACCTATCAATATAGTTTTGGTTAGGTTAGGTAGCCGAAAAAGTTAGGTTAGGTTAGGTTAGGTAGGTTAGGTAGTCGAATAACAATTAATTCATGAAAACTTGGCTTATTAGGGAAATCGGGCCTTGCATAGTAGGCTGAGAAGTGAGTTCTGGCTACTAGGTACGACATATATATATATATATATATATATATATATATATATATATATATATATATATATATATAATGTCTATATGTATGTATATATATATATGTATACAGAAGGAATTCCTTCTGAAGATGTATTTAATATACGAAAGTACTTAAGGAAATTCCCGTTTCATTTTCCTCCGTGGTCTGACATTGTCATAATATATAATATATAATACACACACACACACACACACACACACACACACACACACACACACACACACACACACACAGTTGTCGACGGTTGAGAGGCGGGACCAAAGAGCCAGAGCTCAACCCCCGCAAACACAACTAGGTGAGTACAACTAGGTGAGTACACACACACACACACAAGAGTTTTTATATTCTTGTAAAGCCAATAGCCCACATAGTGTTTCAGGCAGGTCCTTAATCTTAATTTTTCCCCGGAATACGACCTGCCAAATTGTGTAACACCCATTCATTGCTGGGTGAACAGAGGCTACAGTTATGGATTAGCAGCCAGTAAATCCTCCCTGGCCAGGATACGAACCCAGGCCAAAGAGCTCGCGAAACACCAAACGAGTGTTTTATCACTGCGCCACGGGGACTGCACTGACTGCTTCGGCTAAGATGTTTATTTAAGATTGATTGTGCAGTCTGAAGTTAACTTTAACACTTTCCACTGGTTATAATAAATGAACTAAACTAAAACACTACTGGTTATTATACACCCTAAGCTCTTTAGACTGTACTCATTATACTAATCTTACTGTATATACTCTCAAAATTCATTATACTCCTAAACTCATTACACCACACTGTATCTTGAGATATGCTGGCCAATATGCTCACTCATTCACAAAGCTGTCTAACCTACACTTGAAACAGTCCAGTGAACAGACAGCCATTATGTTACTTGGCAACTTGGTCCATAAATCAACAACCATGTTTCCAAACCAGTATCCACCCAGGTTCCCCAAAATCCAAATTTCTCCAGTCTGTATCTATGTTTAACTTTGTAGCAGTGTCATTTGCCTAATGTTGCAAGTGTATATGTTTATATTTTGTTTAATTGCTAGTTATTAAATTAATTTTTAATACTGTATGTAATTAATATTCTTTATTTTGTCCAGGACCGTGTGGAGCGCGTCCGACGGCCACTGTTGCCCTTCCCAGGGGCTGCTATCACTCTTCCAGCTACTAGCACCACGACACCTAAAACAAAGATCAGCCCTGCCTTTAATGTTAAATACACCACACCTACACCAAGGACTGCTGTTGATAACACATTTTCCGATGATGCCACAGATGATGATTATTATTACTATGATGATTTATATTATGATTATCAAGATTCAAATGGCACTGAAGAAGGTACTGTTGGTGATCTGGGGCCACTTGACCCACCTTCTCCATCAAGAATTTCTGGCACTCAGCCAGTATACCATAGTTCACAGTCCACCACTGCAAAACCATTTAGGTTTTCTTCAATATCAGATACTGATACAAACCCCACCCGACGACCGTTTGTTCCAGAAAGCCAAAATCGACCTGATAATGGAAATGGTTCTGGTGGTCGATACTCATCCTTGTCTGAACTCATTGCTAAACTAAAGGTTGAAGCTCAGGGTGACCCTGCTCCACCCATTACAAACAGCCTCTCCAACACTAGCAACAACAATCGTGATGCTCGTATTTTGACAGACAATTTTAAACCTACATCCATTACTACAGCCAATCCAGAACCCAGGAGAAATATTGAAGTCCGTATTACAAACTCAACTGAGAGTTCAGTTGTGGTAGCCTCTGTACAAACCTCTCACAGTGTGAGTGTTGGTGAAAACTTCCATCCTACTACTAATCAGCCACCTGTGTCTTCCTCTACTTATTTCTCCTTCATTATAACAACTACCCCACCTCCAGAAACTACTGAGCAGGTTCCAGAAACAACCACTCGTCGATCTCTTTCTGATATATACGAGACTGTTGATGTAGCTCCAGCAATCATTGCAGGCCCATCAACGGCACCATCAGTTGCAAGACCACCTAAACGATTGGATGATTTTTTGACCAATCAAAACAGTGATATAAGTGATGCAGAAAAGAATTTTGATGTGCTAGAAAGACCACTAGTAGCAACTCATACAGACGAAACAAGGCCTCGTATTGAGACTCTTTTTGATATTGAAATTAATACTAAAAATCAAACTGTAACGGCAACTGATGCAAAATTAGACACACTGTTTGATCTCAGCCGAGTAGAGGATATAGCATCCTTTTTGCCACCAGGGTATAAAACAGAGGAGGATCTTGTCAAGGATACAAGCACTATTTCTACTTCTACCCATTCAGTAATTACGCCATCACCTAGTTCAGTAGGACACAATTTGGAAGATTTCTTTGAATTATCTCTAGTTAAAAATACTTCAGCATTCCTTCCTTCAGAGTACAATCCTGCAGAAAAGGAGCCAGTTTCTACCACAGAGACAACCACTTCCACCACAGATTCATCTTTGTTTGATCTCTTTTCTGCTATTCAGACCACAACTGAAAAGTCTACGACAGAAGCTCAAAAGGATGATTTACTTAGCAATATTAAAATAGTAGATGTATCTTCATTCTTACCTTCTGGCTTCAAGCCATCAGATGAACCCTCGGGTGACATCACAACAAAGAAAACCCAAGATATACCAACTGCAGATATTTCTGAATTCATACCCTCAGGATATAGTTCAAAAGAACCTCGGTATGATACTTCAACAACTCTTCCTGAAGTAAAGTCCGTGGATTCCTCTGCCTTCTTGCCGTCAGGTTATACACCATCAGAAGCTCTTACAACTGAGAGCTCAACCAAGAAACTTCCTGAAGTAAAGACAGTAGTGGTAGATCCTGCCTTCTTGCCTCCAGGTTATACACCATCAGAGGCTCTTACAACTGAGAGCTCAACCAAGAAACTTCCTGAAGTAAAGACAGTAGAGGTAGAACCTGCCTTCTTGCCTCCAGGTTATACACCATCAGAAGAATCACCAATTGAAAAGTCAACCAAAAGAGCTCCTGAAATAAAGTCTGTTGATCCCTCTCTCTTCTTACCTCCAGGTTATACTCCATCAGAAGAAACATCACAGAAAAGTCCAATTATAGAAACTGTTGATATTTCTAAATTCTTGCCTCCTGGTTTTAAATTGTATGAGAAACCCGCTGAAGAGCTTGCTGCAGAGAAGATTCCTGTGGTAGAAACCAGTGATATATCAAAATTCTTGCCCCCAGGTTTTAAACTTGATAAACCCACAGAAGAGACCGCTACAGAGAAAAGTTCATTGGTGAAATCAGTTGACATTTCGAATTTGTTGCCGGCTGGATATACACTACCATCTGACAGTGTGTCGACAACTGAACAATCAACCACAAAAGAGCCCACAACGTCAACAACAACAACCACCACCACCACCACCACCACCACACCACCATCAAGCCCTAGAGGTTTAGTATTTCCTCGTCGTCCGAAACTTCCAGCCTACCTAACAACATCAAAGCCTGTGACATCAACAGCCTCTGGTCCACCACCACTGAAAGTCACATTCAAGAATTTATGGGAGAGGTTGGTTAAATTTGTTTCTGTTATCCTTTGAGTCATGAAAATAAGCAACAGTTAATTGTATGCTTTGTTATATTGACTATACTGTATTTCAGATTACAGGTGCTTATAAATTTACTTTATTTGTTATTATATATTAAAAAAACTTTTTCATAATGTTGCTTTACTAATAGATAGTTGGTATTGGTATATATTTTACAATATCTGAATTTAGTCATGGTATATTGAAGCAGAATTACTTATTTTTCTAGTCCCATAGTTCTATACATTATAGTGATTTGTATTGATCTGTGATGTGATGGGATACAGTGTTCATCTATACATGTAACACTTCCATATGTACTGTATTGGGTTTTTCTTCACCTTCATTATTATTAATTATTATTATTATTATTATTATTACAACTATTTTATTCATACAATAGATAACACATTGGAGAAGTTAAAGCAGTTACATAGTGGGTACATCAATTGATGTATAAAGTTACAGACAACTTTTCATGCATAATTAAAAAAATAGTTTATTTTGATTTTAGATTTATTGCGATAACACTTCATAGATTTATTGGCAACACTTGATTTTAAATTTATTGGGATAGTTGGCTGTAATTTCTGGTAGAACATAATTTTTAATTAAATGCTTACATATTTTGTTTCTGAGATTTGTTATAAAAGTTGTTTCTAAAATCATTTAACATTTTACACTTCATCATATAGTGAGGCAAGGTGTGAGAATAACTTTTCTGATAGTTTATATTTGGTCAAATCTACAACAGCAGGTAGTGCAAACTTTCACAGATATGTATAACAGTTTAAGCTGAACAATAGAAACATAAGAATCATAAGAATGTAGGAATCAAGGTAACTGCAGAAGGCTATTGAGCCATACGAGGCAGTTCCTATTTATAACCACTCAAGCTCATTCACATATATGTCTAACCTACGCTTGAAACAACCAAGGGATTCCACCTCTTATTATGTTACGTGGTAATTAGCTTCGCAAATCAACACCCATTACTGAACCACTATTAACCCAGGTCTTTCCTAAATCTAAACTTATCCAACATGATAGAGGTGTACAAGTGCATGAATGGGCATCACAAAGGGGGATATTAATAGGGTATTAAAAGTATCAACACAAAATAGAACATAAAACAATGAGTATAAATTGGATAAGTTTCGATTTAGGAAAGACGTGGGTAAATATAGGTTCGGTAACATGGTTGTTGATTTGTGGAACCAATTACTGCCTAACGTAATAGAAGTAGGATATTGTACCTTGATTGTTTCATAATAAAAGTAGAATCCCTGAATTTAAACTTATCCAATTTGTATCCATTATTAAGTGTTTTATTTTACCTGAACTTATGTAGCACTATTTATTTTTTCCTTTTTGTACCCCCTTTTATCCATCTGTATACTTCTGTCATGTCCTTCCCTTACTCTTAAAGTAGAAATCTTCAGCAAATATTTCAAGCTGTTCTACAAAAGATCTTAAATGTATGAAGGTCACTTCATACATTATATCAGGAGATTGCACTTAGTCATTGTGACTAAACCACACACCAGAAGATGAAGAAATGATGAAGTTTCGGTCCGCCATGGACCATTATCAAGTCGTATCTTGAAAATGTTCCAGGATGGACCAAAATATCATCGTTTCTTCATCTTCTGGTGTGTAGTTTGGTCATCATATCTTCAGACACGTTATTGTGACTCATCATCTGCTCAAAGTTATCCATTCTATCCCACTCCGCTCCCCATCCCCTCAGTTGAAGGGAAACTTCCTACAGTAGAAAGATGTTAGAGTGCAGATAAATAAAACAAAAATCAAAGGTACATGAATAACAAAACTTATTTTTTTGCATCCAGCATAAGAACAACGACCGAGTTTACAGGCTGGAAGACAACTACACAGTCAACGCCAGTTGGTTTTGTTCCTAAAGCTCCAGAGACATCGTCTAGCAGCACATCGTCTACCACTACCACCACAACTACTACCACAACCACCTCTACTACCACAACCACTTCTCGGCCCACAACTCCTGGTATGAACCATCCTCAAAAGGACATTTGCAACTATAATTTAGATTTGTTGAGAAATAAGAATGAATATTTAAAGATTAATAACAAAAAGCTAAATACAATTATCAAAAGAAGTCACCAAGTTAGGGAGACTATGTAGCATCACTAAATACACTGTTTGATGTGCAAAATGAGAGAGAACTAAACAACGGCCAGTGTTTCGGTAGAGATTGAAGAGAACTTCATCCAACACAAATAGTATATTTAAGTGAGATTAATGAATGAAAGGGGCAACAATCTGGGCTGAAGTGAGAAAATTGGTTGAAAAGAAATATGGTTTCACTCATGCTGCCACTTTTTGGCAGCATATTTGGTTAGAATTATTCTATTTATACTGTTTCTTTTACATAACTAAATTAATATGTGGTATCTTAAGCAATGTAATATACTGTACAATGTTAACCTGTTACAGTAAAATTATGCTTACTGGCCACAATTTATGGGCATTGATACACAGTATAATTTTTTTTTAATTATTTTCTTCATTCTTGATTCTTGTTCATTGTAGTAAATAGGATATTTCAGGCTTGTTGGGCATGTGTGAGATATATATATAGTAGGGACAGGCAAATTTTCACATCCACTAATACTGTAGTGTTAAGTTTGTGTTAATGACGCTAGATAACGAAACACTAATTCCTCAACAGGTGTGTGTGGAGCAAAGTGTCGCTTAGCTGCTACACTAAAAATAGTTGACGGGACTGAATGGCGTCCTGAGCTGGCCAACAGGGATACATTGGAGTGGCAAGAACTAGCTAACACAATAGAAATTGAGGTACAGTATTCTTATTTTATTTTTATTTTAAACATTGTGTTATAGGGTACAGTTAACAGTACCCAGCCAGTTTTCTAAGATATTTGAGTTAAAATCAGATTTAAAAATACAGTACAAATTAAGCCTTTATGGAACACACATGGTATACAGTATACAGAAAGCAGAGACATTTATCAGTAAGATGACTCTATACTAAGTTTTTAAATACAAAATTAACACATTAATCAAAATATGTAGATGGCTGGATTTAAAGTGCACCAAGCATCCAGCCAGGTATGAAGGTCTTACCTGGCTTACCTTATGTGGTATCATTTGTAAATCATCTTCACCAGTAGAAACATGTATAATATGATCTGTATTATACCAACCAGTCTTTCATGAGTATTGCGCCTTATTGCGCCTCCACATTGGTGAACACCGGCGTAGCTTACTGGCCGTCCACCAATATTGGGTATCCAAATGTTCTGTATTTTGATCCTTGAGAATAACCAAGTGTTAAAATCTCATATTAATATACAAAACAACATGGTGTGTTGGCAAGTGATGGTGGTGGTGTCAATTGATTTGGAGATACTGTGGGCCCTCACTCAAATGAATCTCGCTATCAAATTCCTTCATGGTCCAAACAGTTTGTGTTCAGTTCAGATTTTGAAGCCATACAGCAAGATTAAACCTGCATGCTTGTACTATATTGTATGGCTTTAATATTTTCTCCTAGATATATGTTCTTGTGATTTGGTTGTGCAAGTCACATTGTTTAACGAATCACAAATGTTTGTAAAGATTGCTCACTGAAGTTGTCGCTGAGAAACCCCCATATTTTCATCTGACCTAATATAAATGTAAACATTTGTAAAGTGCATAAAATCTTTTAAGCAAAGTGAAATAAGACATAATACACAAAATCTACACAACAGTTAAAAGGGAATCATTACTGCACCACATGTAAATACAGTACTTCTAGTCAGTGCCCAAAGTAATTTGTGCTGAATCCAAATCTTTAAAAAATATGTAAAAAACAAAATTTAGGGTAATATTTATACACAATAATACCAAAATATTTAGGCTAAATTTAAAGAATAGATGTGAAATTGTGCCCAACCCACTGTCATTCTATTTTTTCAAGCACCAGAGGTGTTTGGCTGGTGATGCACTAAATTGTTGTTAATTATCACATTATCTGAATAGCATTTTCCATTTTTATTAACAGGATACCCTGTAGCAAGGGTATCATTACGTTATAATGAAAGACGATTTTCAATGTTAAACTGTAATCTATACTTTGGCATATGATAAAACTTGAAAGGCTTTTATAAAAATAGACTTCAGTTAAATAATTATGAATTTTCTCTTCAGTTGGATTCGTTGTATCGTCGCAGTACACTTGCACCATGGTATGAGAGGGTTGAGATTGATGCTTTCAACCCTGGCTCAGTTCTGGTAGACTACATTCTGCACCTGACAGATATCGCGACCACCCTCGACACGACTGACCTTAAAGAGATACTCAACCAGGAGATGGCTGAGAATGAATATTTTTATCTTGGCAACTACACATTGGATCCCAAGGCAACAGACTTCATTGGTAAAGATACTATGGTTCATCTATTTTTGTTTATGTACCACAGTGAACTGTTTTAAAACATCTTGTCTAAACCAACAATATATGGTTTAACTTTAGCAAGATAATCCTGAAATTGTTTGACTTTTGTATTGATTGATAAAATGGTCAATATTGATGCATTACAGCACAGTACTGAAATATTTGGAATGAATTAATCTCCTTATTGAGAGGAATAAGGAGATTAATTATTAATATAAAATGTGACTGGTTTCTAGAACTTATAATAAATCATAGAAATATGACTTGGAGGTTAGTAGAGTGTTACTAGAGTTGCACCCATATGACTCAAAACATGATGGTGTAGAGTTAACTTAGGCAACTCATTTAGTATTTAGTGTAAAGTTAGCTTAGGCAACTCCATTAGTATTTAGTGTAGTTAGCTTAGGGAACTCCTTTAGTATTTAGAATAGAGTTAGCTTAGACATTTCCTTCAGTATTGCTTTAATCAAGCATTCGAGGATTTGTGTACATAGTTACAGCACTACAGTAGGGGAAAGAGTTGGCATTGTGGGAAAGTCACTGAACATATTTAAAACAAATTTTGATGGTTTCATTTTGGCAGCAACAGCTCGCATGTGAGAGTTGACCATGCTGTACTAATAAACAACTCTGTGTTTGCGCAGTGAAGGGCATAAAATCCTGCAGAACACAACTATGACCAGTGCTCAACTAGTTCTTTATAATATCAGCCACTTGAGGGACATACTTCACATTTTACAAAGTGCTTTCAAAAGATTCACTTTAAATGCAAACATTATCACAAGTAAATTTTATTTATTTATGTATATACAAGAAGGTACAATGAGTTGTGAGAGTACATATGCTGGTGATTAAGTGATATATTCATGTACAACCACTAACACGCATAGCATTTCAGGCAGACCCTTGAGCCAACAAATAATTGTAATAATAGGTACATTATAACAGAATTTGGGTTCACATAATTACTACCTTGGCATAAAGTGATAAAAAGGTATAGTGATGAAGTTACATGTCTAGAGTGTACTGTACTATACTAAGGTTCTACAATCTTTGGCATAATATAATTAATTAATTTTCTTGTTATTATGCTGCTTCAGTGACGTTGTTTTGTGAGTATCATATTAATAATATTTCATTTGTAATATATAACAAAACTTTTTGTTCTGATTTCAATCATTTTATAGATACAGTGTAATTATTTTTAAATCTTACTTTTTCTTTCTTTTTTCTTTCTTTTTTCTCTCAACTTGACAGGATGGAAGTGGCATATTTGATCAGAATTGTGTTTATAATTATAGTACCATTATCCTGCACACTGCAGCAGTTGTTGCCATAGCTGGCAGCTCACCGTCACTCCTCACACCTCGACATTTGAGAAATTAAATTAAAAATTACAAGCAAAGCAACTTAAGCAAAATTAGAGTACAAAAGCACATGTAATATTTATTAATGAGGCCATTTGTGCTTCTGTGCGCCAGTTTATTTTGTTAAACCATATCTACAAAGGAGAATGCCTGTTTGTTTGTTCGAGGCGGGAGGCCAGGTGCCTGGGACTAGCATCACTAAACTTTGAAGGGTGATTGATCTGTGTCTGGGAAAAGACATAGACAGGTCAGAAAGCCCCATGCCTTCCTTTTATATGAAATGGCAAATCATGCTAATTTCCAATCTCAATAAATCAAGTAATTTTCAGTGTTATTAAATAAGACTCCATCCTCAATATGATTACAGGGATGAACAGAAAGTGAAGAAGAGTAGAGAACGTGAAGGGTATGGAAGTTGGAGGATAAAGATGGTGGTAATGGGCAGGAAGGGTGGTAAAGAATAGGAAAGGTGTTGAAAGGAAAGATAGGTGCCAAATGAGAGAGATGGTGTGTAGTTAAGATGGCTGCAGTGATGAAGATAGCAAGTAGTGAAGATGGATACAGGGAAGGGAACTATAAGGAGAAAGTTATATTCAGGGCATTGTCTCCTGTAAACGAGGGTATAACCCAAGGGTTATACCCTTGGTATATTCATTTTACTTTCAAATAAAAAATTCAAATGTTTATTCAAGTAAAGTACATACATACAAGGGGTGATACAAATATTGATGAATTTATAGATAGAGCTAGTACATACAATGCCTAAAGCCACTATTACGCAAAGCGTTTCGGGCAGGAAAAACACTAAAGACTAAAACTTAATACTAATTGAGATTAAAGAATAAAATGTGTTAGAGAAAATATAAAAATAAAAAAGTGCGGGAACATGGCAGAAAAACAGCAAATATACAATTTGGTCAACAAACAGCATTATTTAAAAATAACAGACATGGGTTGACATTATAGGGGTAAGGTAGGTTACAGGGGAGTTAATTAGGTAGTGCTTAGTTTTTATCTTAAACTGGTTGAGAAAGGTACAGTCTTTAACATGATTGGGAAGGTCAATCCACATTCTGGGTCCCTTGATTTGTAGAGCATTTCTAGTTTGATTAAGTCGTACTCTTGGAATATCAAAAAGGTATTTGTTTCTGGTGTGCTGCTCATGGGTTCTGTTACAACCTTCAATGAAGCTTTTAAGGTCAGGATTGGCATTACAGTTCAGCGTTTTATGTATATATAATACACAAGAGAGGATGTGCAGTGACTTAATATCTAACATATTCAAAGATTTGAGTAGGGGTACCGAGTGATGTCTGGGGCCAGAGTTAGATATTGTCCTAATAGCAGCTTTGTGTTGAGTAATTAGAGGACGTAAATGATTTTGGGTAGTAGAACCCCAAGCACAAATACCACAGTTGAGATAAGGATAGATGAGGGAGTAATAGAGTGTCTACTTATAATGTATAATTTATACATTATAAATGTATAAATAATTTATACATTATCAGCCTATAATGTACTTAATGTTTCATGCAGAACAAAAGATCAGGTGCAATAATATTTTAGTACTGTACTGTATTGCTATTTTTTATGTATCAAAACATAAGCTGAATTCTTTATTATATAGAAACCTGTAGTTATAGTTAGTTTAGAAGCAATTATCTTTTATTAATTTTATTTACCATAGTTAATACAAATTGCATTGTTTGCTTTTAAATAATGCTTCATTTTAGTTCCCAGAATGATTGATTTATTAGCCTGATTATGTTATCCTCTGTACTCAACTTCACTTTATATTTCATCATATTTAAATATGAGTTGACCCCCATATTTAATGAGGTCAACTTGAGCTGACCTCAGCATGAAACACTTTTGCATATTAGTGGCTTTATTTATTTTACATTGTGTGTCCACACACATGCTTCACTGTATCATTTGAAATGAATTTTGCACTGATAAAAATAATTATTTCCTTACATTATTATGTACTTTTGTTATTACAGTTATGCATGAACGAGCACGTATCCTCCACGAAGAACAGGATGATTATCTGATTCCTCAGTGGCTCATTGCTGTTATTGTCATTGGACTCGCCTCTCTTCTCTTCATCCTTATATTTGGAATAACTGTGGTGAGTATATACTTCTTCACACAGTCTCGGTCAGCTTGCACATACTAAAAGGAAGTGGAGGCATCATCTTTGTATGTGACAGCCAGAGTACCGTACTGATTCTCTTAGCAGTATGTATTTTAGGCATTCTGTGGTACTGAAAAAAAAGAAGAAATCTGCATGTAGAACCTAAATTTGAATAGTAAAGACTACAGTAAATAGAATATTTAAAAATATACCTAACATAATATGGGAATCTGTTCTATGGTTCTTCATATTGCTGCTTAACTTACATTTTAATTTTAGATAATGAATGTAACCCTAGTTGATATCCTTCTTAGTCATGCATGCCAGGTCTTTTTTACTTCAATATATAATTCTTGCTCTTGCACATAACTTATTTCTTTGCATGGAATATATAATTTTATTATTTTTCTTATTTATACTTATAACTTTCAAGATTACTCAGAACTTCCATTTTTCCACCTGGCTTTGATGTCCTTTACCAGTGTTGTAAACATTTATACACCACTACCACCACCTAATTCAAACTGTCTTGGTCACTATCTCTTGCATGTTCTTCGCCAGTATGTGAACCGCACGTGTTGCAACGTTATCAAGCCGAACAACGTTCCACTGACCGAAGAGATGCTCAACGACTGTCCTGTGGGTTATATTTTCAAATCATATATTTTGCTGATTCATTCCTTGTCTAATTTCATCCATATCTTCCTTTATGTTAAAGACCAGTTCTTTTATCTTCTACATCTGACCTCCTGTACGTTTAACTATAAGCATCACTCTAAAAATGCAATTATCATTTACATTTTACTTAAAAGATGTATACATAGCAAGTGTTTAAGAATGTAACACATGGTCTTACTTTTTACAGCTTGTGAATCGGGCTCGTGTTAAGAAGCGGCATGATGTTCCTCTTACTGCTGAAATGCTCAATGAGCTCAATAAGGCTCACTTGGCAGGTGTTGACAATTATGCCATGGATGGACTGTATGACATGGATGCTATATGGAATGAGAAAATCAATGACAGAAGAGCAATGAAGGTATGACTTTTTCTTTATGAATCAATAAGTTTAGTTCAATATTTAATCATAAAGAATAAATGACAATAACAAGTATTACATGCAAGAAAAAATCCAGTGTTAAATGTACAGTAATGAAAAATCTTTTTCTAATAGAGCCTCAGTAGCTCTGTCGTGTTCAGGTTCTAGTATAGCTAATCCATAGGATCATGCCAGGTCTCTGACACTCATCCTGACCTGTTAAGCATACTTTTGCATATTTAAAAACAAAATGCATTATATATACACATTCATTTTAAAATGTAAATATGAAGTTATTAAAACATCTAATGGAACATAACTTTGTACTTGGCTACTTAAAGGCCTAATTTTATCTTGTGAATTGCCTCACGAAACTCCTCAGAATTTCAGCCACTGAGCATTTTTATCTCATTTTTCTGATCCAGAAACAGTACTGATACAAGCACCACACACCTAAGGTAGACTCCTCATTTATAAACCATGATCATTTATTTATATTAATGTAGCATATTTTGTTCATATTTAGATTATCATCGTCCTCCTATCTGGTCTAAGCAGACTTCTGCTAGCAGACAGTTTTTCTATTCTAATTTCCAAGCAAACTCTGCACAAGTAGCACATCAAGTTATCTTTAGGGCCTGGATATGTTCATGACCATTGCCTACTGGCAGCTCCTCACTTCCAATCTTTAACACTATTTAACATCAGTTTAGCCTGTATACATTTTATATAACTCTTCTTATTCCTATATGATCTAATTAATCTTTGTGGCAGAAATTTATTTTACTCAAATTAAGCGGTATTATTTTTTCCAGCCACCATCCAGCCGTGGGAAAGGATACAATCCTAATTATAACATCAACATTTATGACTCTTGGCGTACTGACTGGTCTGGTCCCTATGGTTCCTCTGCTACATATGCTAAACGCCGTCCAGACACTAACTTCTGACATGAGGATTCTCAAGAGGAAGACATTGAGGACTTCTAGATTGGAGCACCTTCTGGAGTCCTGAGGCAGTATGTACCGATGATTTGAGAGTTGCTCTTGAGGCAACATATAACCCACAACTTGGTTAGTGATGACCAAGTGTTTGCTATTTGCTCTTTAGAACAATTGAGGCTGATCTTTCTGAGTCTCAAACTAATGAGTGACTGCTGGGTGTATCTACATAAATCCTTAGGACCCAGATCTCAGACAACATCGTACTGATGATGTTGACTGATGGCCTCCAGTAGGGCTTAAACACAACCTCTGTGCCTCCATTCAGGAAACATTTTTATACAGCTGTTAAGTTTAAAAAAGTCTATAATTTTTGATGACTTGTGGAGAGAGGATGATAGTCCTACTAAATCTAGCAAGCCTTGATTGATCGTGTTCACTGCTTTGACTATATACCATGGTTTACCTTCCTGATCTTGAAACTACATCATCCACATCTAGGTTATGATTGTGCATTTACAAATTTGTTGAAGCACAAATTAAAAAAAAATCCACTCAAGCTTTAATTCTCCAGCATTTTTTCAAATTGTTGCTCTGTGCCTCTTAATAATTCGAAGAACTACTTCATCTCATTAAATAAACACTTTCCTGGTACAAATATTAAATTTTGTATAACCTGTCCTACCCTTGTTAAACTCCTGGCGAACACGGTCTTGTCTCCCTTTGAGATTCGGCTCTGTTGTATCTGCACTTTTTGAAGTGAAGAAGTTTTCAGTGGTTAACTTTCTATAAAAAAAATAATTTGATAATAGGATTACCATTTATAAAAAAGTCCTTATAAATTTTCTAAAAAATGTGAATATCATGTAAATATAAACACTAATAACCATACAGTATTGTACACATCTGTATGACTGTACAGTACATTACTACAGAGCTGAAGTTTTTGTAGTAAATTCTTTATGGAATTTATAAAGGATCTAACTTTTAGCTTTACAGTCCTTTTAAATAAATGAAACAAATTACAAGAGCCTATAAAAATTGTACAGTATATATTAAATAGCGGGGTTTTATAAATTTTATATAAAATACAGTGCTACATTTGCAGGTTTTATTGAATGAGCTTTAATTTGTAATATTCTGTTAGATCGTATGTATATATACAAACCGCAATGTGGCCATTCCTGAAGCAATGAAATTCGATTTTCTCATAAAACAAACTGTTGTTGAACTGTGATACATTTTTAAACTAAGACAGTTTATTTTTTATTTAAGTCCATCCCTTCATTATGTAAAATACTATTCTTACCGGTAGACTAATGCTGCCAAGGACAGTTGCAATTTATATGTATGAATGTATACTAAAATAAATTTGTTAAGGCCTAGAATTGGCTTGGTTAATGTCATTTATGTTGTGGAAGCATGCAAGCCAGGTGTCATTATGAAGAGCTAATCAGTTAAGACAATGGTCACAAGTTCAGTCTTCACTGACCTATCTTGTTGTTATTGTAGAGCTACAAAACAGGTGCATTGTTTCATTATTACACTTCATTAAACATAAGTCTTGTGTTCCATTAAGTTCAGAATATTAGCAGATACATGTCTGCTAGGCAGACGAGACTAGATTTTGGTACTCCTATAGCATTTAGCCAAACACTTCATGTATAGATTACTAATAATATTTATAAATGTAAATTTTTATATTTAGTGGCATTCATTATTCATGTACTGAATGTTTGTGTAAATGTGGCAAGATGTATGATGATAACTGTCTGTGGTTACTCATTATTTAAGACAGTGAATGTTGGCAAGTGAACAACACGGCTCCACAATATTTGACCTGTTTTGGTGAACCTGTGGACCAGCTCTTATTGCTCTCTTGTATATAATATAATGCTATAATGCCTCTCTATGATGTGATATGGATAAGTCAAAACTGTTGCATATATTATAAATTTATATTTTATTAAAAAAGGAAAGGATTTTTCACCTAATCAACAACTATTTATAATAAACAATTAAAATTTAAAAATATTGTTTTATAATTTCTATTTAATATTATACTGTTAATAAAGTACAGTGAGGCTCCAAAAATCAACAAAGAAATACATATCCCAAAATAATAGAGTAATCAAAATTTACTGTACATTATCCATAGTCTGGCACTCGGTGTTCTGTTTGTAACCATGTACTCACCTAGTTGTGCTTGCGGGGGTTGAGCTCTGGCTCTTTGGTCCCGCCTCTCAACTGTCAATCAACAGTGTGTTTTGTCACTTATGTGTGCTCATACGCCAACTCTTGACCCATTTCCAGAAGTGCTCAAGCAACCACTTGGACTGGTCAGTAGAGCAACAGCCCTGCTTCTTGCAGGGTTGGTGTTCAATTTCCAGTGGTCTATGTGATTACAGTAATATTATAAAAAAGATTGTTGTGGGGTAAAGCACTCAGCATTATAATTTATATCCGAGCATCTTGTCTGGAGCTAGTAAGAAAGCTTCATTTTGGACAAAGCCAGCATCCTATACCTCTGGTCTTTTCAATTATTTTTCATCTTTGATCTTATGTTAAAATAATTGACACCCTGTATTTTCAGAATGTCTAGTCTGTTTAGACTAGACATGTCTAGTCTGAGTGGATGTGTGAATGTATTGCTGAATCCTGTCAGTCTTACAGAAATTTTGTATTTACTTGCATGAAATACTCTCTTGTTTTAAGAGCATCAGCGAACAGGATATCATCTATCGGTAATTAAATCTTCAGTTTCAGCTATGTAATAATGTAATATGTTGGATATGTCATAAATGTACTTTTAGGCTACTAACTGGATAATTTAGTTGGCATATTTTTCCATCAATAGTATGATAAATCCTTCATTATCTTAGTTAATTATTCAGGGTATTTAACATGTAGATAGTATTTATACTATATATTTTTTATGTATAAGTTACAAAATATCTAAATTTTATTTTCTGAAATAGATGCATTTAACTAACATGAAAAATACACACTGTCCTTTTTGTATATTGTGGTGATAATCCAAAGACCTAAAATCCATCACCTGGCTGATATTTTTTGGTTGCCTCTCAGAGCTTTTCATTTCTGTAGGACTGATAGTCTGTACATTTGTAATATAGCTGGTTTATACATTTTGTACTGCCTGTCAAATGGGTAGTTTCATGGGGCCAAGGTTTCTTAATAAAACACTTATTATCTTAATGTTTTTGATTATCCTTGGAAAACTTGCTGATTTACACTTGACAGATCAAACTTAAACTCTACAACCCTGATTTTCCTGCTACTGAATGTCTTAATATGATGACTTCCAATCTATATATCTCCTGTAAGATCTACTTATTAAATACTTTATTATGCTAAAAGAATATTTTCTTACATTTATGTGGACTATCTCTAGCTTCAACCCATGTACTCTCATTCTGTTGTTATTCAAAGTAAACATTTCCTTTTCCACCATGTCAATTTCCATTAAATATTTTCTCTTATGTCTCCACTCACTCCTTTCTGGGGAAAGCTATCTTCATGCAAATGGGTCATATCAGACATAGGAGTTTTGTTTTTTCCTACTGGGGACATGAGCCAAAACCTGGCCCCCCCTCACAGAGGCGTAGGGAGCTAGTGAGAATCTGCCATTACATAGTGAGCCAACAAGAAGTTACAGCCTTGCTCCTGTGCCAGGTAAGTTCACAATGGGCTCATCATAGCCCGTGCTACTTGGAACTTTTTGTTCCGAGTAGCTGAATCTAAAACAACAACAACATGCCATTACACCGGGAAAGCATCCAGAAAGTCAGTGAAACTTTACAGATATGTTGATGGTTAACAAAGACTAAAACCTCAAAATTGCCAAATTACTCTACAAACAATTCACTCAGAACAGGAGAAACATTAAAAATTAGCGTGAAACATAATACCGAATAACACCACTAGGCAGCCTGGTTTCCTCATGCAGTCATATTGCTAGTCAGTCTTTTTGCTGGTGTCTTGTGGGACACCTACTTTGGATATTTTAAACATGGTAAGCCCTCCATGCTCCAGGCTAAATGCTGGTAATCTTTGGACTAGTTCTGTAAGGGTCATTTGCTTGGTACTCTGTTATTATTTACTGTACAGTATTTATTTTTATAAATATAAATATGAATACAAATATGATTAGAACAGAGTATAAATCTAACACACACACACAGACGGTTGGAACAAGTTAGGTGAGAAGGTGGTGGAGGCCAAAACCGTCTAGTAGTTTCAAAGCGTTATATGACAAAGAGTGCTGGGTAGACGGGACACCATGAGCGTAGCTCTCATCCTGTAACTACACTTAGGTAATTACACACACACACACACATATATATTGTGTGTGTGTCACAATTGTGTGCACAATTGAGAGGCAGGACCAAAGAGCCGGAGCTCAACCCCCGCAAGCACAAATAGGTGAGTACACACACACTCACAAAAGGTACATTGGGTTTATGGGAGTACAGTACATAGCATTGATGTTTTTACATTCTTGCAAAGCCACTAACACGTATAGTATTTCGTGCAGGTCCTTAATCTAACATAATTTTAAGTAATTTGTAGCAAAAATTTGAAGAATATTAATAAGTACAGTGTAAGAAAATTTGAAGAATATTAATTGGTACAGTGTAAGAAAATTTGAAGAATATTAATAGGTACATTGTAGTAAAATTTGAGGATTATCAACAGGTACATTGTAGCATAATTTGAGGATTATTAATAGGTACATTGTAGTAAAATCTGCATTCTACATAATAATTATGATATTAGTTGATAGCAATGATTACAGGGGTGAAGTTGCATGACTTTGGTACATATATTGGGGAAGTGGGTAACACGAGATACAGTGCGAGTATGAAGCGCTAGGTAGGAAAATGAGGATGTAATTAGGTACAGTACTTTCCGAGGAGAGCCCTATCGGCTTCCTGAAGCTATCAAATTGATGTGCCATATTAGTTTGGTTCCATCAGTCCTTGGAGAGAGTTCCTACCAGGGGGCCCCGAGCCAGAACCTGGCCTCCCCAGAGAGCCACAGGAAGCAATGGCCATATAAACTCTCCACATTTAGAGTTTGTCATGTCTGCCATCAACCAGGGATACCGCCAGAAAGGTAGGTGAACCACTATAAACTCACTCACGATTATACTGGTTACAATTGTAAGTTACGTCTGAACAGAGCCAAAGAACTCCTCCCATTAGAAAAACAATGAAACAAGCAACACGTCAAATTCAAGTACGTTTATTGAGACAAGAAAATACATCTCAAAGGGATAAAGTAGCTTAGGCTATTTCTACCCCTCTCTAATCAGCAACACGTAATCCAACTAGTGCGCCCGCTTGTTAGCGCCTCACCCTCCCCCCGACAGGGGTAGAAAGGGACCCTGCTCAGGCGCGCAGGCCTCACCACCCTTATTTAGTTCGTCAACTGATGTGCCGGTGTCGGAAGTCCTCTCTGGCCTCAAGTTTGTGTCTGGCTTTGCATTTGTGACTTTGCCGGCTGTGTTGTGGCCAAATGTTCCTACAAGTCTACTGGGCTGCATGTGCCTATAGGCTTCCTTCCCTAGCTGCTCGGTAAGTACTTCCCTTGCGATTCAGGGTTATTTTCTCTGGGTTATTCGGGTCTCACTCCTGTTTGAGGCCTTAATCGCTTGGTGTTGTTCTCGCTCTTGGGGTTCGCTGGGGGGTGTTGGGTTCCCATCTTGCCCTGGGTAGCAGGTGGGCTTGTTCTGGGTGGGGCGCGCTGCGGCCGGCGCTGCTTGCATTTGCAGCAAGTATAAGGTTTACTTGCTACACATTCTTCTTGATACTAGATGCAGTTTGCATGAAGGGTTTGTCCTCGATAACTACACCAGTACAGATGTTTGGAGACGCGTTTATGTTGAGGATAAGAGTTTCAAAAGTGCTTGTTGCGTTGTGCTGTAGATAGAGGAGAGGCGACAAGAGGTGTATCTTAGAGGGAGACTGGCCGCACCGAAGGGCGGTATGTTGTGTTTATGGCGTCAGGAGATCCTTGGTGTTGCGACGGGGCAGTTGTTTTCTGTGGTTAGCTGTTGTGGCGCCGGGTTTAAGTGTGGCACGGGTATTGATTCTTGCATTCAGCGGCGGCCAAGGTTTCTCTCTGGGGACCGGTTAGTCTGTGTGTGGGGGTAGAAATAGCCTAAGCTACTCTATCCCTTTGAGGTGTATTTTTTTCTTGTCTCGATAAACATACTTGGACTTGTTGCTTCGAGGTTCTTTTTGTTTATTTTTAGCGCATTCTTGCTGTCTTAGCGGAGGTCTGCCTAGCTTCCCATTAGGTTCACCTAGGATGTGTTTGATAGTGCTCCTTTGTTGCCCCGAGGTTTAACGGCGACGCCGATTGCCAGTTTGCCTACAGCAGACAGGGCTTACCGGCTTAGCTGGCCCCAGGGCCTGGGCTTCCCGAAGGGGTTACGTACCCCTACAGGTCCTGGAAATCGGGATTCTGTCGATCTGCTGAAAGAAGCAGAGCTGCATCAATGCTATGTACTCTCATAAACCCAATGTATGTAAATCCTGAGCCCATTATGTGCCTCTGTAACCCTTTCCACCATATCTTGCTCTGGTTCAGCTATATCTTGTTCTGGTTAGGCCCCATTTAGATTATGCAGTTCAGTTTTGGTCGCCGTATTATAGATTGGATAAGCCAAATCGATAAGCCACTAGCACGCATAGCTTTGCTATGCGTGCTAGTGGCTTTACAAGAATGTAAAATCTTCATTGCTATGTACTATAATAATAATAATAATAATAATAATAATAATAAATAAAATATTATCATTTACTCTCTTAACCCCCAATGTACCTTCTTGTATATAAATAAATAACGTAACCTAACCTAACCAATCCTATTATGACCAAAAATAAAGTAATGTTTTCTTTGCACAGGTGAGAGTTCCACTTGGCTGATATATAAAGCGACTCTCAGTGTGCAGGCGTCACTCTCCGCTCGGCCTCAGGTAGGTCTGGGGCTCCTCCCTCCATCACAGTGTAAACATCACATTATTGTCGCCATTTTGGGCGGCAATCGTCCTCGCCAAATCTAAATTTGTTAAACATAGCCCAAAGAGCCTTACTTTTAACCCAATTATAACATAGATCTTGTACCTCATTAATAATGACCAATCTGTGCCAGCATAGGGTTATGCTCAGGGCTTGGTACTAAGCTGTTATCTTGTACAACTAGCAGCCCGTGTGGGTTAGCCATCTGTTGCTCACACACGACGAGCGCCTTCAGTTTATGTTGGACCCTTAGACTGATTTGATTGTAGCCGCCGGAGGCGGCTAGTTTATTGTGCACCCCATACTCATTCTGTGAGCTGTAGCGCAAAAAAGCATTACAGAGGGCACAAAAGGTCTTTATCAGACCTCATCTTAGATTATTACATAAACAATTTCATCTATACTTCACACCTTATAGTTACATGTCAGCTAATTACAGGGAATGTTCTATTTCAAGAGCTATATATTTACAGTAAGTTATTATACATTAATGGTAGGTCTTATCGCTACTACATAATTGTTTGACCAATTGAGATATTAGTCATTGGGGAGCTGCTGTTTATTATTAATCTTCATAATACACTACTTGTTTCTTAATCTCATATGTCGTTTGTCTACTGGAAGCGAAATGTGGATACAGTGCAAGGATTTCAGGTATTTTATCCTTGGTAATAAGATAGGTTGCCATATCATACAGAGTGAGCTTAGATTTATCTCTAAATGGCTAAATTTTACTACAATCCAAGATATAGTGTTCGAGTGTGTGTCCCTGTCTTTGTCCACACATTTTACTTCATCTAGATCCCTATACAAGCCGAACTGCCAGAGATACTTGTAGCCAAGTCTTATACGAGCTGTGACAACATCTGTTAGTCTACTTACTTCGTTACTTGCCCCATACACATGTTTTACTTCACACATTTCATTGTAATGAACAATGAACCTGCTAGTTCCATTTTGCACTGTTCTACTTTCCTCATATCCATCCAGGAGTTCTCATCTAATGACACTTTTAAGGGACCTATTTGATAACTCAAGATTCCGATCAATACTGTATTTACTGCAGCCTTAGCAAGGACGTCAACTTTGTCATGTTCCTGCAGGCCAATGTGAGAAGGAATCCACAACATTTTTATATTTACCCTCTTGCTAAGTATTCTTTATCTATTTCTGGCTTCTGAGACAGCACGTTATTCTCTGATAGACTATCATGCACCAGCTTTAGTCCTGCAAAATGGCAAAGGTATTGATAGACTGGAAAAAATGTAAAATGAAGCACTCGGAATTATACTTGGCTGTCCTATAACTACCAAAGTTCTTAATATGCGGAAAGAATTAAATATACTTAGCATTCGAGATAGAATATTTGAAATCAATCTTATGATGGGACTAAAGCGTGATAACAAAAACAACATTGTGTCAGTTGAACTGTACTAAAACACATACGAAATGGAACCAGCGAGTCTAAATGGAATCAAAGAACAGCCACTCATATTAAAATGATGGGACTGCACGATGTATACACAGATGAAAGATGTAGTTCTTTTGTTGTACCTTTTGACATCCTGACCCCTGCATACCCAACCAAGAAACTAATCACAAACAATCCTCATGCTCAGCTTGCTGCTAAATTAAGCACCATAGAACACATTCACAATATACAAGCTGGAAACAACATAACACAGACCATATACACTGACGGATCACTCAATACAGCTACAGGGAGGGCAGGAAGTGCTGTTATTGCTCATTATCACGATGGCAGCACAATTCAAAGGAATATAAGAATTAGTATCCTTAGACTGTTACACTCCTCCGGAGGTTATTTTATCTGGAGGTTACACTCGTTTCCAGTATACACACTGGAGTGCATCACCAGCCCTTAGTGAGGCCTGGTGGTGCAGCCCTCAGTATGAGGCTTGGTTTGTCCACACATCCTGTGAGTGGACACACCGCCATAGCAGCATGTACAACACTTCCCAATAGGAAGAAAACTCGCTGGGTTATTCATCCTGTCACTTGTACCCAGACACAGCTGGGACTTGCTTAACTGTCTCAAGTGAACAGCTTCTCAAACAAGATTAACATGTGTCAACCCTTAAAAGCTTACGTTATCTTGCGGGTGTAAAATGGGGGAATCTTTTTAAGAACAGTATCTATATTTGACAAATAGTGTTTTCCTAACTCAAACAATGTGGGGTTTATTATTCTACACACATTTCTAGTGTCTCTCAGGTGTTCACATTCTCTCAGGTAGTGGTCAAGGCGGTGTCCGTCACTCTCACCGCAGATTCTGCATCTCCTCTGCTCAGTTGTTTAGGCTAAAATGTGTTTTTTCCTCAGGGAGACAATAGGGAAGATGATGGCTGGGAGCTGGTTGGGAAGAGTGGTGGTGTGCGCCAGCTTGTGGTCACGTGTGGCCGCTCACACCACCTTCGCAGCCAATACTTCCTGGGCCCTCTCCAACCCCAACAGTAGTAAGCTACAGTTCTATTGCAAACGTAAACTATGACAAGCATGCTAATTGAGTGTGTATATATTTCGCTGCTCAGAATTAACAGTAGGCCCAATGAAGCGGAACTAGTTTCGGAACTGTTAAATAATAGTATAATAATAATAATAATAATAATAATAATAATAATTTTATTTAGGTAAGGTACATACATAAAGAGATTTTACAAAGTTTGTTGGCTTATCTTGTTATTATTATCTTGTTCGCTATACATAAATGCCAAGTGTATGCCTTAACATCTGAAGATACTCCATGTCACATTATTAAACATTTCCGTATTTATTGAGGCTTCTGTCGGCAAGGCTGCAAGCCTAGCTATTAATTGTCGAGGAGGACATTCTCATCGTCTGGGTGACAGAATGGTTTAGTGTCCCAAAATGGGTACAGTTACATTGTACCCATATAAAATGTAATTTACATTGAGCTAGTTCATTGTCATACTTATCTGCCTATCATGCACCTAGCTCATCCTGTGAGCAAACGTGGATACTTCGCCATGCTTTCTAGCATGGCAATTCAAAATATTAATTTTGAATTGCTAAAAAAGTAGCTCAGAATTCCTGTTTTCCTGGTAATTCCATTACATAGTGATGCAATGGCTTTGCTGACAGTCTACATTTGGTCACGTCTACATCATCAGGTGACACAAGCTCCAAGAGATGCGTAATGCACACAGAATCAGAAACAATATTTATAACTTATACAAACTGTTATAATCATGGCTGGAGTGAACAGGTGTAGAGCAGTGTAAAGCAAGCTTATTTTTTGAGACAATAACAATTAGCTCACACTGTGTTTGGTGATATGGTTGGTAGAATAGTGTGCAGCACTAATCTCTGGTGAGAAAATCAGGATGAGCCATCAGGAGGATTCGAACCCGTTCACTTGGTACTCCCAAGCTAGTCTGGTTGACTTTATTCGATGATCTATATACAAATGGTTCTTTTCACATGTAATATGATAGATGTAATAGCTATTGTATCTATCACCTTGTCGCCGAGCTATTATCCTCAAGCTGCTTATAGGTAGTCCAAGGTTATGGTCAACTTTTTGGCTAGCCAGGTACCACGAGGAAGAATAAATGGACTCTGTTACCATCATTAGTCATTTGTGTGTGTATTCATACATAAGCATGTTACCGGAATTTACCAGAGGACCACTAACACTCCATTGGCCTCGATGAGGACAGTAAGCCGGCTGATTATCGAAAGTCCCCCTATTTGCTTTTGTTCTTTTCCAGGTATATTTTAAAACTCGGCACAGTTTTGGATTTTACGGCTTCAGCGGGTAGGCAGTTCCATGGGTTTTCACCCTTGTGGGTGAAAAAGCATCTCTTGTTCTCAGTCCTACATTGTGGCTTGTTGAGATGAAACTGTTGCTCGTTGTGTTACATCTGACATTCTGAAGAAAATATCAGAATCAACATCCTCTAATTTGTTCAGTATTTTAAGTTTCAATGAGATCCGCCCTGTCATGCCTGGTTTGTATTGTTGTTAGCCCTGTGGCCTTCAAGCCTTCCTGATAGGAGAGATGACTCGGCTTTAGAATGACTTTTGTTGCCCGGTGTTACACCTTCTCCAGAGTAGCTATGTCCTTCTGAAAATGAGGTCTCCATGCTTGGATACAGTAATCAAAATGGGGGCGCACCAGAGATTTATACAGTTGAACTTCTTTTTCTGATAATTGAAAGTACTCTTGATTATCCCAAGAGTTTGGTTAGCTTTTTTGACTGCTGCACGCACCTGTTGTGCAACTTTTAATAAGTGGCGGATCTTGACTCCAAGGACCTTTTCTTCATCAATCTACTGTAATGTAATACCATTAATTTAGTAGTCTTGGCGTGGGTTGTTATGCCCCACATGCAGGGTCTTGCATTTGTCGATATTAAAAAGCATTTGCCAGTCTTCTGACCTTTGGAGTTCATGTAGATCTCTTTGTAAGGCTTCAATAACATTATCATTTGATCAGATCTACTTCAGCAGGAAGTGCAAACTCCCCGAGATGCTTTCCCCCAGGAACTCCGTGTGGAGCGAGGTACTTACAGTTATCAATGATAAGCTTATCTGTCTGCCAGCGAGTGTCTGTGTATAACGACAGTGGTGTTAAACATGTGTGTGCTGCTCCCTGGAGGTCTCACAACAACTGTAGCAAGAGCGAGGCAACCTCAAGTCTGTGTGTGTGGTGGAGTGGGGCAAGACAGGGCTGGACGTGATTACGATTTACAAGTGAACTCGGCTTTAGAGTTCATCCGCCTTCTTCATCCGCCTGGCAGTCAAGAGAAGTGATGCTCTCAGAGACACCTGGCGCTGGGTGGGCCTGGTTCCTGGAGACGGTGGACAGTGTCCCTCTTTATCATCACCTACACTAGACCCCTTTAGTCCACCAACCACTACCACTGTCTATACCCCCAACACCTCGCCATTTACACGTCACAATCCGCTGTCACTCACTACAACTACTTGTACCTCTTATCACTTGCCACTACACTACCTGCGCACTATATCACTTATCACTAGAACCATCTACGATGCTAACATACGACTAGCACCATAATCACACCATTAACACTACCAGTACAGTACTCGTATCACCTGAACACCACAAGTACCACACACGCAACTAGCACCACCTGCACTTTCTCAACACTAATATATATATATTTATATATATTTATATATGTATACACATATATACACACACGCTCCACTAGCAAAACTTGATATCGTCACACCACCACCACCTAGACTCCACACATAGCAACAGTGTTACACCGCCCTTCCCTTCCCCCCATGGAAACCTCAACACCTGCCTGACTAAATGGCTCCCAACCCACTGAACCGGGAGCAGGAGGCGAGGCGGGAGGGGCCGTGGTGGCGGGTGTACAGCCCGTCCTTGGTGTGTCTGGGGCTCATGTGTGGCGCCACAGTCTACCTCGCCTATGACGCCTTCACCTCCACCCACCCCCGCCCGTTGCCCATCATCTTCCTCAACTCCAATTGGTCTCTCTCCTCCACCAACCACTGTAAGTCCCGCCCACCTTCTCCCGGGCAGTATAGTTACATTAACTGCATGTGGGAGTTTTCTTGAATCAACATATAAAAGTCCCTGTGATTGTGTAGTACATTTATACGTTACTACATATTATAATGGATCTCATAACATATACTAGATGGTGTTTCTGATTATGCACAGGTATCTTTCTCTCCCCCTCTCCTTTCCCTAACTCTCACCTATGCCTTCTCTTCATCTTTCTTACCCTTCACTGCTCTCTCTCAGAAAATTTAATATTATGAAGCACCGAAAAAACTGCTAAAATCGCAACAAAAAACACATTCCTGATTTCAGACTTCATGAAAATGGCAAGAGGTCGCTTCAGATGTCGATATTTTGTAAAGGGTGGCACTGGGGCCAATCCTGACTGACCTATGACACTCGCATCCTCTTCATGTGTCATTTTGGATAGTTGGGTGAGGCTAGCTCCAAGCATCTGGCCTCCTAGCTTGGACAGACCGACTTTCTATTATATCTATATAAATAAAAATGTAAATGTTCGTTTATTCAAAATCGCTAATCTCCAAAAGTTCTTCACCGATTGCTTTGAAATTTTGACACAACGTTCCATTTGCATCCGAGCGGGTTTTTATATACATACTATATAGATGTCATCACGTCTGTGACAGGAAAAAACATGGTTTTTTTTTTTAAACTGTTTTTCATGTGAGGAAAAACTTTGAATCCTCTTTACCGATTGCTTTGAAATTTTGACACAACGTTGCATTCGAATAGGCACGTGTTTTTATACCTACTATATACATGCCTCACCTGTGACAAGAAAAAGACATGATGTTTTTGAAAAACAGTACCATCTGTTGGACGTATGAGCAACACATCTCCGAGAGTTCTTCACCGATTGCTTTTGACACAACGTTCCATTTGAATACGCACATGTTTTTATATACCTACTATATACATGCCACACATGTGACAAGTAAAAACATTTTTTTTAAACAGCGCCATCTGTTGCACGTAAGAGCAACACACGCTATACTAAATATGTTAAGATTCCATTTCAATGTTTCCAATTGCATTGACAAATTGAATTTTTCATAATTTCGATTTATTTTCACTTTGAATAAATTATTTTGTGTGACATTGCATTGGAATTGAGCTGTGTTGTTTACCATACAGTTCATTTCGTGAGTTTAGTTTATTTTTTTATTTTTTCATTGTTTGTCATTTCGTTTTTTTAACTGTTCTTATTTTTCAGTGAGGGGAACATCAAATCATTTGGTCCCGATTTTCTGATGGGAACATCAGATCGATTGATTGATTGATAAAGATTAAGCCACCCAAGAGGTGGCACGGGCATGAATAGCCCGTAAGTGAAACATCAGATCATTTGGGAATGCATCGGACGAGGGGGTGGGGGAATGGTGAGGAGGAAGAGGGGACAGGGGAGGGGGAAATGGTGGGGAGGACGAGAGAATGGGGGGGGGGGAATTGTGGGGAGAACGAGGGGATGGGGGAGTGGGGAATGGTGGGGAGGACTGGGGGACAGGGGAAGGTTGCTGTGGCTCGGCTGTGCGTTGCTGAGCCACAGCAACACGTGGCCGGGTACAGCTAGTATATATATATTTCTCCTGTGAGTGGTAGTGGAAAAGATCATAGAGGTACATAATCAATCTTTCTTTATTATGCACCCCCCCCCCCCATACTCATCCCGGTGAACTACCTCGTTTACCTCTGTGGACATAATAAGTCATTAGTCAGGCAGAAAGTATACAAGGAGAACATAGGACGGCAGCCTTTCACCGGGGAACTGAAAATATAATCAGATGCACAATCTATGTGGCGTTGATACCTGTTGCTTCCTTCACCAGAGGTCTTCATCATCGACCCCTCCTTCTGAGGTACGAACAGGAGCCTTTCACAGATGGCGTTGAACTTGCCACCTCTCCGTCAACAGATGGCATTGTCTTCGTCTCACCTAATGTCTTGGAGTTGCAGTGCAGGTCCACAGATGGCGTCGCTATCGCCACACCTCACTCCAGAGAAGGTGTTGATACCGTCACACACCAACTCACAACTGAAAATGAAGAAACAACGACGTTTCGGTCCGTCCTGGGCCATTATTATTACCTGTGTCATTTGCCCTACTCTACCTTATTTCTACAGTCTGCTAAAACTCACAAACTTCTTGTTCTTCATCGTTCTATAATTTTTTCAAGCGGCTCTCTTGGCTGTCCTCTTGCCTCCCGGCATGCCAAAACTCTCGCTCTTTATCTTGGAACTTTTTCTCCTGCCCACCTGCATCACTCTTGGGGACTTAATCGAAAGATTGTGCTTGCAGCCCTCCTGTAAGATGCTTAATCTTGATGTTGATTCTCTTTTTGTTAATGTTCCCTTTAATTAATGATGTTCATTCTTTCCTTAGAAGGCGACTGAGGGCCTTCTTCATCTCCCGCTTAATACTGATGTTTTCCTTGAACTCGTCAGACTCGGTATTGACTCTTAACTCTTTCTCTTTTAATGGAAAATAATTATCTCAAACTTTCGGTGTCGCTATGAGTTCCCCGCTCTTCCCTGTTCTTGCCAATCTCTATATGGAATACTTTGAAACTGTTCTTTCCTTTCCACTATTGACACTTGTCCCTCTCTCTGGCTTCGCTATGTTGATGACAATTTTTGCGCTATGGCCTCGAGACTAGTATTTTCCAGCCTTTTCTCGCCTATCTTAACAATCTGGCTTCTATCAATTTCAAAGATGAATGAGAATCTATTTCCCCTCTTTTCTCTCCTAGACGTTAATGTTCACAGCTCTGGGTCCGGTTTTTCTCTCCAAGCAAATCCGGAGGAGCCGTGATAAGTGTTCAAACCTATACGCTGGGTGTTCCCTGGGGACTCCCTATGGACTTGCTCATTGATACATCACGATAGTGTGATTACTCTGTGTATTCTCTCTGCTTACAGCAAGCCTGTGCACGGTGCACAGTACATTCACTGCTTTTCCCACCATCCTCCTTCTGTTCAGAAAAGTGTTCTCGTCTCTCTCTTCCTCCGGGCCTTAGACATCAGTGACCCCTCAATTTCTTGGTTACCCCCTTACATTTTATTAACTGTGCCTATTCTCAAGCCAAAAGAAATTTCTTTCATCCCAAACCTGTTTTAAACACTAGTAACACTGCCTTCTCTTCATATCCGATCTCATAAAATCTCACTAATACCCTTCGCCCTCTTTATGTAATATCCGCTTTTCGACAAACTAATACACTTCGTAGTAATCTGGTTCACACTTGACGGTTCTTCAGTTGTGGGTTGATATCAGCTCATCTGCCACGTTACTGGGACTCATCGTCTGCGTGTATGTGTGTATGTAAAAGCTGGTTAAAATTGCATTTCACCTTTGTAAGCGTGTATTAATCACATTCTGTGGTCGAGTACCTAATAACCAACTGTACTATATGTAAGAGAACATATCTCGAGCCCTGATTATGTAGCCATAAATGTATGTATTGTATCTCTAACCCTGTCCATGGAGGACACAAGAGAATGTATATATATGTTGGCTAGCATTGTAAATGTGTGGCCAGATCTGCGGTAGAAAACTAAGAGGAAATAACTGCTTGCTAGTCTCTCAACTTTATCAGGCTCACATGGTCTTTTCTCAGAGCTCTCCGTCAATGTGACCCCTGAGTGTTTAGATAGTGAAGCTGACCATATTACCAGCTGTTCCATCAAACTTGGAGCACCACTCCTGTGCCAGGTAAGTCCACTACGGGCTCACCATAGCCCGTGCTACTTGGAACTTGTTCCGAGTAGCTGAATCTATAACAACAACAACAACAACATCAAACTCGCTTATCCCCGCTGGCACATTGACAGTTGCAAGAAAAAAAAAACGAATTTTCTACAATAGTAGCAAAACAAATAAATGAACAAAGAAAATAGACTGTAAAGTTACCTTATATACCATTTTTGGAAAACAATTATAAAGACCTTAGCGACACTAATTGCAAATTTGTATTTCATTTCCAAAATACTATTAGGAAAAAACTTGAGTCACAACTCAATAGTAACAGTAATAATGACAATACGGATGAACGTGACGGTTTTGTTAATAATGTTAAGGGTTGATGTTAACGATAGTAATAGCAAGAGTGATGTTAGCGTTGGTAATACTGATAATGGGGGGGGGGAGAGAGGAGGCAGCAATGGCAACGCTCATAATGGTAGTAATACTAAGAACAATGGAGGTAATGGTGTTTACCATTACCTCCATTAGATCAGTTGTAACGATTGAAATTGATCATATATTGGAGAAACTGGTTGTGATTTATTGAAAAAATAACTAGTTGAACACGAAAAAGCAGTAACAAAAATATTGATAGGAATAATGCCATTAGTAACCGTTGTGGGGAGGGGAACACGACGGCCGCCACTTTGAAGACGTCAGTCTTTAACAAGACTGACCAGAGGACAGGTTGGATAATTGCCAACAGAACCTAACCTACCTAAGTTAGACCTGACTATTCAACACATTCTAGTATATAATAATAATACTTTATATATGAGAAAATGCACATTTGAATACGCACTACGTTAAAATTGACGAATGCGTCATTGGGAGTCGGTGCCGGTTGGACCAGCCTAGCTTAAGAACAAGTTGCCTGGAGACCATGACAAACCATTCCTTACCTGGTGACCCCAATAAACGTCCCTTCTTGGTGATTTTAATAAACTACATATTGACTTGGTGACCTTAATAAATCATCCCTTACCTGTTAACCCCAATTAAACCACTTACTTGACCTATTGACATTGATAAACCATCCCTTTCCTGACGATCGTGATAAACCATTCATTGATGACAGCACTACGAACCAGAGATCTGATGTAGCGTGTTGTGTGCTGAACAGGTTTGGTGGTGGGCGGGACGGTGCCTGGTGGGGTGTACACCGATCTCCTCAAGGCTAACGTCCTCACCTCCGACGTTTACTACCGCTACAACGACCTCGACTATCGTTGGGTCTCCGAGCAGAACTGGACTTACTCCACCACACTAACTGGTAGGTGGTCTCCACTTGGTCTGTAGGCAGCCTAGTTCTGCGCCAACTGCTGCTGGCAGGGTTAAGCAAGCATGCCAGGCGTCGTCTATTATAACGCACTATATATATTGGTATTTACAAATTATTGTGCTTAAATATGAAAATAAAGCATGAGTTTTAGATACTATATATAATGTAGGGCAGCTGTGTCATAGTAACACTGACAATAGTAGGAGAATGAGCGCTAAAGAGCATTTAGCTTACATATTCCCAACGCTGTTTTTCAAACATTTTTGGAACTTTAGGCCTTTGGCATTAGGCGGTACGATTACTGGCAAAAATAACAAGGATTTTTGACATTAGCAAAAATTAAAACCAGAAAATAGATTATATAATTAGTTCTACGATACAGTTTAAGTTTCCTTAGTTCAACATTTTTAATGTAAAAGTAAATGTTTTTCATACAGTAACTAGAGCAGGCAGCTGTAGTGTATAAGTGTTGTGGCATAAAGACTCAGTATGTAATGTAACTAGCTTCATTGTTATACTGTATTTCTGAACTTATGCATTATTATTGGGTAAAGTTACGTTAGGTTAGGTCGCTTATATTAGTCGTTTTATAGTTAGATTTAGCCGTGAATAAGGCAATTAGCACTACTATTATCGCCTCGGTTACAGAATAATTAACTTATTAGCTCATTTTCACATATTTTTAATTTAAAGACCTTTATACGAATTATATGTCAAGTTGCCATATACTATAAATGGATTGCTTAACACAGCCTCAAACCTTGTAGATCCCAAGGACTCTTCACTAGTAGCCTCAAACCTTGTAGATCCCAAGGGCTCTACACTAGTAGCCTCAAACCTTGTAGATCCCCAAGGACTCTACACTAGTCAATAGTTGTGTTGTGCTCCCACAGCTTCCCAGGACCTGGTGGACCAGGAACGTGTTGCTCTGGTGTTCCAGGGGCTGGACACGGCCGCCCAGGTGCTACTCAATGGTGAACTTGTCGGAACCTCCGATAATATGTTCGTCAGATACGTCTTTGATGTTAAAGAACACCTTCAGGTACCTGATGATAATGTTTGTATATGTTAGAGATCCACGTGGAAATAATGTATGTAATATATCTAAATTAATTTTCCTGTGATTAGGCCACATTGTGTATATATACAGATAAAGATGTTTAAATATATACACACAAAGTTTGTAAAACAGCGACGGAATAATAATGCAACAATTACTTTATAAATTTTTCATATTATTCTTCACATTGATAGCAGTTGTTGCATGTTGCAGACGTCCGAGGATAACACCTTGGAAGTCATGTTTGAGTCGCCTGTCGAGTACGCCGCTCGCCAGTATGAGGCCCAGGCCGCAGACTATGTGGTCCCGCCCAAGTGTGTCGATCCTGCTTTTAAGGGAGTATGTCATGCCAACCACATCCGTAAAATGCAGGCATCCTTCAGCTGGGACTGGGGTCCAGCATTCCCCAACATGGGCATATGGTGAGTGGCATTACCAACGATTGATAAAGATTTAAGCCACCCAAGAGGTGGCACGGGCATGAATAGCCCGTAATCACCATTACCAACCCTCAGCTTGGTCATATATAGTGAGGCATTGATAATGATCTTGATAATGATAATTACTGATAATGAGGCATTAGACTTGGGCATTGAGTGAGAGGCATTACTGGCCGTGGACTTTGGTATATGACACAACATTAGTGACCCCAACACAGTTTCTGGCCTCGGAGTGTGCTATGGGTAATTTCATTGCCAAATTTAGACAATTTAACGTAAAAGGCATTTGTCTGTTATCGGATGCATTATCTTGAGAATGTAGATTATACTAAGAATACTTATTTTAATAAATAACAATAAATATTTTATTTTTCTTGCATTTTAATAAAAGGAAAGACTGGAATTTGGTTGGGTGGAACTCACTGTTGGTGAGAGACGTATTCTTCTCAGCTACACCAGCCTCCCCGCTCCCCACGGTGCCAGATCATGATCTAAGACCAAGCTGGATTGTCACAGTGAAGGTAAGGTAAATGTTGACTTGAACACCCTAGGCTATGAGCAATATTCATACGTCTCTATACGGAAATATTTACGTGGGTTCTATAGGACAGTGGTCTACCTCTTCGGCTCCCAACTGAGGGGGGGGGGTCAATTTCAATTCAATCCAATAAAGATATGTTTCATTTCACCTGATGCCACTATTCGCGTAGCAGTAACACTGGTACCCAGGAGTTAGACAATTGCACAACGAAATCACATTAATGTGATGTATCAATGAGAAAACCAGTAGGGGCCATGTGGAGGATTCGAACCCGTATACTTGGTATTCACAAGCACACGCCCTAAACAACTACACCACGATATGGTCAATAACAATACAACCTGGGATTCAGCTAAATCCTCTACAGGGTTCTTAGGCTTCCACTAAAGCCCAATCAGGGGTTTCATGCATTAATTGCCCCCGTGCACTCTGGCTTTGTGGTAAAGTAGTTCACCTCCAACGCTTCTCATCAAATGTGCAATGATATCACATTAACGCAATGCAGCAATGAGAAAATCAGTAGGAGCCATGAATAGGATTCAAACCCTAGGGGGTTCTGAGGCTTTCATTGAAGCTCAATCAGGGCTCAGAATGCCTATAGGATTCAGTTGGATGCCAGGTTGCATTGCTTTTTGACTATGTCGTTGTGTAGTGGTCTAGGGCGTATGCTTGTGAGTACCAAATATGCGGATTCGAATCCTTCTCATAGCTCCTACAGATTTTCTCGTTAGACAATTGTTGTGGTGAAGGTCAGTAGTTGTCATGCCGGGGTCCTATCGATGAACCTGAGGGCTTCCTATCCTGTACAACAGGGATCATAACCCATTAAATTGGATTATTTGCTATAGTGAGGAAATATATTATTCCTAGTTATTTAAAAGTTGTTACACCTTATATTATTAACTAGAATTCTGTTCATATTAGGGATCTTTGACATCAGTTCCATCGAGACAGTGTTGTTATATATTTGTTTTTTATTTATAATTGTTCGATATTTTATTATCCGCCACATGTTTCTTCCCAAGGTGTGGTGTGATGCTGCATTTGAGTCGGGTAATGTGACTGGGAGTGTGAACATCACCCTGGGGAACCTCATTGCTACAACGGAGCCTAGTGTAGCTACGGTGGAACACTATGAGGCTTTGCTTGCCTTCACCTTCACGCTTGAAGAGGTAAGTTAAATGAGGTGTTATATTGATCAGCTCTTCCAAATTACGTGCAACAATTCAGTTAGATTCATTAGTGAACATTTACAAATTTTACAAATAAACCTAATAAATGGATTGCATGTAACTTGCTTTCACTATATTTTTCACTTTCCTTCTGCCTAGCTAATGCTTCTCTGCACAATGAAAGTAGGAATCTGGGTAATGAGATTTATGAAGAAACAAATATCTAAATTAATACAAATTATACATACTATCTATGAATAAACTGAGAAATTAAGAAAAAATTACAATGCGTTTGTGCACCTTAATACAATGTATCTAATCTAGTTATCCAATTTCGAATAGGAGAAGGGGACTAGTTTCGATTAAATTTAGTACATCTTTGATGTTAAATAACATTTTCCCTAACATTTAAAATCTAAATGTACACACAAGTAATAATAAACTGCACTTGGTTCTACAGGGCCAGGTAGAGATGTGGTGGCCCAATGGCTATGGTGGTCAACCACTTTATCAGTTGACCATTCAATGGACAGACGAAGATGAATCTGAAACTTCCAGTAAGAGTGTTCGAGTTGGGTTTCGAACTATCGAGCTTAACCAGGATTTTGTTGATGCCACCGACGAAACAAAAGGTAATTATCCAGCTGATCATCAGAACACACACCGCCGTCGGGTTCACAATATATTATTGTAGCTTGATTTGAAGGATGGATTGTAATTATCAGTATTCCAAAGATTACCTTTGTGTGGTGGTGTGGTCGGTAATTATCCATAGTGTCTGGTGTAGACACTATGGATAGTGTCTACTATCCACTATGATAGGACACTATAATTATCCTTCGTGTGGGGGTTTGGTCAAGAATTTAAGATAGTCAAACCTTTTTTGTTGCTTATTATCGTGTACTATACAGTAAGTGCTGACAGGTAGTCTTCGTGAGGCGTATATGATAAGAGCATAATAAAGGTTTTTAAACAGCCGCCTTCTGCACAGCTACGGTATTCATTCACTGAATGCCTTCTAATAGGTAGTAGTGAAAGCAAACACCAATAGCGACTACCCTTATGAACAAATAACTACCAACCATTGCCAAAAACGTTTGTTTTATTAAATAAATATGACACGAATATTATATGTTAAACGACGATTATCTAAAACTAATGCAGAGGCAGCTCAGAGACTGAAAGTTGGTCTCCTCACAGAGTTGGTAAATGTGAGGGATCGTCAACTGCTGTGTAAATTGTATGGGCAGGATTGATGCTCTTGAATACTATAATTCGGCTTCGGTCAGATCTATCCACTACATACTATCTAAAATTATACAAAGCAAATATATTAACAATATTTCAAAAGGGGAATTTCATATTATCGTAATACTGAACTTTACAATTAATTAATATTATTAATTAATAATTAATAATCTAATGTTTATTCAGGGAAATACACACATCCCAAATGGACTATTAGGTAAATTATTGAAAACTTAAAATAACTTTTACAAGGCTAACCATAATTAAAATGCAAATATTTGCTTTGCCTAATTTCTTAAAAACAAATTTGTCCTGAACATCACACATTGTAAGTTATTGAGAGCATCATTTGCAATTGCCATGAAAGTATGTCTGTTTAGTCTTCTGCCATTGTAGATCAGTGTACATTCTTTAGATGTTTCATCTTGGAGAAATTCCTCTCTCCATTTGCGATAGTCATTATTAAACACAAGTAAATCCATAATGCTATTTCAACATTACATGAGTGAAGACGTTAATCCATTGTTTACTGCTGGTAGTGTTTCATGTTTGTCAGAATTCATTAAGTTGACCAACAAAGTTCTTGAATTGAAGAATTTCTGGCACAAATTCTGGTATTCTACTGGCAGAGGCCCTTAGGCTAGTCACTTAATTAAGCCCTTTCCTTAATCCGGTCCTGTGGTAGTGGCGGACGGGCCGCCATTACCAACTAATTTGGTTATCTTGAGGTTATCTTGAGATGATTTCGGGGCTTTTAGTGTCCCCGCGGCCCGGTCCTCGACCAGGCCTCCACCCCCAGGAAGCAGCCCGTGACAGCTGACTAACTCCCAGGTACCTATTTACTGCTAGGTAACAGGGGCATTCAGGGTGAAAGAAACTTTGCCCATTTGTTTCTGCCTCGTGCGGGAATCGAACCCGCGCCACAGAATTACGAGTCCTGCGCGCTATCCACCAGGCTACGAGGCCCCCTACGATTTGGTGACTCTCCAAATTATGTACTTTCACAATCCAATGTACCTTATATATATAATATATATAATCTGTGTTGACTGTGTGCAGGGCGTCACTTCCGGGTGCGTGTGAACAACGTGACCATGTTCATGAAAGGCAGCAACTGGATCCCAGCGCACGTCCTGCCGGAGGCTGTCACCCCCCAGTACACTCGCTATCTCCTCCAGTCTGCGGCTGACACTCACCAGAACTGTATGCGTGTCTGGGGTGGTGGCATATATGAAACTGATGCCTTTTATGAGGTTAGGATACATTATATACTGTAACTGATGCATTAAATGAGGTAAAGGCAGGTGAATACCGCGACATACATTTTATGAGCTTATTTCAATCTTGAAGACGAAACTAAGGAATTCTACAAATTAATATATATGTTTATATCCATTTACAAATCTTAATCCATTAATAATATTAGAATTATATGTAGAACTAAATATTTAAATTTTTTTGCTGTTGTAAACATTTTATTTCTTAGTTATTTAGCAGTGCTGAATCTGATTTTTGTTTTTCATTTATTCATTTTCACTGTGAGTGTTGCTCATTCCCAAGAATTTAAAATAATTTATATTCTTAGCTGTATTCACAATTCAGCATGCACCGGAAGATTTACACTTGTCACAGGATTTGACTGTTTCCACCAGAGGCGCCAAGTTTAGGCTGCACCATACAAAGTGTTTTTTTTTTATGTTCTCACCTGTGGATGAACCCTTACAACCATGTTCTCACCTGTGGATGAACTCTTACAACCATGTTCTCACCTGTGGATGAACCCTTACAACCATGTTCTCACCTGTGGACTCCAGAAACAAAATATCTCTACCCACCTAGCTCCCCCTTTCCCCTTCAGCCTCGTACAAATAGACATTTCCATTTAAATATAAAATCAATGATGAAAATGCTATCTTGAGGCTATCTTGAGATGATTTCGGGGCTTAGCGTCCCCGCGGCCCGGTCCTTGACCAGGCCTCCTTTTTGTTACACAGCCCCCAGGAAGCAGCCCGTAGCAGTTGTCTAACTCCCAGGTACCTATTTACTGCTAGGTAACAGGTGCATCAGGATGAAAGAAACTTTTTGCCCATTTGTCTGCGCCTCCATCGGGGATCGAACCCGAAATCTTTGGACTTACGAATTCGAAGCACTGTCCCACTCAGCTGTCAGGCACCCTCTATTCTATGCTTGCCTATTCTTTGAATTAACACATTTAGGTACGTCTGCATTTATGCAGCTACTCTAGACTATATGGAGGGGAGTACAGTGTGTGTGTCAAGAACTAACTGCGTGATGCTAAAAATCCCCATCACACAGGATGGTTAGTCATAGTGGTTTAGTTTAATTAATTTGTTATGCACCTCATACCCATCCTGTGGGCGGTAGTGGAAAGTGTTACAGAGGCACATAATGGGATCAGGGACTGAGCCCACAATTCATTTAGCTAAGCAAGTTACAATCTTGATGAGCTAGATACAAAATTCAATGCACATGTGATCCATGCCATGGATCACATGGAGAGGGCCATGTGATCTACACTGGCTTGGGTAACGGCGAGTGACTTCAACACTCTACGGACAAAACATGCACGATTTCATCCCGTTTCAATTTCAGACTTTATAAATAATAAATTTGTGTTAAGGTAAAAGTACATACTGTACATACAAGATGAGTTACAAATAGAATGTTGGATTTCTAGATAGCGCTAGTACATACTGTGCCTAAAGCCACTAATCATTTTCGTTTCGGGCAAGGAGGAGGAAAAACACTTAGACTAAAACTTAAAACTAATTGAGATCAAAGCATAAATTGAATTGAAAACGGGAAAAAATAATAAAAATTATAATAATTACACGATGGATGGAACAGCAGAAATTGAAACAGAACAGCAGAAGTAATTTTAACTAAACAAACTACAATGTTCTTCAAGTTTATACATGGCGGATATCAGCAGTTAAACAAGTTGGCCAATACTTAATATTGTTTGGTAATGGCAAGACATTGGTTGACATTTAGAAGGTAAGGTAGGTTACATGGCGTGTATTAGGTAGTACTTAGTTTCTCTCTTAAACTGGTTGAGAGAGGGACAGTCGTTGACATGATTGGGAAGGTCATTCCACATTCTGGGTTCCTTGATTTGCAGAGCAATTTTAGTTTGGTTAAGTCGCCCTCTTGGAATATCAAATAAGTATTTGTTTCTAGTGTGGTATCCATGGCTTTTATTACAGTCTTCTAGGAAAATCGCCCGGGGGTGTTGGGTTACTGGCTCTATTTTTTTAAGCATATAAATTAGGCCTACCCCGACCAGCCTATGTCCGTTCCATAACGCAGACTAATTCCCCTACAAATTTGAAAATATGTATGCAATACATATCCAATATTAATGTCTAGTATTAGACACACTTTAATACTGAAGATATGTAATTTCACGTACATTGTATATACTGTAATGTTAACAATTATGTGCAGTCCTAATTGTTTTCGCATACTGTAAAGTACTATTTTGGATAATCTTTTCAGATCGCTGATGAATTGGGTATTCTTATCTGGCAAGATTTCATGTTCGCGTGCAGCATGTACCCTGTTAATGAGATGTTCCTTGACGCAGTAAGGGCCGAGGTGACTACACAGGTTCGTCGTCTACAGCACCATGTCAGCATCCTCCTCTGGGCCGGGAACAATGAGAACGAGTCCGCGCTTCGAGACAACTGGTAGGCCTTTGCTCTGCAGGGTCCTGTAGCACACTGGTCTACGTTCTTGGTGCGCAACGGATGAACCCGGGTACAGTCCTCGGGCAGGGCAGAAACTGTTGGTTACGTTTCCATTTACCCAGTGCCTCTGTTCATCTAGCAGTAAAATAGGTACCTGGGACCAAGAGTAAGACAACTCTTGCGAGTTGAATCCTGGGAAAGATCAGCATCATAGGGAGATCTCGATAAATCAAAGAACAGATTTCTTTACTGAGGACGGGAAATCGCCTGTTTGTGACTGCCGCGGTAACTTTAAATGCACAGCTGCCATATATAATCCTACTAAACCTAAAAGAATACTGTAATTCGGAGGGAAATTAAACCTACAAGAATGTTGGTAACTCATCAATAAGACACACAGAACAGTCGAAAATAGAATAGGGTGAGCTCGGATCGACAAATTCCTGGGACTGAACATAGAGGCCGCATTTTGAGGGTGATTAGGCTATAATTGTTGGTACCCTGGTGTGGCATTATTCATTTACTCCCACTATGTTTCAAACTCAGAAATGTGGATTATGTGGGATCCATTATCATTTTATGTGGTGGCAAGCTGTTGCAATTATCTTTAAGGTTGCGCGATTTCTTGCTTCAAATCTTCAAGAGCAAACTGTTCAATAACTAGACAGCCAACCCTGACCAGCCCACAATTCCTCGTTGTCGGAGATAGGAAGCCTACAATTTTACCTTTGTTCTTAGGCTAATCATTAAGGTCCCCTTCGGCCAACTATTACTGATCTTCCCCATGATGCAGCCTAAAAGAATTGCCCAACTCCCTGGCACCTGTTTATGGCTAGGTGAACAGAGGCATCAGGCGGAGCCGTGCTCAACCGTCTCTGTTCGTCAGTACTTGGGGATTGAATCAAGAGTCCCTAGATTGTGAGCCTCGCAACCAGTTCTCGCAGATTCGTAAAGTCAATATTGACTTATTAAATAAGTGCATAGGTGACATACTAAACATAATAGATACCCTTAAAAAGCTTCATAGAAAACACCGACCTTACCTAACCTTGTTAGTATCTTAAGATAAGCATCTTATAGCTTCGTAATTACAATTGTTACTTAACCTATTATAGGTATAGGTTAAGTAATAATTGTAATTACGAAGCAATAAGATGCTTATCTTAACATACTAACAAGGTTAGGTAAGGTCGGTGTTTTCTATGAAGCTTTTTAAGGGTATCTATTATGTTTAGTATATCACCTATGCACGTAGCTAAGTCCAATGAGCTACCGGACCTTGAGAACTCAATACAAATTAATAATTTCGTCGGGTTGGTAACATTTTATGACGGTCATTATAGGTTGTTGATAAATAATTAATGATGAATAATTGTTTCCTATTATTTATCTAATTTATTATAGGTATGGAACTTCCTCCGACTTTGAGCAGTATAAAGCAGACTATATTGTCTTATACGTAGACACTATTCGAAATATTACCCAGACTTTGGACGCTACCAGACCATTTGCTGTCAGCTCCCCGAGCAACGGTATAGAGTCTGAGGCAGAGGGTTACATCGCGCAGTTCCCGTCCAACACATTGTATGGAGATGGTGGGTGACTTGATGTTACTCTACGTTTGTGTATGTGATTACCTAAATGTAGTTACTTTTCTGATCAGGGGGAGAAAGATACTGGCAGTATGGGGCTTTAAAGTTTATTGAAGATTAAATTCTGCAGAACATGTAAATATATAAAGTAAGAATTAACAGTAACAATTCCAAGTCCGAGGACTAGATTTAACTTAAAAGGTACACCCGTAGTAAGTATGAGACCTTAACCTATAGTGACATGGAAACTAATTCTGCAGAAACCTAAAGCTTAACTGGTACTAGAATTAAGGCCGAGTGCAAATGTGGAGTAATTATATAACACTAGGATATAACAGGCAGGACACAAAGAGTAACTAATAAGTGAGAGACCACATAACACATAATGTACCCGACCAAGAGGCCGTAAAGACCTAATGAATAAGGAGAAGGGGGGGGTGACTACAAGTAGGGCTTACTAGCACCTAGACTGGGCAAAGTATTAGCTGCGGACAGCGGGACACTTGGGGACCGGCGCTGCACCCCCCTTCTCACATGCAGTGGGGAGAAAAGGGAGACAATTGTGCAAAGCATGACGGGGCACAAAGACAGCCGCTTGCAAAGGGGAGGTGGGTGGGCTTTGCGAGGGCAGGCGGAGTGAGGGCAGAGCCCCTCTGTGCCCCCGTATTTATACGGCCCCAGACTGCCCGCGCAACGTCGCGGGAAGCGCTGCGCAAATGTTTCTTTCTCCCCCATCAGAAACATCCCGCTTGCGAAGCAGTGGCCATTTTTGGTTTCATTTTTTAATAAGGCGTAGTTTAGACAGCTTTTCAATTCGTTAGGGAGTGAGCTCCATAGACTATAGGTCCCTTGTTGCCTTGTAGACATTACAAAAGATTTATTTTGTTTGAATTGAGTCAAACTAACATAGAAATTTGATCAAACCTAACCTAACCTACCTTCCCTAAGTCAGTAATTCATGTTCCTAACATAATATATTAATATTGTTAGGAAAGAACCAATTTGGAAAGAAAGATCTGAAAATAACGAAAATCACTTTGCCCGTTAGGCAAATCGGGTCTTGCATACATACATACATTAAGCTTATATCGAGATCCCCTAAGGTGGATTTTCCCCCCAAGATGTAACCCCACAATAGTTGACTAACTCCCGGGCATTTACTGCTAGGTAAACAGAGGCATCAGGTGAAAGGTAACGTGCCCAACTATTTTTGTCCCGCCCGGACTCCCGCATCTGAGTGGAGAACAAACCCAGCTACTGACGCACAATGAAATTACATTAACATGATGCATCGATGAGAAAGTCAATTGGAACCATAAGGAGGATTCGAACCCGCACACTTGGTACTCCCAAGCACACACCCTAGACCACTACACAATATGGTCAAAAACAATACAACCTGGGATTGAAGTGAATCCTCTAGGGGGCCCCTGAGTCGTCCACTGAAGCCCAATCAGTACGGACAGAGAATATAGGATGAAAACTGACGAGTTGCTCCATTTTTGACGGGTGTAACCAATCAGAGACAACCAGAGCACAACTCCATTCTTCAGACTGATGGAGTAAGCCTACTATGTTTATTTATTTATTTATTTATATACATTAGGCTTTTTATCCATTCCATTTATCGTATTGTAAACGTATTGTAAACAATACGGAGCCAACAGTGATGGTAACACACATGTTAACAATCTCAGTGACCGACACTCATGTCACACAGTACAGTATTTACTTTCCCATTTGTTAAGCTGCATGTACCTGGCCATCATTGCAGTTCATTACTACAACTACCTGAGCGACGCCTGGATTGGCGAGAACACACCCCGCACAAGGTTCGCCTCCGAGTACGGCTTCCAGTCCTGGCCTTCCTTCAGGTAAGCTGTAATTGGTCCTCCTTCAGGTAATCTGTAATTGGTCCTCCTTCAGGTAAGCTGTAATTGGTCCTCCTTCAGGTAATCTGTAATTGGTTCTTCTTCAGGTAATCTGTAATTGGTCCTCCTTCAGGTAATCTGTAATTGGTCCTCCTTCAGGTAATCTGTAATTGGTCCTCCTTCAGGTAATCTGTAATTGGTCCTCCTTCAGGTAATCTGTAATTGGTCCTCCTTCAGGTAATCTGTAATTGGTCCTCCTTCAGGTAATCTGTTATTGGTCCTCCTTCAGGTAAGCTCTAATTATAACCTTTACCACACATTTGAACATATCATTCTATGTTGGCTTCCCAATACCAGGGGCAGGGAGCCTCAGAATTGAGATATATTTAGTATTGTGTGCAGTACACAATACTAAATACATCTCCAGAATAAGGCAAAACAAACCACAGATTAGGACAAAACAGGAGATGCTTTACCATCCATAATGTAATAAACCAGTTGAATTGCCCACCCGTCAAAGCGATAAATGCCAAAGCATTAGTTTAAAAGTCATTGGATTGAAAGGTAGTTCATTGCTTGTACTTTTAGGACCTTGCAAGAAGTGACAATAGAAGAAGATTGGTCTAGTGATTCTCCAATGATGTACCACCGACAACACCATCCAGGAGGACAAGAGGAACTTGCCCTGCAGATTGGCCTTCACATGCACCTCCCACCCCAGGACGGCACTCTCAAAGTTTTTCAAGATTATTTATATCTTGGACAGGTAGAAAACTTCATACAAAATTTGTACTTAAAATGTTAATATTAATTCCTCCCAATAATAATTTTAACAATAGAAGATAATGTGAGAACTAAATTTATTGCTAGATTTTTACATAATACTTTGTGATCCAGCTTTATTTCTTTACTTGTTTAATAATTGACATAGGTGCCATAGTAGTAGACAGTGTGATCCTGTGATCTACCTTGAGTTACCACCCCCTTACTCCCAGTTTCATCTGAAAAACTATACTAGGTGTATTATAAACCTGATCAATGCTCTTTCTGAAGTAACGTCAGTGGGTGAATCATTCCACGTGTTACTCTCCGATGCAAGCCTGTTTCTTTTTTGCTTGTTATGTACGGTGCCTTGCCAAACATATATTGTTTCCTCTCTAATTTATTGATCGATATCCTTAGAATATTATTATAATAGTTTATGCTATCTGGCTTGTTCAAAAATTCAATTGTCTATATGGGCAGTTTTCTTTTTCTGCCACAAACATGGCCACACATTTACAATGCAAACCAGCATTAAATGAACAAATCCACAAGGGTCATGACAAGGGTTCGAACCTATGCACGGGATGTTCCCAGCTACGCCTTAGTCAACAGTGCCACGACATGGTAAAATAAAAGAATTGCAACCTGGAGTGCTACTGCCATCACTAGGATCCTAAGACTCACTAGGCAATGATGAACGTTTGTAGACCAGGAGAACTTGTTCTACCTCGAGTATCTACCTAGCTGAAGAGGTAGATACAGAGGCCACGTAGGGCTGGGGCGATCACGGAGCCTCAGGATGCCGGTGGTGTTTCGCCTCCAATCTGTTTGCCTTACCGTAATGTGAACTGTCTAGGAAAACCCCCTCAGGATCACCCTCTAAGACCGGGAGAGCGTCGTGATCGGAATGGATGCCATGTAACAGTTCGGAAACCCTCAAAAGTATCTGGAACGTCGGTAGGAGAGACACTGGGCGCACCTCCAGCCATTACCATGGTCGGCCGCTAGGTTTTCTACTGGACAGGAGCTTCCTTCAGCCCACGCGCTCCTGTTGTTACCACAGAACGCCTGTCCTGGTCTCTATTGCCTATTTCCTCTCTCCATCTCTGGACTGCCGCGGCAGCACCAGAAGATCGAGGACACCTCCGTTGGCGGCACCACGACACTCGCTGGGCCCGGACTCCCCTGTGCCTGTGCCGTGGCCGCACCTAATGACAACTTCGTAATAGAATGGTCGAAGCACTTTCCTATCATACTTAAAAAAATTACTTTCAAATTAAATTTGCGCGACTTTAAGTAGGACAAGCCTTAGCTGAACTATATAGGAACATATAGTTTAGTTCTAATCCTGTTGACAGGAAGCTGAAGTAATCTACTTCTGCACCCATCTGAGTATATTAAAATAAAATGAAGTAAGGCGGTGAAATGAACACGAGTCAAACTTGACGTAAATTAAATATACAGTATTTTAAATGGCATTCATTAAATGTCACTTTAAATGTCATTAAGCCCTCGTGCAATGGACAGTACCTCTCTATATTAATTGAACAAGTTAACATATTAAATTTCTGCATATTCATATTTGTCGTCTCCGCAGGTCCACCAAGCTATGGCAATAAAAACAGAAACAGAATTTTACCGTCGGGGGATGAGTGAGGTGGCAGAAAACGGTGAGGGGTACACTAGCGGAGCACTTTATTGGCAGCTCAATGATATCTGGCAAGGAGCATCCTGGGCCTCAATTGGTAAGTGCTTTAGTTTTGTTCATTTATTTTGCACCACGTACCCACCCTGTGTGTGGTAGTGGAAAAGGTAACAGAGGTACATAATGCACTCAAGTACTGAACTCCCAATATATATGTATATATAATATCACTAGGCCACCCTCAGATCGTTAAAAGGACGAAAATTCGGGTGGGTTTTCCACCACGTAATCTCCCTCCCCAACAACACCAGAGGGATGGCCCCCATGATCAAACACTCATTTTTTATCAATCATATTTACTAGGGAAAACTAGTGTCTCGAGTATACCCATACACTTGCATGAACTCGCAAGGAATTTTAACAAACAGAACACTTCCCCATATGAGAGAATCGATCCATGGGCCAGCAGGTGCCAGACCAGAGCAGAGCAGGGCAACCATTAGGCCACTCTCAGATCGATAAATCTCCCGCGGCCCGATCTTCGACCAGCAGGCCTCCTGGCCGAGGAGGCATAATGAAGACTTGATTTATTTAGTTCATTAACCATCCTACTTATGTAATAATAATATTAATATTAAATAAAATATTGTTTATTCAGGTGAAAGTACATATTGTACATACAAAATGAGTTAAAAACAGAATGTTGAATTTGTAGATAGAGCTAGTACAGTATTATGCGTTGCCCGAAACGCTATGCGTACTAGTGACTGTACAAGAATGTAAGAACTCTTGTATCTATAAATAAAAAATAAACATATCAATAAATTAAAAAAAATTATATATACGATGCCTAAAGTCACTAATACACATAGCGTTTCGGGCAATATGTTGTAAGGTAATACAGTATGTTTGTGTGCAGTAAAACTAAAATGCTGTTTTTCCTACAGAATATGGAGGTCGGTGGAAGATGCTACACTACTATTCCAAAAAATTTTTCTCGCCCATCATAGTATCTCTCTATCGAGAAAATGATGACGTGAGTTTAATTTTGTCAAGTTATGGTGTAACTTGTTTAATTATTTTATCTACTCATGGATGCACTTTCAGGGGGAAGAGTAATGGGCTACCTATCATCACTTACTATTTTGCTACATATGTTTACATGTAATTTTTTATTTATTTTTTGCAGGGATATTCCTGCGCGGGCCCTAAGCCTCTGGCTGGCCCACTAAGTGTTGCTTGTTTCTGTTTTATTTGGGCGGAATATGAGTATTTATGACTCATATGTTTGCTTCAGTAAGATTGTCCCACATGTTTAACAACTTCTTCTGCTCTCTCTGTTGAATCCAAGTTGAAATCTTAATGGGTTTGTAACTGTGCACTGTGTTAGATAATGTTCCAGTGGTCTGTTGGGCATTTCTCCACAGTGCTGACATTTCCTCTCATCTTCTGGAACCTGTAAGCCTATTTCCCATGCACATGGGAAATAGGCTTACATTACATTACATACAGTACATTACATACCTTGAGTATGTAATGTTATCAGCACCTGGTGCAGTGTCCTTCCCACCTTTTTTGGATCTGATTAGTTCTTGTTTGGTGAAGGGACAGTCACATTCGTCATTTATAGCTATGCTCTCATGAATGACTGTCAACCTCTCTTGTTTTAATTGCTCTTGCTGCCTTCTGACCATTGCAGAAAGCTGATATGAAGCTGTTCTTTCTGCAAATTGGAGAGCAAGTCTCTCAGCCTCCTGCAATGGTTGAATACATGCCTGTGGTCGGGCTGGTCGACCTGATATAGTTTTAATCTGACCCCATATCTTGCCAAGACTACTATGTTCAATTAGACACAAAGAGTTTAGTATTATTTTTTTATTTATTTAGCATAGTCTTGGTTACAGCAGTCGGTTTGTTGGCAATGAAGTGAAATGTTGTATTAGTTGAGATGGTCCAGAGTGGCATGGGGTCAAATCCTAATCAGGTCATTTAGAGTTCTTTGTGATATATCCTGTATATATTATTATAATTATACATAATATATACAATTATACATAATATATACATTATATATATATACTGTATATATAATATATACATTATATATATGTATATATAATATATACATTATATATATATATATATATACTGTATATATAATATATATATATATACTGTATAATGCATAAGTACATAAAAGAACATCATTTTGAGGTACTGGAGTAACTTGAACTCGCCTTCTGATGGTTCCCAGATGCCTGCTTTGGTATAAAGTATTGTTACTATTATTTGGTAGACCTGTTACTGTAATGACTTTGATATTTAGCTTAAATAGCTTTGAGTCATTATGGTTCTGCTAATATAATAATTTTTGTTCTATTGCAGTTGAAGGTCTATATCGTAAGTGACTTGACGGAAGAAGTATTGGATGTTACGTTAAGTATTGATCTTTATCGATATGATCAAAGAGACAAAGTCAATTCTTACAACAAATCTCTGAATGTGGTAAGTTTTATATGCCTGTAATTACTTGATAAATATGTAACGTTATTTTATAGCTTAACAAATCTATCGTCTAATTTCATTTGACAACTTGCAAGATTTATTAGCTATTTTTTTCAGTTAGCCGATAGATCTACCAAGTTATAAATTAATTAGCTGACAGATCTCACAGATTAACAAAACTACATGATATATTTTAATATAATTATATCAATTATCTGATACTTAGTAAGTTATAAGAAAATTAGATCTTACCTGGAGTGGGTTCTGGGAATTCTACTATCCAAGCCTGGCCTGGGGTGAGGCTTGACTTATGGTTGCTTGATCCACAGAATGTTGCTTGGAGCAGCCCACAGACCCACATATCCACTGCAATCCAGTTGGTCCAGCACTTCTTGCAGAAAACTGTCTAATCTTTGTTAAAAGATGTAAACTTTTGTTCTAGCAATATTTCTTATGTTTATTGGGAGAATACTAAACAGTCACGGACCTCTGATGTTCATACAGTGTTGTGATTGTGCCTGTACGCTTCACTCACTCTGTTCTTCTTTTCCTTCCATATCGTTCACTCCAGTACATTGTTATTTTATTGTACTAGCAACAATACACGGCACCAGACAGTCCCGGAACAACCCCGAAGGGAAAGACAAGACAACCCTATCAGAGACTGAAGAACCCTTCGCAGAGATAGGAAAACCAGAAGGACCGCCAGGAAACCACACACTGCCGCCTAGACGAAGCATGCAGGCGGGAGACCAACACCGAAGCCACTAGTTCCCTCACAAGTGTCGAGAACACAAGACAAAAACCCCAGACACGAAGACGAAAAACGAACCAGGCCCGTACAGGGCTGGACCGATCCGCAAAAAGAGGCAGAGTCGCGGGAAGCCTCTCAAGATCGGAACTGAGGAAAGCAGAACCCCCAAACAAGGCCTGCAAAAACCAGAAGGAACGGCCGCCAGGGAACCAGGAACCCAATTCCGGCGAGCCGAATAGGAACCAACCTGGACGAGCAGAAACGCATCGTCCGGGAGGAAAACCATCCCCTAGGACCCTGGAAAGACCTACAAGGCCAAACACCGAAGAGCCAGGGCCCAGGCAGAGGCAACGAGGAAACCGAGCATCACGAACTAAAGCGCGAGTAGCGAACTGAAAAGCAGTGACCCCGCAACCCTAAGGAGCAGTGCAACCAGCTCCAGCAGGGAAGAACGAGGCACGCGTCACAAAGGTATACGGGACGAGAACTACTCAGGACGTACCGCAAGAAAACAATAAAGCACGTTCCTGAAAAAGAACAAAGAAAAGCCGTAGCCAGGACCGGAATCCAAGCTACCCCTGTCCCAAGAAAAGGAACCAGGAGGGCAGGAGCGGTTGACCGGAAGTCCACAACCTCCTGCAGACATTGCAACACAAAAGCCTGCAGGGAGAACAGGAAAAAAGTGAACCCAGTACCAAAACTGAACACTGGGGTAGTCCAAAATCAGGGAACTGAACATAGACAGAGGCCCACCTCAGCACCTAACAACAGTATAGCCAATAAGCACTGACCAAGATTCACAACCAAGTGTAGCATAGAGGAGGGGGGGACAGAAATAGGCAAGGAAAAGACCAGAATAGGGACCAACTAGCAGCCGGTAACACAATGTACACGACCAACCACAACGTGTGGCGTGGGGGGGGGGGGTGCACATACACAGAGGGACACCATGGATATCAGGGTGCACCCAGGCACCGAAGATGCCTGGGTGCACACACACACCCCGCGCCCCTACCAGTGAAAAAACTACCCCCTACCCAGAGACAAACAAGGGTGAGAAAAATCCCAGCTGACCCCAAGGGTGGCCAAGTACCGAGCACTAAACGGCACAGCGGAGGTAGATCCCGAAGAGACTTGTGGAAGGAGGCCCCAAGCCCCAAGAGCAGTACTAAAAGGGCACCTAGGGAAGGGAATCCTAGGTGCATGCAGCCCGAGTACCGTGGAATACGTCTCCTGGCTCACGCACCACCAGTAGAGACGGCCCACACCACCAGTAGAGACGGCCCACACCACAAGGCACAGAACTGAAACAAAAACCGGAGCCAGAGGCACGACCGCACCAGACTTCCATCAGCCAAGAACTGTAGGTTGGGTCGCCAACAGATGGGTCTGGGGCTCCCCCCTTCCCCTTCCCGGGGAGGAAGGGGGGGTTGGGGTTGTGCAGACAGCGGCACAGCGACATGATGACGTCATGCTAGTTTGCTACTTTTCATTTGGGGAGTTCTGTCCACCTGTTCGGCTTTTGGTCGCAATACTTTTACCAGAATACGGGGTTTGTTTTGGGGTGCCTACCTTTCTGGGTGCAAGTCCCGGTCGATGGCAGACATGGAATGCTCCCAACCACAAGGGGGTCTCTATAGGCCATTGCTCCTCGTGCCTCTCTAGAGGGGGCCAGGTTCTAGCTCGTGGTCCCCGGTAGGCAAAAACTCCATGCATTAACTGATGCCAGAAAGATATACATATCCATTCAGCCTGGATAGCTCCAGGGAGCTGATGGGGCTCCCCCCAGAAAAGCAGTAGTGAAAGCAGACTGTGTCCTGAGGTACAAAGGTTTTTCAGTGCTAAAACTTGATTTTGTTTGACAGACTGTTACTGTCTGCATTCTGTTTGACAGGAAATTTATTTTAATTTGCTCTACTTTACCTATTATTCCCGTTGATATAATTTCATGGGCTATCACTCCATGATCACATCAAATGCCTTTGTGAAGTCTGTGTATATACCACATCTTCATTTAGTTTTTCTTCTAATGCTTCCGTTATTGTCATAGTAGTTGAGTAATTGCGAAAGGCACGATCTTCCAACTCTAAATCCATGTTGACCAGGGTTGCGAAGGTCATTGTTCTCCAAAACTGGAGCTCTGACTATTAATCAATCTTTCAAAAACTTTTATGATGTGTGATTTAAGTGCCACTGGTTTCTTTTTAGCCAGTGTTTTTCTCCACTCCCTGTGTAATGGAGCTATGTAGATCTGCTGATTTCGGTGCTTCAGGTATCTCCTCTGTATCCAAGCTTTTTCTCCAAACTACACCGAGTACTGGCATTTTTAATTTCTTTATACACATGAAATTCCAAGAGTCTGGCCCTGGGGATGAGTGTATGGGCATGTTATCAATTTCTCTTTCAAAATCTGCAATGTTTGTATTAATATCAGTTATATTGTCACGGGTTTGGATATCATTCATAAGTTAAAAGCTCTTCTGATCTTCCAATATCATGTTTATTGGGGGTGCTAAACATAGCCTCGTATGTTTAAAAGATCAAACAATATTGATCTTTTAGGATTTCATTAATTTCTTTGTTGTCTTCTGTACATGCATCCCATCCTCCTAAGGTTTCCAAACATCAAGAAAACAGTCATATTAGTGTCTTCTCCTAACCATTCCGAGGACCCAAAACAGAAAACGGAGCAGTACATCACTTTCGCGAGCCGCTTCCATTTTCTAGTTTGGCCTTATGTAACGCATACGTTCAAAATGCAATGTTCTTTGTAAGAGGACAGGTTGGTACATGAACCTTCACTTGTAAGTTCAATACTGGTGGAGATTTTTTTTATTTTGATCTCACATATGAAAGAAATATTTTGGATTGTTCTTTATCTCTTCAGTCTAATATGATTTCTTCAGCTTGTGCTCTTTTCTTCAATTTGCCTGTTGAAATTATTTTTTCTTTGTTGGGATGGTTGCATGTGCTTAAGCATTTCCGTTATTTTTTTCTTCTGTAGTTGCCTTCTCTTTCTGACCTTTTGTAAAGGAACATGTTTCAAGCAGACACTGTATGCTTTGGCAGTCAACTGTTCTATTTCTTGAGCGGGAGTTTAGTTACTTAAGATGGTTTCCCACTGGATGGTGTCAATCCTATTACCGTATTAAAGTTGAATTTATTGAATAGCCCCCTCGCTTGATAATCTTTTTGAACCTATTATGAATATAGTCTGCACCTCAGTGAGCTTGTAATCTGAGTTCAGATGTGGTCTCTGAAATTGTAATGTCCATTATTATTTCTTCATTGTGAAGATCACACCTAGAGGATTTTCGTTCCTAGTTGGAAAGATCTGTAATCTGCTGGTTGAGCAAAAATTTGTCACAGAATCTACATAGTTCTCTGACCTGTGGTTGGTTATTTCAGGTTGATTTCCTGGTATAATTTTATTGTTTGTCAATCTTCATTGGGTAGATTGAATTCACCAAGGATGATAATATTTGAATGATAATACAGTAATGATGATAATATTAAGTATCATTTAATTATTGCATTTCTTTTATATAGTGTTAACTCATATCCTTTGTGATCCTTGTATATATTTGTGTTGGCCCCATTATACTTATAGTATTTTACCGTTTTATTATGTCCCAATTGCTTTTTTAAATTACAGCTTACTATTTCCATTATGTTGTTAATGTAAATAAGCTACTGTGCTGTTGCTAGAGTTACTGACTCCATAATGTACTAGTCTATGCCTATCATCATTAAGTATCACCTTTTATTGCATTTTTTTCAACTTTCTCAATTTTGTTAACTTACTTCTCTTTGAGTATTAAGAAAAGCAAGCAAATAGCAAACATTCATGCAACTCCGAGTCCCTCTCTGATAGATCGTTTATATATTGTAGATAATAAACATTACTGGTGCTAGAATTGAACCTTGTGGTGCTTTGCTAGCAACATTTCTCGTCTGATACATTGCCGGTAATCACTGCTCTTATTTTTTGTCAATAGAAAATTGTTCATCCAAGTCAGTAATCTGCCTGTCATCCTTCCTTTATGTTCTAGCTACCAGAACAGCCTCCTGGGAGACTGTTTATCTTGCGTATTTTTAATATGTTACAGGCAGCAGCAGAAGCAAATTTAGTGGCTACCGTAAAACTTTTGCAAGACTTGGAAATGAATACTCTCTGTCAGCAAGGCATCTATGACCAGGAAGATGTGTGTTTTGTTGTATCTCGCTTGATATCTGCTGCTGATGGATCTCCTGCAGCTCCAGACAACTTCCTTCTGTTGGGGAAGCCTAAGGATGCATACATACCTCATGCTACTGTTAAGGTTGGTATTGCATTTTAAAGTTACTTGCCTGTAGCTTTTTTCGAGATTTCTCTACTCTCGCAGACTTACATATGAGACTGTTGCCTAGTCAGCAAGGACATTATGGCTTACAGCCTGTAGTCTCAAGTAGCTATAATAACTCAGCTGATCTAATACATCCTAAAACAGGTAGTAAAGTTCCCTTTTTAATACTTCTACTACTGTACTGTATTGTAATGGTAATATGTATTATATTTGATGACACAGTGCTGTCTAGATTTATTTATGGTATTGTACCTTTGTATTCCATTAGTTTCTAAATGTCCAGCAATATTTCTCACTCCATTAAGTTATTTAGCTGTATAGATATATAGTAAGTACATACTGTTATTATAAAAAAGTGCTAAGCCAGTCTGGCCATACAGCACTGTCTATATGCAGAATGTTCGAAAGCTTGTTATTAATATTATTCGTGATCTCAATAAGAGAGCTATAACGCATAACATGATCGATGTCTGGCAAGTCAGATTCACTAGGGCAACGTGTCTCTATTGAGACATGTTCTGTATAGGGCAGCTCGTCCTCCAAACAAAGACCCAAAAGTGATTCCACGCACCCGCCAAACCCCCTATTTATGAATGAAAAATGGTTTACACACGACTTGCAACTGATTTCGTTCGAACACTTCCGGAACAAGTGCTTCACTGATGAATTTTGTTCGAACCATAACATTATAAATGCTTCACCCACGTACTACAAACACAAATAATCACCAACAGAACCTAAACACCTAACCTAATCTATGCCTATATATGCACAATATGCTAATATATTATAATAATTATTATTTGAGAGAATTCCTGTTTTAAATGAACAGCATGTTAAAATTCATGAATGTGTCAGTGGGGGCGACCACTGGATGTAATGGACTCGAGTCGAGGACGGGTTGTATATGAATACAGTATCTTGAGGTTATCTTGAGATGATTTCGGGGCTTTTAGTGTCCCCGCGGCCCGGTCCTCGACCAGGCCTCCACCCCCAGGAAGCAGCCTGTGAGAGCTCACTAACTCCCAGGTACCTATTTACTGCTAGGTAACAGTAATGGTTTGCAATATCTTAAATCTCTCTTTTTTTCTCTCTTTGCTTCCTAAATTGATTCCATTTTTTATTTTTTGGTATCCTTCCCTTGCAACTTTTATTAAACTAGTCTGGTTTTCCAATTTTGCATCTGTTGTGGTTTGAATTCTTGGGTGAATTCATTAATTGTATGTATATCTCAAAATTTTGCATACAGTACAGTACATCTCATTTGCATAATATATAAAATCTTGACAGGAATTGACAAAGTTGATAAAGAATATTTGAGTAAATCTGCAACTCTGAAAATAAGGAGCAATAGATTCAAACAGAAAAACAATGGTGCTGGAATAATTTGGAAAATTCACTTTTGTGAAACAACTGGTAGATAAATGTGTAGCGAGTAGATTATCCCAATAATATACTCGCTCCAAATGCACTGTTAATATTCCTGTCAACCTTTGGAGATGAATGAGGTGAGGCGTTGCCCGGGCAACACGGTGAGGTGTTGCCCGAGCATATAAGCAGCAGAATAGCAAACATTAACCAGAGTCTACTTTCAAGTGTGGTCTAGAGCAGACACTTGCGAGATACTGTACCGACGCTCAGTGCGCTCAACTCACACCAAAGTATCACCTGTGTACTTCAGTATATTCGACCAAATATATATATAGTATCTTACTGTCTGTGTTTATTTGTCACCATACTTTACGTAACAATAGAACCGTTACAAATGGAATCAATTTAATGAGAGGGTGGTATATGCTAAAATGTTCAGAAGTTTGAAATTATTGTACTTTCAATAAATTATTGAAATTATTGTAATAATGCTTTCTCTTGAAGGTAATGACCCGCCAAACACACAACGAAACTACAATGTCGCTACAACGTTCCATCAAGTTTTAACACCTAACAAGTTGTAACAACACTCTAATACGTTGTAAAAACATTATAACAAGATGTAACAACCAAAGATGTTACATCTTTGTAACAAGATGTAACAACCAAAGATGTTACATCTTTGTAACAAGATGTAACAAGATGAAACAAGCAGAAAATAGGAACAGTTACATTGTGTGTTTGCAGAGGAGTCATCTCTTCCTTGGCACTGGTGCATTGCCAATAATCTTCTTCCTATCAGCCATTGTTAATAGTATTTCCAGCAATAAACAGCTGAAAGTCCACAATATATAATGTGTGGTCCTAAACATGAGAATACTGCTGCATCTCCCCAAATACAAGTCATATCGTACACACCATGGTTCGCCAATAGAGTTTAAAGCCTACCTAATCTTACCCACACAAACCTAATTTAACCCATGCTTAACACAGACTAATCTAAGCTAATACATCCAAACCTGATGATGTATATTTACAGCTTTGACAATTGAAAAATGAGCTGTCAAACCATCCTGTGTACGATTTGATCATACCCTGTTTCTCCTAGTGGGCTAAGCAGACATTTTAGTAGCACTGCTCATAATACAGTACTAGGGATAGAGGAGCGTGTTGATGCACAAATAGGGACTTAGAGAGGCTATTCAAATGGATGAGTGTTTGTATAACAGGGACTCCGTGTCAGTAACAACCTTCACTATTTAAAAAAAGAAAAAAGAAAAAGACAAACTGAATATTAAATCTTTATACAAACTTACCTGCTGATGTCTTTTGCTAACATCATATTTAGTCATCATAAGCTCATATAACAATTATTGATAACATTTTTTTTTCTTGCAGGTTGAATCTATCTCTGGGCCTTTCACAACAGTTAAAAGTAACAGGACCTTCACAGTAAAACTGACAAATGATGCAATATCGCTGTTTGTGTGGCTTGAGGTAGATGAAGATGGTGTGTTTTCTGATAATGGTTTCCTAATGACTGAACCTGAAGTGGACATTACATTTTATTCTCTGAAAGATACTACTGCAGATGCTCTCCAGAGTTCCATCACTGTTAAATCTCTCACTGACACTTACAAGGGAGAAACTGTAGTTGGTGTTGGAGCCAAGACAGTGATGGAACATTCATTCCACCCTAATGACATTAAGAACATTCTGTTTGTGTAAATAATTGTGGCATATTGTATAACCAGCATTATGGAATAAAATTAATAAAAATATCTAATTTTTATTAATTTCTTGTATAATGTTAATAACTTGCCAATTTACAAGCATAAAAAGGTACAGTATAAGTATACCCTTCACTCTTAAGCTTAATGGTCGCAAACTGTCGCTACCGCATGAAAGTGTTAATTATTGTGTTTGATATAAGTTTTCATGTGGTTCTGCAAGAACTCGCATATATTAAATATGTCCTCCCTTGTTTGATTTACGCCACAGTAAATTCATTCCCCTTTTCAAGGCAATTAAGGATTTACATTCTTGGCATTCCTGTGTAATTGACTGATCCCTTCTTCAGTCATTAATTTTTTTACAATGGGTGGAAGGAAGGTGGAGTGGCAGTAAAAAGAATACTGTAATGGATAGTAGTGTTTCTTTGTACCTGTGGCACCTTGGGTAAGGTAAGGTAATTATCAAAAGAAGGCACCAAACCGGGAAGGCTATGTAGCACCATCAACTGTGAGGAATAATCAGAGGGCGCTAAATGTCACCAAGGATGCCAGTACGAGAACAAAAACGCATAAAGCGAACGATATTAAAAGTATCCGAGTCGCCAAGAATTCTATCGAGGAACGAGTGACCGCCGGGGATTCTTGTCATTTTTATCAATCAGGGGTCTTTTGTAATACTATCATCGCTAAATAATACCAGTTACACATATTTTTTACATTTTTAGGCGATGATGTGGTCACAAGCTGAACAGCAGTGCTACGAGCTCATGCTGCATGCGCCAGCCTTGGTGGCTCATTCAGTACCGAGGCTTTCACGCCTGGGAATGTAGCCCATGATTTAAAAAAAAAATGGCGTCTGTTTACAAGAGCCCTGAGGAAGCTGATGTGAACCCCGTGTAGCCGTGAACCGTTTAAATCTTGCGTGGTGCTCCAAAACGTCATATGAAGGGATGCACACTTTCATGTCATTTACTCAACACATATACGAAGTGTTGCGCAGTTTAAGGGTTAAAGCACTCTGAATGTTAAAATATTTTTTCCAGAATTCTTTGAGGGCGAACTCTGTGGCATCCATCACTTTGTCATCTCCGGAAAAGTGCCCTTTCATAAAGTTTCTTAAAACTGGCAATGATTTTCTGGTCCATAGGCTGAAGTAGAGTGGTGATGTTGGGAGGAAGGAACTTTACTGTAACAAAACTAAATTCCTTGAACAATTCCTTGAACAACATCCTGAACAACAATTGAACAGGTTCAATTCCTTGAACACGCACTTCAGGAGCACTGTCAAGGAGAAGCAAGGCCTTGAGTGGCAAACTGATCTGCAGATATTTTTTGATGGAAGGGCAAACCACTTCATTCATCCACTCGGTAAAAAAAAAAAAAAAAAAAAAAAATGGCTTGTCACTCATGCCTTACTATTAGCCCTCCACATCTCACACCGTTTTTCTGCACATTATATTTTTTTAAAACCCTTGGGTTCTCAGAATGATACACAAGCAAGGGTTTAATTTTCACACTGCCACTCGCATTACCACACAGCACAAGAGTTAGCCTATCTTTCATAGGCTTGTGTCCAGGTAATGATTTCTTCAGCAATCTTTTACAGAATAGCTGTCTAATCACAAACACTTGTGGTAGGTATCCCTCAATCTCCACAAAACATTTAAATTTGCCAACAAATCTTTCAGCTGCTGGTTTGAGCTGGCAGCCTCCCCATGCCTCAACACTGAATGCCACTTTATAAATTTCTCAAACCATCCCTTATTTGCCTTAAACTCCTTCGTATCTGCATCACTAGTTCTAGGGGTTTTCTTCGTAAGATCTTTATGCAATAGCCTTGCTTTTTCACAAACGAAGGCCTCCGAAATGCTATCACCCACTAATTCCTTGATGTGTACCCAAATTAATATCAAGAGTGTTCTACATTTCGTGATTACTGATACGCCTTTTGCCACTTTAGCACTTGTAATGCTCTTTTTCTTGGCAAGTACAATATACATCGACATTTGTTTTACTACCTAGCTAGATCAACGATAATTTGCACGCCCTCTTCATGTTTACGAATCTCTCGTTTTTCCTCCATGGTAATCTTCACGTGTGTTTTCTTAGGTTGAACCTTACCACTGACTTTCTTGGGACCCATGGTGTGATATATAATTACTTTTATGTTCAGAAACCAAAAAAAAGCACTAAAAACAAAATTTCTTTACAAGCGATTTTCACTAAGCAGGTGGCTCTGGTAAACTGAGGTGGGATCGCCCATGCTACCAGGAACCATCCGCTCTGTCGACCCATACATGCATCAAGTCGTTAGTCGAGGCAAAGCTCGTAAGTCGAGACAAAATTGGGGTTGCAATTAAAAATTCGTAGAGGTTCCACTGTATATTTTTTCATAGTTAAGTGATGCTGTGGGTACAAAGTGCTGTGAGCTGCTGCAGCATACGGTGAGGTTGCCCTCGCATGCCAGGAGGGGGTTTCCAAGAGTTTTTCTTCCAAGATGACGTGTTTATTGGAGGCCTGAGGAAGCAAATCAAGTCCCATATATGTGTGGGACTAATCCTAAGCAGTAATCCAAACCTTCCCTGCAACTCAAAATCGTCCTCATTTGACACGCACTAATGAAAAGTTAATCACCTGACTTTCAGTACTTTATTTCTTGCTCTCACTTTAATTTTCTTTTTGCCTTTCCTATTTTAATCTGTTGTGATATATACTACCCTTTTCTATTTTCTTCACTTTTTGACTATAATTACCAGTAGTTCCTTCACACAATTAAAAAAAAAGCTTCCTGTTATTGTTGGTTTAGATTCATCAACTTGGAACAATAAGTTCCAAGTAGCATGGGCTATGGTGAACCCATAATGGATTAAGCTTCCTGTATGGTTAAATATCCTGTTCATCTGCTTTAAATGAATAATTTATGACTATCTTAAGAACCCAATGCTAGTATCAAAGGTCACGGCAAAACACACCAAATCAAACTACCCTAAAGTGGTAGCGTTTGTGATCAAATTAAATATTTTCCTCTTTGCCAACCTGTTTCTCTCCTCTCCCATGTTATGAAAAACAATTAGGCTATTTAATACTAAAACTAATTAACAATTTTATTTCAACTTCCACAGTAAGGAATGTTTCAGTGTAGCACTGAGAACCCCACAACCAACACTTTGACAATAACGTGACAAAACTGACCAACCTATAGGCTGATAATGGCAACAATGTTGACAGTATCAAGTTCAATGATATTGAAAATGACTACAGTAATTCATTTTTTAAATATAAATACTGAAGCACATTAAACATTAACAAAAAAATAATAACATACAAAAACTGCAAATTCTGTAATGCATGGAGACTTAATTATGTACGAGAGCAGCATGTCAGGTCATGTCAAAACTAAGAGTAACAAGAGGTAGTCACTAAACAAATAAACCATCAAAATGATTATCACAAACCTTTCCTGTTAAATATTATCAACATTAGTCAGGAAAAAACAATCGCTTCAAAATGTTTTATTCACTGGTAAAAAAAGTATATAAATGCTTATAGTTTGTAGGCTTAAAACGAGCCACATGGAAATTTTATAGACTTATAAACATGGCACTTAAAAGTTTGCGTTCCGATAAATTAACACTTCCAAAATTTTTTAATGTATTATTTTTACAATTGGTTATATGTAATTCATTATTCTGACATTAATGATTATGGAGAGCATTAATTTCAGCATGAATTTACAAAAGGCTTTAAATCTGCCACAAGTTAAAGGTATATTTCTTTATTATATTCCCATGAAGCACAATACTACGTATAGTAACAACATTACAAAAACTTTCATGACAAAAAAGCATGAAATGGAAATATAAAAATAATCTATCAAAATATTAACAAAGCACACAAAATCAATATAATCACAGTTGATAAGAACTTTGTACCCCAAGCTTCACATTTCCCTAGCCCTCAAGCTGCCCTTGTTCTTCCCTCCTAAACTACCCCCAATTATTCAAGTCTCCATTCACTGTACAAGCACTTATGTAGTCAAATTTGCAAATACAATGCTCTCTTGTGTGAGGAATGATTATTGTAATGTAATCCACACCCTGGTGACTATTTTCATCTTAAAAACTCTTATTAATTTATTTTTATTTATAAAAAGTTTTATTTAACTTTTTCTAGGTAGTAAAATTAAAGCTTAAATAAATTTTGCCAAATTAGATTAGCTAAGTGAATGCCCAAAGAATAACAATTCCAATTCATTTAATAAAAAGGAAAACATGGAAACATACTGTACTCAGTTCTGTAATAAGCAATATCATATACAAATATTATGCAACTTTTGTATTAGATGCCCATTAAATAAAATATTGAAAATCAATAATCATAATTAGTGTCAGTTTATTATTCAACCAATACTCTAATAGCATAAAACACAAAAGGATGGACGGATCCATTTTCCCCACAAGTTGCTTATAAGAAACAAATTTGAACAATATTACACTTATTATAGTCTTTTTAATATACATTAGGAGCTTTATATTGCTGTACACATGATTAGGCCCCTAAAAAAATTATAAAATGAAAAGTATTAGAACAATTAAATTATATCAAATGATTTTAACTTGCAGTAAATTGAGCAGCTATCCTCCTCTTTGTACGAAGTTTGGGAGCAGATGGATTAGACGTGTTGGAAGCATCAACTTTACTAGAGTCACTATTGCAGCTGGACCATGTATCATCGGCTTCATCCTCCCCACAACTAGGTAGGTTTGTCTGTTGAATAATTATGCTCTATTATAAAATAATTTTTTATAAACGACCTGTTGGACAAATGTACAGTACAGTACTCGTGTAAAAATGAACTTGCCAAGATATGTCTGGTGCCATTTAAATAAAATATATAGAACCCATCAACACCTGTGTGCAAATCTCAAGTATAATGCAACCTCCCAAAGTTATCCACAAATTTCTGAATAAAATTTTTTGCTAACAATTCACCCTCAACCAGGAGTAATTTAAAAAAAAATAGAGTATCTATAATGCACTGTCTTACAAAACTATAAGACAATGCTATTTAATAAATATAGCCTGACCATGCGAACTGAACTCCACACCTAATTGAGCAGTCCCGAGCTCTACACTAAAATACACTTATACAAATCTTGCCTGGGAACCAAATCCCAAGGCAACCTCCGAGACGAGAGGGTATCCAAGGGAGAAATTTTATGCATCAAGAGAAAACTTCATGGACAATCTGCTAAACAGCATGCCAGGGAAGCAACCCTGAAGTGGGTTAAGAAACCATGACAAGTTGATACACAACCTTGCAAAGAGCATAATGAAGCATTAATACCATCAACGAACCATATTACAGCAAAGTCACTTAAGTAAAATTCATTGCAAGAAATGCTGAAAATAAGTTGAACACCAGGCAAGAAAGTGAATGGCAGGGTGGCAACAGAACCCCGGTCGACTAGTACTGCTATTTGACACTGAAACGGAAAGTAATGAGGTGATACTTGTCTTTGGGGGGGGGGGGGGGGGGGGGGGGGGGGGGGGGGGATAGTCTAGTTCCGTTTGCCATTTGTATCAAACCATTTCCAAATACAGTAGGTGCATGGTAATCAGCAGTCCAATAACCACAAAATCCGAGTAATCTGCAAAAAATCATGTTCGGGATTTTGACCCAGATAATTTCAGGTTTGAGTGTTTTACTCCGTGGCTTGAAGCCAACTCGGGTTACTGTGATTTTGTCATCTGGGTATCTTTAGACGATTTCGGGACTACATCCCAGCGGCCCGGTCCTTGACCAGGCCTCCTTTTTGTTACACACCCAGAGGAAGAAGCATGTAGCAGCTGTAACTCCCAGGTACCTATTTACTGCTAGGTGAACAGGAGCACCAGGGTGAAAAACTTTGCGCATTTGTTTCCATCTTCACTGGGGATCGAACCCAGAACCTCAGGACTACGAATCCCGAGCGCTGTCAACTCGGTTGTTAGGGCTACTATACAATATGGCAAACTATACTCAACACAAATTACATTAAAACAATGCATAAAAATCAAACTATTTTAATAGAAACTGATAACATTTTGCCACAACCATGTTGGTAGCAGCAGTAATCAGCCTGGAGGTGTTATGATGAAGCAAGTTATTCATTAAAAAAAGATACGTTATGTGCGACTGAACTTTGTGAAAATGACTGCTGTGCTGCAATTGTTGCCAAGGATTTTGGTATAGTCATAAGTACCATCAATGATGCAAGGGAAATGTAAAGAAATACATGAAATACATGGCTAATAATGAGAGAGAGATTGGCTCAGATTGATCATCACATTGAAAGTTTCCTTGAGCTGCCTGCTATCAGGTTGTTTAACCAAAGTGTTGAAAATACTCTAGAATGGTGATGGAAAAGTTAAAATATTTCAGGACAGTGGGGAGAAGGTGCAGGTAAAAAGCCTTCACTATATAACAAGGTATTGGTTAGAGCTCAACAAAATTTAATTGTCTAGATGCTACATGGTGATAAAATAGGCACATTATGAGGTTGTCTTGTATCTTTGTTAGTAAGGCTGTTGCTATCAGTGGACCACAGGCCCACATGCCACCTGGATGATCTGGCACTTCCCGAAGGAATAGCCTACTGTTCACTTGGGTTTCGGAAATATTTCTCGGATTCGGAGAAATGAGCTTGTCAAGCCATGGGCTGCTGATTTTAATACAGTGCTCTCAGATAGGGCCTATGTTCACTCTTAATTAAGGAATTCCTCCCCCCCCCCTCCCCCGCACCAACAATATGGTAAAACTTCCAAAACCTACCAATAGGGATGATATGGCCCAATAAAACACTAATGACCTTCACATGCATGCAAGTCAAAAAGTTTCAAGCCAAAATATACATCCAGACTTTGGTAATTTAAAAAAAAGAGCATAAGCATCTATTTGCTAAAAGTGCATACAGGTAATTATGAAAACTAAACACTTTACAAATGCATTTTGATTAAAGATGAAAACTAACATTTGTATTTTAAAATTATTAAACTATACTGTACAAGAATTACAAAAATACATACCTAAAATATAATTAAATGGCCTGCAATTCAACTATGACTAGCAATATTATACATGATTATGAATGAACAACAGCAAGTACCTGTGGGAGATCACCACTGACAGGAGCAGTGTCGGGTGTTGACTCTGGAGGCATCTGTGTAAACAGCTCTGGAGATGGCAATTCACTAGCTTTTGGAGGGGAAGCAAAGTCTGCAATCTCATTACCTCCCTGAAAGACAAATACATTTAATAAATAATGTGATTTTGCTTGTACAGTACAGAGTATTTTGTACATAGTTATAAAGAAGGATTGATCAATACTTACAGTATATACAGTACAGGTTTCATATTTGGAATAAATACGACTGTACCCTACTTATAAAACCTCATCTGGTTCATTAACTTTTCTGCAGTTGTGACCAATAAATGGAACTTTTTCCAAATATATCAGGAAAAATAGTTACAAGTAAAAAAACAATGTAGCTATCAATAAACTGCCACCTTGGATTTACACAAAAAAATGTGTAATGCGAGGTGTACATAGGTGGGGAAAAAGAGAGCAACACGTGTTTCAACACCATGTGCAGTTTGCCGATATTACTGGGGAAGAGGATTCAGTTTTCAACCGACAGGTTTTATGTTAATGTTTCATTTACCTGCTTAATAAAATTTGTGCATTTAATAACTATTACATATTCACTGTTCCATAGCAGGAACCAACTGCAGACCTTTTCGAAGTAACAGTGAATGGGTACCAGCAGAGGTCTGTCGTCTGGTGGTGGATAAGCATAATATGGCCTTGGGTTGTTAACCAACTATTTTAAGCGTTGTACTTACTACATAATGCAGGTCCCCCCTCTCCTCCCCCCTTCTTTTCTTCCCTTGCCCCCCAAACCTTCTGGTCAGTTTTCCTTAATTTTGGGGCCTTTTTTTTTTCCTTAATCTGATCTCTTAGCTTCCCTAACTTCTCTGAAAGATGGATCCAGGTACCTCAGTGGGTCTGAGGTCTGGTAGGAGCTTTAGACTTGGTGGTACCAGCATCTAAGCATCAGTGAGCTGTCAAGTGGGCCTTCACAGGAAAGGTTTGGGTCTGAATTACAATTCTTTACCCACCCACAATAATTAAAAAAAGGTTTGCTTTTTTCATTCTAGTACTTATTTTTAGCTAGTTTATTGATTTATTTAGCTAGTTTATATCTTTGGTACATTTGGGAAGTCAGTTACTTTCCTCCATGGCTTGACAGTACTGTACGATTTGTGAATTTGGAGCCATCTACATGCGTATTTTACAATTCAGCACGTATTCCTGAGCAGACTTCGAAATGTACATACAAATATGTAACTTGTGAATATTGCCAAGTGCTCTGATAGAGCTAATGTCAGGGATTATCCATTGTGCTATTTTATTGGAACCTGAAACAAATGCAGAGTCAGAAAACAGGATTGGTTCAACAAACTGTGACGGGGCCAGAGAGGAAAAATACAAGGAAATGTATACAATATAGGAAGAGGACTAACCCTCAAACATACCAGCACTACAAACAAGAAAAACACACAGCAGCGAGGAGAGGCAATATAAAAAAGGAAACTAAAAATGCAGTCAAATCACACATTAAAAAGGAAAAGCAATATAACAGATGTGGGAGCAATCATGTCAGATCTTAATTTTAAAATAAAGCACTTGTCACAAAAAGAAAACAGACAGGTTGGATAACAAAACCCTAACATATAAGAGATGGCAGACCAATGAGGAACTTGTGCTCTCTAGGGTAGAATATTGTTGCACTAACAGCCCCCATTCAAAGCTGGAGAAGTTGCTCAGAGAACATTCAGAGATACTTTATTACCCAAAACATTTGATAAAACCTTAAATTATTAGGAACATTAAAAATTCCTAGATCTAGAATGCAGACAAGAGAATAATTTATACTTTGGAAAAATATTACGACTGGTTCAAAATCTATACATTGAAATAATACCACATGAGACAAGTAGACACAGTAAGAATTTAAAATAGCCCCGCTGAAAAGCAGAAATGCAATAGATACACTTAAGACTATTCTATTAACATTAATGGACGAAGACTACTCAAAACTAGCTGACGTCTCATGGCATTCAGAAAAGAATTTTTATAAACCCCTCTAAAAGATACCTCATCAACCAGGCTGCGATTCATACATCCGATTGCGAATTTCAGAATCGAACAGCCTGCTTAACCAGACTACCAACCAGGAGGCCTCGTCAGAGACTAAGCCATGGGACAATTCCCAAAACAGGGAGGCGTATGTTAGGAAATCACATAAAATTCCACCTACACAAATGTGCATCAAAATTGTAAACACTGGCACTAATATAAGATTTTATGATTTTACGAAAACAGTACCTGTTTGGAGAGTTCATCGAGCATTTGTATGGAGATTGGGGGCACCATGGTGTTTAGCAGCTGGGCAGGAGGGCTGGTAGAGTTTACAGCACCAAGTGGGGAGGCTGCTACATTTCCCCAACTCATTGGAATTGTTGGTACCTAGGTTACAGAAATAATATAAATGTTCTATATCATTATAATATAAAAAAAAGGCTCAAGCTAACCAGGATAATGTTTCCAGCCCCTCCTGCCAATAGCTGCAACACGCAACACAGTAAGCTATACAAATATCAGTTTAAGAGGTTTACAATTACAGTGTTGTATACACTAAAAGGAAAGAATGAATAGGAATGATAAAAATGACAAATGCCTTCCATTATGTGGTGGCCACTTCATTATTGCAGTGGATGCTGATCATGTCACCTCGTACCAGTCAACATGTTTATTACACCAGAAAATTAAGACATTTTACAGGATTATGTTGGTTTGACAATCCTGTGGCCTCAAATTCTACACAAACCAGGTAGCCACCATTTCTAGTTTGGTTAGAGTCAATGTAATATAACCATATAGCCACCAGCATGTTGGAGGAAATGAAGAGGGAATGCCAATAAAACTTCCATATTAAAATTTTAACCACAATTTTGAAAATACTGTATACTACTGGAGATGGTGAGACAAGGGTATTTATCAGGAGACATTTTTGGTTAGTTAAGATGAGAATACAGGATAGTGTACAAAAGAAATGCTAGAAACCTGTGCACAAGTGCCCAGAGAAAAAAAAACATTAGCAAAAGTTAGCAACCTCCTCCCCCCTCCCTTGTTTGGGGGAAGGAGGTTGAGGAAGACTGGCTCAATCAGCTGCTCTACCCTCCGTCAAGTGATGGAAAAGCCTTCCTGGAGAAGGGAGGGTGTTGATAACTCGCAATTTTCCTAATGCATGATAATGTTTCAGTTGCCGATTGGTTTCCTGGTATACTTTATTACAACCATATATAGTGGTGAAGCAAGTAATTATCAAAAGAAGGCACCAAACCAGAAAGGCTATGTAACACCACCAAATGTGTGGAATAATCAGAGGGCACTAAATATCACCAAGGATGCCAATACGATAAACACATAAGGCGAACGATATCAAGAGCATCCAATTCATCAAGAATTCTATCGAGGGGGCAAGTGACAGCAAGACAGTCGGAAAACAAGACACTCGTCCTGGAAGTCAGGACACAGTGGTGAAAACCATGTAAATGAAATACATGAGTGTTGGGCAATGATAAGGCAAAATTAGCAGCATATGGGTGATAGTATAAATAAAGGTGTAAGCCCTCAATGCATCACCCATAAACGACAGTAGGTTCCTAGTACTATACATGTAATGCATGATAATGGTTCAATTCATGATTGGTTTACCTCGTATACCTCATTACAACCATATGGAGTTGTGAAGACCATATAAACATCATTGGCATATATATATATATATCACAATTATGAATATTTTAAACAATGACAAAGACCACATTCACTTAGTAACATTTGTGACAACTGCATTTACATCATAATGTAATCATGAAAAACAGCAGAATTTTTTTCATGGGTCAAAGTAAACTCCATTACATCAAAATATAGCTATTATATCAACTTGCATCATACATGTAAAACCCAAACAATAACTATCATATAATAACCACATTACCCCATGAATCATCACATGACTATAATCACTAAGGGTTAAAATTAAGAATTTTATCATGCCACTGCTCTCTGCACCTCTTTAGTGGGGGCCAGGTTCGGGCTCATGGTCCCCAGTTGGCCTAAAAGAACAACTGATGGCACCTTGTAGTTTGGCATTATCAGCACTATAGCTTCAGGGAGCCATAAGCGACTCCTCCCAGAAAAGAAAACGAGTTAAATTATGTAATGAAGCTGAAAATACATACTATTGTTGCACTAGCAGAGACAAAACTTTAAAACAATTTTAACTAAGGTGGTATCAAGTGCTCCTCAACTTGGAGACATGATAGAAAGAAAAAAACAAGTATTGCTCTCATTCTAACTACACTTAATTACATAAGAACTGCAGCAGGTATGCAGACAAAATCCTGAAATATGCTCACCATGTAATGAGCTGGTGATAAAGGTGGCATAACTGGGTACTGTGGTGACCACATCTGACCCCACATCACAGACCCTCCTGTTGGTGCAGGCGAGCCAGGGTACATCTTGCAACAAAAATGAAATTTACAACATGATTACAATAAAACTTTTTATTCGAATGTGTATTAATGAAGTGACTAAAAAGCAGTACATGTCCAATAGTATGCACTAATATCTTAAATCCTGGTATGCCTTGAACATACCAGTTCTTACCAACTGAAATCAAATTGCAATATAAACGTGTGAATTGAATCTCGAGATATCCACAAGACCCACTTTTTTCTACTTTAATCAATAGACAATTTAACAACCAATCAAGAACCATGTCCTTTTATGCATATAAAAGTTTCCTGCATGTTGAAGCTGGACATTTGTAATAACGTTAAGTTAATGCTGAAGAGTGAATTGTGAAGAACCACTGAAGACTAATCTCCAACTCTTGACATGTTTTGTACCACCAGACCAGACAAAGGTGGACAAGGCAAATCAAGCCCAGCCCCTGGAAAAAGGCAAAGTACCCACAATTTTGTTTTAAAGCCCACCTGCTGGGTTTTAATTACTGCTGGGTTCAGTCTCAAACAGCAAAGGAACAGTATTCAACCCTGCCCAGGATTTAAACATAGGTTGTCTCACCCAATAAGCTGCTAAACACTGCAGCAATGGATGTCTCCATTATTAGTTATTACTTTCCCTCTTCAATCTCAATTAGCCTTCCATTCAATTTCCACCAATTTATATAACTTCAGACATTAAAACTACAGGAAGATGATGGAAAACTACTTACCACAGGTGGTGATGACTGGTATGGCTGCTGAGGTGTTGCAGGATTCACACTCATCACTAAGTGATTATTAGAATTGGTGTCTGTCAAAATAAAAATATACATTAAAACAATATTCATTATATGGCAAGTTAAAATTAATTAGCAATGAATGAAATTGAATTAATAAATGCCATTGGCTGAAGAGGGAGGGGAATGTAGTCTACTAAAAAGCCACAGAGGGGAAGATTGGGAAAGGGGTAGGCAGACCACTGTAAGGCCAGAGGAGAGGAGGGAGTGGATAGAATACAGTACTCCTTGTGAATTATAATTATGAAAGTATATTCAACATGACAGTCTCACTTCATGCAGGTCTGTGTCAATTCCCAACCATCCAAGTGGTTGGGGACCATTCCCCCCCCCCCCCCCATCCCAAATCCTTATCCTTACCAAGTGTTATATAGTTTTAATGGCTTGGCACTTTCCTCTGATAGTTCCCTTCCTTTCTGTCCAGCTTTGTCCTTTACTAATACTGTATATCCCATACGAAGTCCACACATGCTTCCTGTTTCCTCATCCACTATGTCTGCCAACTTACCTGAATACGGTTTTGGGAGTTCCTCTACTTCCCATTAACACACACTAATGGGGAGAACATTGTGTATAAACTTCATTAATAAACATTTCACTTGTGAGAGCTTGGTTCAACAGGCTATTTGGAGCAGCCTGCAGACTCTCATTCACTACAGCCTGGTTGGTCTGGCACATCTTGGAAAACGGCCTAGTTTTTTCTCGACTTTCACTTTTGTTCCAGGAATATTTCTAATACTTGCTGCGAGAACATTGAACCACCATGGACCTCTGATGATCATGCAGTGTTCTGTACTTATGGCACCTCCACTTCACTGGCTTTATTCTGAATATCCTTCCATATTATTCACTCCAATATGTCATTTTACTGCACAAATTTGGGACCTGGATCTTCAGCATTTTCCATGTACTTGTATATATTATTTGATACCATTTGCATCTACTTTCTTCAGAGGAGATTTTGAGAGGTATGAGATGATCCAAATAGTTTAGGCACTATGTTTTTTATGCATACTGTATGTGTTCTCTGATACTCTCTCCTGCTCAGAATGGCTTGAGCAGTGATAGGACCCCTGGATTTGCAGGTTGTCTTAACCCTTCCACTGTGGATCACAGCTGGAATCATGCAGGATAAATATCCATAAACTAAACTGGTGCTCCTCCTTAAACAATAGCTCATCAAGACCTTGTTTAACACTTTCGCGCTATCCGGACGCATCGGCGCGTCCCGTTTCGTCTAACGCTAACGCTTTGTGGACATAAAGTTGAGTCCTTAAAATATTTGTATAAAATTCAATTTTTATCCGATTTACTTTGGGTTTGTTTCAAACTGCGCGCTATGAGGCTCTCTTTCTCACCACTAGGCTGCATGGTACAATAAGTTCATGAAAGGTGTGGATAACTTCGATCAAATGGTATTTTGTCCCAAACGTGTTGCAGGTGGGTGACTTTAGCCGTTTATACTGGTAATGCTTCCCCCATATCATGTATTATATGCGTATGTCTGTTTAGGGAATTTTATTCCGATCAATATACAACCAAAAATAACTGTGCAACAAGTATAAACTTGACAAACATAACAAAAGTAAAAACATTTCGTGTGTGTTTGAAGCTCACCGATATGTTCCAGCGTTGTTTTATATTTGGCGCTATTCTAACTTACGCTTTGTTGATATTTTTTACCTATGGGCACATAGAACATTCTATTGCGAACACATTGACACAAAAATGAATGACGTACATAGAAAATTAATGTCATGAGAGTGAAATAAGTATAAACTTTCAAAGCGCCGTGCGTCGTCCCGTCACCGATACCGGGTAACAATTTCACCACTTCCCACACTCTTGCGGGCGGGACGCATCATTATTCTACGCTTATATTCATATCACCGTGTTGGGAATTTCATTGCGAGTCCATTGATACCAAAATTAACGCTGTAGAACAAGTGTGGAGGTGATTACAATCCCAAGAGTAAAAACATTTTGTTGCTGATGGGCGCTCACTGCGAGTCATCTTCGTAGTTATTTATTTGGTGCTGGTATCCCTATACGTTTCGTGACTTTTTTTTACTGTTGTTCTTCTAGAGAATTTTATTGTGAACACGTTGGTACCAAAATGAAATACGTAGCATGAGAACTAAGGTCAGAAGAGTAAAAAGAGTATACACATTTTTGTTTTTACGCTTAAGCGATAAAAACGCAGCGCGCACATTCGGTTGGCTGAGTGACCTTTGCGGAGAGCGCGAAAGTGTTAAGGTCTTAATTTTTTATAATTATGTACAGTGGAACCCCTGGGTTACGAGCATCCCTGTTTACAAGATTTTAGGGTTACAAGCCAGATTTGGTCAGAAAATTTGCATCGGGATACGAGCATTGCATTGGGTTACGAGTTTGTCAATACGCGTATGGGCGATCTAGTGCGTGGTGGCACGGCGATCGCGCCTCAGTTTACCAGTGCCTCGTGCCCAGTGATTATCCCGCCTGAATTCTTCACAAGGATTTACAGTTTTTTGTCTAATTTTTGGCCATTTGAGCATAAAAATTATTATATATCTCACCATGGGTCCCAAGAAAGCCAGTGAGGTTCAACCTAAGAAAATAGTTGTGAGTAGAGGCAGTAGAGGATGTCCTTTCCTCATTAAGAAAATGTGTGAAGTATGGGAAGAATTGCAAAGTTTTATTGAAAAAACTAACCCTGATAAAGCTGTAGCAGGCCGTTGCATTGACCTTTTAAATGACGATGTGATGTCTTACTACAGACAAGTGTTGCAAAGGGAAAAACAATCTTCAATGGATCATTTCGTTGTGAGAAAATCAAGCAGTGAGCCACAACCAGAACCTAGTGGTATGCGGGCAAAACGTGCCAGAGTGTGCACTCTAGAAAAATCTTTACCGCCTGGTTTTTCAGGCAGTAAAGATTTTTACTGGAGTGCAATCCACTCCAGTAAAAATCCACCATGAGTCTCCATAAAACGGGAGATCAATTCCTGATCCTGATTATTTGATAAAAAACTTTCATTATGTGGGCCTGTAATTCTTGGCCAATTCTTTAGGCCCTCCTCTGTGTAGAGAAGCTATATCTTTTCTTAATCACTTCTGGTATCTTCCTGGTGTCCAAACTTTTTCTCCACACTACACCGAGTGCTTGGGCTACTGGCACATCGAATTACAGTACTTTATAAATACAACATTGAATTTCACGAGTCTGGACCTCTGGTTGAGTGCATGGGCATGTTGTCAATTTCTTTCAAAATCCCTGCAACTTGCTTCTCCATGGTCACTGATAGGCAAGCATATTAACATTCATGGCATTTGTGAAGCTATCCTCATTAGTCTCAGATTGCCAACAGTGACATTCGCTCTAATAACTTTTAGAATAGTTATTAAAACCTGCAACGAGGATAATACATTGCTTGATAAAGAGAGATCTTGAATGTGCCACCATTCATATGTTTACTGTACAGTACCAAGCTAATATTCAGAGTATCCTCCAGATGTTACATTACACAAACATTTTCTTCAGCACACAAATGAAAATTTAAAAATATCAAGTTGCGGGATTGTTAAATAGGAAAATTTCTATTTAACTTGACAAACATGCCACATACTTTGCTCCTTTCAGTGTGAATTCATTATCACTATGGTATGCTGTTCCAAAATTAGAGTGAGTGGAAGGCACTTACTTTGCCTTTATATGGCAAGATGTTCAGATAATTCATCCCCATCACCACCATACTTATCACAGGGGAATATATAGCTACTTGCACCACTGAGGTTGCCAACCCACATTGGAAGTGAAGCAAAGGTTTGATTGCATAACTATTCCAGTTTCTTGTACCTATGTAACAATTTTCTATTATGGAACCAGAAATACCTAAAGTACTTTTGAATTGTAATTATGAATGGTTGGACAAATAAAGGTTTACAGTTTCACCAGTGAACAACAAAAGGTATCAAGCCAATGTGTAGGATAACAGCAAGCCCAGCAATCTTTTCTTAGTCAATATCCTCATAAATGACAGGGGTAATGGGGATGCAAAACATTACCAATTTTTGTAAGCAATTACATACCCTGCAAAAAGTGCTGATAGTCACAGTGAGGAGGTGAAGGAACCTTGCTGGGTGGAGGTAGCTGGGAGGCCGGTGGTGGTTGACATGGGCCATTCTCTTGCTCATCTAAACTTTCACTATAAAGATTTGTGCTGAAAAACAAAAATTACATCTAGAGCATGAAGTATGTACCAGAAGTGAATAGTGAGAATTCAACTATGAATCTTATAAAAGTAACACTTTATATTAGTAGGCTAACATAGGCTTAGTAGGCTTGATATTAGTAGGCTTCCAGAATGCATCCTGTTGACTTTTTTTAACGGCAATGCATAACTTATAGTATGGAAAGTGCATTAAATATTAAGAGAAATACTGTAGTGATTATTGTTGCTTGTTACTATTAATTAAGAGCACAAGAATATTGTAATCATATGACTGGAAAAACATCAGCTAGTAATAATTCTTCTGGTTTTTAAAGGAAAGAAAAAAAATAAACACCTGGAAGCCAATTTGTTAATTTTTTAAGGTTTCAGGAAGACTGAAGTATGAAATCTAAGGCTCCATTGTACAGTACAAATACCAGTATTCTGTAGACCTAAAGCTTTACTTTAGCAGGTACTTCGACACTTCATATTTTACCGATCTATGTTTTTTACTAGTCAAAGGTCTTATGGGAAGAATGGGACGCATTACACAAAAATTACCAGCCAAGGGTTATGGTTCTTTTCATTGAAAAACTTAATGCATAAATTGTTTAATCTATGTGCAAGTTTGCTTTGCCTTTTGGAATATATTTACTGTAATTGCAATAGTGAGTACCTATAACCATTAAACTAAGAAAAGTTTCGAAAATTTAAAGTAAATAATAGTTTATGAGCCCTTAACAAGTAATAGCCAGTGATCAGATGGTGACTAAACTGGACTAGGCTGCAAGAGCAGAAAAATTCAAGGTCTCACAAACTGCTATTATTTAAACACTAAAGTGTAACATAACTTACAGGACCCTTTTTTATTAGTATACAATTTTAAATACAGAAATCATTGATACCATTTCTGTTTACCTATTAGCATTTATGTTGAAGAATGGTGGTGATGGTGCAGTGTCGCGGTTTAGAACAAGAATCCTCTTTGTCCCTCGACCCCGAACTGCTACTAGATCCCCAAGTGCCTGGACAAGGGCAACAATATTCGGGAATCCGTATGCTGCTGGACGACATGCAACACCTGTAATATATATATAGTGGTGGAAAAATTAAATGTTTTTGTAACAAAACACTTTCCTGGTAGGCCCTTGGTGCCTAATCGATGTTTCTGCACTAGTACCACTAAACCCGATGATTGTGCCAGCACTTCAAGAACTGTGCTGATCTACTAGAAGCCCAGATCACAATCTGGCTCTTACTACTAGGTGAAGGGAGTTTGGGTATCAAACCTACCCAAAATTGAGGAAACTAACCTGAAACATTAAGCATAAATAAAGCAAGTGCTTGAAAAATTTAAGTTGATTAAAACAGTAAAGTATAGTTTGGCGTTGGTAAATGGCCATCACACACTGATGTGCACGGATTCTACCAGATGGCACCCCAGAACACTTCTTGTCAGGAGTTGCCAGCACGGAACAAAAAAATGCCACAAACGAGATAGGGAAAGATAGGATGAGAATGGGGAACTACAGAAAATCTACAAGCAAAGGTAATTTCAATACATTCAATGCTTCCTTTCTGCAAAGAACCCCTTTCCTCAACTGCTCTCCCATGTTTAATCCCAACAGTGTCTTGGTAGATAGAAGCTTTGCTGAAAAGGTTAACCTGTGAGAACAAAAGCAGGACTCTGTATAAAGGAGCAGCATATGCCCAAGTCCAGCGAGGCTTTCAAGAAATATTCAAGAATGAGCTAGATCAACATTTAGATGGACTGCCAAAAACCACAGGTCCAGAGTACAGCTGTGAACGAAAGCCAAATGCTCTGACCAAGCAGCCAACTTCCAACACAATGGAAAGGCAGAAATGCAGCTGGAAGTCTGAACATGGACCACTAAGACCCAGGATAGCCAAACGGCAAACAAAAGGGCAATAGATATAGTAAAACGGCAGCACAAGGATTGTACAATTATCGTCACAAAAAGGGAAAACAGACAATGCCAAGTAGAAAATCAGACAGTAAACATTACACAAACCAAGAAACATACCCATCATTCAACACAGTTTAAAGAAGAAAATAAACTGCATGGAAAAAATATTAGGGACATGGGTATAGAGGGAAATAGGGAGGCACTAAAGAAGACCAGGAATGAGTACACAAGAATCAGGATGGCAACAGAGCAGTTAGAGAATGCCATTGAGAGAAAAAAAAAAAAAAAGGGTAAGTTAAGTGGACATCAATGGACCCTGGATATGCAATAGTCTCATATGCAAGGAAATTCTCGTTCACTGTACAGGTGGAAGGAAAGTGGAATGCAATGAAGGAAGAGGAAGCCAGTTTCATTCACAACTTTAACAAGAAATATGATGTTAAAGTGTAATTAGTGTACTAGGTATAAACAGCTAGGAGATGGTAAAATGAGCTAGATTACTCCCCCATAGTCACTGATAGGTATGCACGATCACTCATAACCGATTCAATCGTTCATATGAACAGACATCCAAGGTCAACACAAAACTCCTGGCTCAGGCAGTGTGGGTTGCCAACAGCACACACTGGTGTTGACAAATGGGGGTGGGCTGCCACAGAAATTAAGCTACAAGGTTTTTTATTGTTCACACAGTATGTGTGCAAATCCACCTAAGCTGCACATTAGGGTTTAAGAAAGTAGCAAGAGGTTTCAGTATAGGGCATCCGACTTTCAAAGTGCCAGATAAGGGAGTTAAGTAGGTGGAAGGCCAGAACACTAGATACCCTAAGCCGCCATTTCGCGAGACAGCAACTTCAGAGGGTTTTCACCGCAGCAAACTAATTTGCCTTGCTTTTCCCAATTTAATATTTTCATGCACTGGCTTTTCTTCTTTCACTAAACTTGCCGGTTTATCTCAGTTTTGTGCAGATTTCTGAACACAAACTGCTTGCCTACTGAAGCCCATATTCTAGTCTTTGTTCTGGGTAGGTCAGTATGGGGTCTCAGACCTGGCATGATCTTTTGGTTTAGCGGTAGTAGTGTATAAACACCAGGACACTACTGGAGAGACCTCCCAAGAAATTGGAAAGTAAAATATACAGTACACATATTATTACAAATTATCTGAATTCAAACAACATAACCAATTACCAAATCTGTCAAGGTATGCAGTATCAAAATTCAAAAGCAGCATGCGACCTCCTGCCTCATGCAGCAGAGTTAACAGATCCCGCGCAAATATCTGCAACGCTACAAGGCATATTTTGCTATCCTCCGCTTCACCTTCAATCTGGAAAAAATTAAAAATACACAGATTGTCGAGAAGAGGAGGAAACAGGCATAAATATGGTGCAAGCGAAGAACATGCTGTTGCCAGCTTTCATGGATTTTGACAACCTTATAAATTTTAAAGACTAAATAAGTGATAAATTGATAACCATGTAAATAGTGCTGTAAATAATAATGAAATGTATAGTGTAGAGTTGAAATATGCAAACTTACTGTATATACCAATATAGTATTAGTAAATTTTTTTTTAGAAGACCAACAGTAAAATTAACTGGCCATCTTTATGCCTCATTTGGATTTATTAATTAAATGCATGAAAAATTAGTAGCAATTAGAAAAATTAGGCCAGCCTGCTTCCCATTGCCATCACCTGTAGAAATGACTACAATCTTCTCATTGCCACCATATCAATATTTTATGTATCCGATTGCCACACATCTTTTGAAAGATGTTTTTTTTCCTACAAGGAGGTAGACACAATCTGAGCAGTGTCCAGGTTATAGTATTAGATCACATACATCTGTATCTGAACTACAAACTCCATCAGTATTTTACCTAACACCTCCCCTAGTATTAATTTGATATACCTATAATTTACCCATGACCAATATAAAGGTACAGTATCAACATAAAACAAAGGGTCCCTTTTTAAGCTCAGTCACTGCACTGCATGCAATAAAACCATATTGTTAGACTTTAGACTTTCCTGAAATGCGTTGCACACTAGTGGCTCTGCCGTTATGTACATGCCTAGCACTACTATTCATAAATTAGTAACAATCCAATAAACAATGCTTGTATGATTAGCTTTGGTGTGTGTATATAAAGTATAACAAATTCTAACTTTTTTAATAAAAAGACCAACACTGTGACCCCCAATTATCCAGACTAATTGGTTCTACTGGGTGTCAAGAGAACTGAAAATCTAATTTATTTAATACTATACAGTACACAAAATGCAATACATTTGGAAAAAAAAAAAGTGAGCACAATATCCTGCCAACCGGTATCTTTTAATGCTGCAATTTGTTACATTATTCTTTGTTAGCGAGTATTTTTACATTAATAACAAATTTAACTATATATGCAATGTAGGTATAACCATGTTAATTATAACACTATCGCTCTCTTTGGACACCCCTCGTGTCCACTTTTTTTCTCTCATGTCCTAGCTTTGGACACTGCTCGCGTTCAATACAAAAAATATTTGTACAAAATTCATTTTCTATCCGATTGATTTCGACAGTTTTAAAATGAGCGCCTTTGGAGTGCGCATAATTTGATTCCAACATGAAAGATGTAACAAAACTATGTCAGAACACTTGAAAAATTATAAATACGTTTTTGGTCAAAATTTTAAAATATTTGTTAAAATTCTCTTTATTGTGCTATTATTATGGGACTAGTTTTAAAATGCGTGCCTTTACATTGCGAACAATTTGATACTAAAATTAAGGATGTAACAAAATTTTATGTCAGAACACTGGAAAGATAAAAAATTTTGCGATGAGCGTCCAAAATTTAAATATTTGTTAAAATTCCAGTTAATGCTCTATTATTATGAGACTAGTTTTAAAATACGTGCCTTTATATTGCGAACAATTTGATACCACAACGAGCGACGTAACGCGAAAATTGATATCAAACTGAACGAGTATACACATTAGGTTGAGGGTGTGATTATGGTTCTTGTTTACGGGTAACTTTAGGCTTTGCCGTGGGGAGTCATGCTTTGCTTTTGGACCTTATATGCATATACACCTGTAGGGAATTCTATTGTGAACCCAATGATACCAAAACGAGCGACGTAGCACGAGAATTAAGGTGGGCAAACTGAAACGAGTACTGTATACACATTTAGTGTCGCCGAGCGCTCTCCCACACCGTCGTGCCTACTTCGTGCATACGCCCGAGGCGCAATACTGTTAATAAAGGTCACAGTGCAGTATCAATATCAAGCATAGCATACTTATAAAACCATCACATTTTATGTCCGCTTCTTTTTGATGATGCACAAGAGAAACGGGTTCAGAGATTCAGCAGGAGACATTGAAAATTACAACACAAACTAGTTAGATTTCAACAATACGTATTTATCTTACACATTACAAATCCCACTCCCTTTCCCCTGTAACTTATGGTTGTTTAAGTACTGAAATACTCAAACAATTGTGATATGTTCACTCGAGCTATGTGCATAATTTGTGGCACAGTGAAATTTTAATGGCAAAACTTGTTTGATTCACTCAGATATGGGATGTGAGCATTAAATTAAATAAAAACAGGTACTGTATCTTGAATGAATGGAAAATCAAATTGTACTGCATACCGCTATGCAATATAAATACAAAATTGCATATTGTTGTGTATAGTACTTACAGTTAATACTTCTTCCAAATCCCTTCTTATAACTTCTAAGTTGGGAGGATGATTGAAACAGTCTGTGTAAGACTGTACAAACTTTTCTAAAGGTAGACAACAAGAAGGTTCATCCCAGAGGAGTTGTCGTGACTTTAGCATTACTTCGTGTACATAACCACGATCCACTAATGTTACCACTGGCTCATCTCCAGTTTCAATCAACTGAAAAAAAATATCATTAAATCCTAGTACTAGAAATCAGCACAGACAAGTTTGAGACTAAATACATCCTGATCTTTATATTTATAATTGGAAAGGCGGATACGAGTTTATACTAAATCAATAATGCTTCATTTAAAACCCAAGGTGTACTGCAAGCACTTCATACAACAACAGTTCATGACAGGCCTTCATGATCCCTTCCCTTTCCATTTCTTGTTGCAGTTCACTACCCACTTTGATCTGAACCTCTATCACATTCACTCATTATTTGCCTTGCCTCTGACCTATTGGCTACTTCTGCCAAGGTCTTTGGTAGCTCTCTACCTTATTGTTCCATGACCACCTCCACTTTATTGTAATCTTTGTTGCTTCTCTAGTTGCATCCTTTGAATTTTCACTTTCCTCTGCTACTACCTTACCCCTTTCCTTAAGCTCATTGACCCTTGCTTCCCTGCCTTAAATTCCTTAATTGAACTCCTTCAGCCCTGTAGCCCATTACTAGTTTGCTAGTTCTCAATTCTTCTGTTCCTTTATGGTCATTTCCAGTTCATGTCATGTCTTACCCAAGGGTCCAGAGCTCTAGCTTGGTATTACAGTACTAAGTGAGTATTTAGGTGATATTAAGTACACCTTAAATCTTTTACAGGCACAATTACTAAAAATGAATTTAAACTTTCAGGAAGAGCAAATTTTTGCACATGACCTGCAATCAAATTCCTTACAGCAGGGTATATTATACACACATTTGCAATTTACCCTAGAAAGGACTGGGCTAAAATCTAATATCAAATATGTAGGCTACAACGAAACCAGCTAGAATTTATAGTATTCATAATTATGTTTTTATCTTTAAATCTTGCAAAGCATAATATTTTTACCATTTACAAGCTCCATATTTTCAAATTACATACTACACAAGAGCCTAGCAGCAAGGAAAAAAATATTAGAAATAAAAATTATCTAATCAAGATTTTGTAGTTACAAACCTTGACATGGTTCCTTAGTTTCCCTATAAGTTCTTCTAAAGAATTTGATCCATAATGGTTGGGTTTAAGGGAATAGCCATAGTAACGTGTGAATACTTGAATGAGGGCAGTGATCCTAATGGCTTGACGTGGAGCTCCTCTAACAACAGCCCCAACCTGGTCCCCTAACACTCTTACACGTTCACGCTCCACAAGCTGAAGCTGTTTTTCACCATCTTCTTCATCATCATATGCCTGAAAGTTGCATAGTTAATATTTGAAAATTTTACACTTTTCATTACCGCTTGAAAATTAATCTTTTAAAGTACTACAGTATACAGTACAGTAAAGTTAGGTTTCGCCATTTATGAGCTCTGTGCATCATTTGCAAAATTCAATGATTACAAAATAGGTATTTAATAAATTTAATTAAATGCAAGAATAATGTTTACTACCATTGAGTATCAAGTTTTCATGTTCTTACATGCAAATTTTTTTTTTTTTTTTTTACCGAACTGCTCTTATTTCACCTTAAAAAAAATCAAGTTCACATCAACTTGTTTGCACCATTTAAGAATACAAATGTACTTTCTATAGCACATTTTTGAGCACATGTACACTTTATATTTACATACAAGTTTTGTACCATTTAACAGAACCACTACATGAATAGTCTAATTTAAATTTCTGTACATCTTATTAATTCTGTATGAATTTAGCCAGGGAGCCTACATACCAGTTGGACAATAATTCCAATCGCCAAAATACAATTAAGTTCAAAGACAATCGATGCTTCATATAAAATCCTCATTTTCGTAAAATGGAACCTTCTAATGTCTAAAAAATGTACTGTAGATCAAACCTGCCTACTTATTCAACCCATAAACCAATTTGACAAAATATCCGGGATTCAGAGGGGGTCATTGAGAAATCCAGAAACACCGAATAAAGTAACTTCCAGCAAATAACATTTTTCCCCAATTTTTGCTATTGAACTCTATCGTTTAATATAGGTCAGTTTCGGGCATTCTAGATGTTCTGAAAATGGTTACACATCTATAGTATATCTACTTACACAACTCCTTAGAACTGTATTTGCCTAGTTTTACTCTAGTTTTATATATGTATTTAGTTTTTACTTTATTTTATATATGTAACACTATCCGTGTTCTCTCGTGTGTATTATACATATATAAAACGCTAAACTGTAATGCCAATCCTGACCTCAGAAGCTTCATAGAAGGTAACAGAACCCATGAGAACCACACCAGAAATAAACACAGTTTTGATATTCCTAGAGTACGACTTAAACTAGAAATGCTCTACAAATCAAGGGACCCAGATTGTGGAATGACCTTCCCAACCATGTTAAAGACTGTACCTCTCTCAACCAGTTTAAGATAAAAACGAAGCTATACCTAATAAATTCCCTGTAACCTACCTTACCCCTGCCCTGTAAATTCCCTGTAACCTACCTTATACTGTAATCACAGTTATGCTGTGAGCACAAGCTGCATGGCAGTGCTTTGAGTTGCTGCTGCAAGAGCTACTCGTGGTCACACACCCAGTACTGATGCCTCTCACACCCAGGAGGGAGTGCCAAAATTTATTTCTGGAATAAACACTTTCCAGAAACAAATTTTATGATCACATTTTTCAACAAAATTCAATTTTTATTAAAATAAAATCATACAAAAGCCTTACCTGTAAGATGTCTGGAATGGCTTCAAAGAGTTCAATCAGCTTGCCAAAGCCATAATCTGCTACTCTACATTGTCTTCCGAAGTGGTGGTGATAAGCAGGTATAAACCTATTGAACTGCATCTTGCACTGTGGAGAGTGACGCAGGAGCTCCACCACTTCTGCTGCAAATTGCCGAGTTCTTTCTATTTCTTCGGGAGTTTGTTCTCGTTTGGGAATAGCTATTGTAGTTTCAGTTCCTGACCTGGTGACAATTACAGTAGTTTCACTAACTTCAGTCAATAGGTCCTCTACATCACACACTCCATAATCAATGACATTCCAGGGTCTTGTAAGTGCTTTCTCATAGGCACTAGGAAAGACTTCAAGAGTTATAGCTTTAGTGGGTTGACCCTTCAGAACTCTCAAGAGATCCGAAGAGAAGCGCTTCACTTGTGATTTATGGGCTAGAGTAAGTATTCGCTTGTTTCCATCTCCCAATACTTGGATAATATGAGGAAGAGCATCAAAAAGGTCGGCAAGCTTAGTGAATCCATAGTCAGCGACTCTGCACTGCCGTCCAAAGTGGTGATGATAGGCAGGAATAAAACGAGAAAAAGGAAGTCGACAATGAGGAAATGTCTTTAGTAGGTCTACAAGTTCACGTGAGAAGAGTGCCAGCTGTCCTACTAGAGGAGGACTTACACATCGGGCCAATTCTTCTGCCTCATCAGTTGTTGTGTTCTCTACCCACTGAATATATTTAAAACCTATAGCTGCTGTCAATATACACACCCCTGGTAAACATGAGACCAGATGCTCAAGAGGTACACCATCATCACATTCTTCAAGGGGACCAATTTCTGCATGATAGCACTCAACCAAGCTAGCTAGCGGAAGAGATCCCGAGTGAGACTGCAACAAAGAGTGAATGCTAGCAGCCAGAGCCCGCAATGTCATGTTAACATTTGGGAGGCTGGCATTCTGATCACGTTCTGCCCATCCTACCGATTCATCTGGACCAAGACTGTGTGCCTTACAGTACCTGGAAATGTTTCCATCAGCTTCTTCAGTAGATTCAGTTATGACTGGAGAGTTAATATGTCTGAACTCAGGATGTAGGGATACCATTCTACCAGTACTGTTATCTGAAACAGTCACAATATCCCTCATATTATACATTTCAGATACTCCTATAGTCTCATGAAACCTTTTTTCGTACAGTTCACGGAACTTGAACAAAGGAAGTTTCTTTCCAGGAACTTCATGAAGAAGGGCTATAACTTTAGACCTGAAGAAGAAAGAAAATATTTTTGATAGAATTATAGAATGTAAATTAAAAATATGAATATAGGACCCGTCAAAGATCATATTTTTGTTTAATTTTATACTTAATATTTCATTGTCTAACATTCCTAGAGGTTTCACTGGGTGATTCAATTCTATGAGAAGATCCAACATTCTTGTACATTTTGCTCCATTTGACACTATAGCACTATTTGCCAAGTTATTTTTTTGCATAGCAGTATACCTATACACCTTAATAGCTGCACAATCATTGCTTATATTTGTCTAAATATGTTCAAATGTGTATTGTATCTTTTGCTTTTAGACATCTTAAATTTGGGGAAAACTGCCGAAAAAGGCCTAATACAGTATTCGGAAATCCAGATCATTCGTGAATCCGTATAGTCTGGAACAATATCACTTAATAGCTGGCTTTTCTCCAAGTCCATATCATTTAGGAATGTTATTTTTTTGCATAGCAGTATACCTATACACCTTAATAGCTGCACAATCATTGCTTATATTTGTCTAAATATGTTCAAATGTGTATTGTATCTTTTGCTTTTAGACATCTTAAATTTTGGGAAAACTGCCGAAAAAGGCCTAATACAGTATTCGGAAATCCAGATCATTCGTGAATCCGTATAGTCTGGAACAATATCACTTAATAGCTGGCTTTTCTCCAAGTCCATAGTTCATTTAGGAATTGTGAAGATGTTTCATTAGAAACTGGAAACTAACAGCCGTCATCCTACATCAGCTCATCTGAATCCTGACCCTGAATAATACTCAGTGGTGAACAATTAGTTTAGTTACATTTCTTTAATGCACTATTATAACTGGTCAAATCCATATTTATTCCCAAATCATCTACTAGGGCCTATGAACTTTAAAAACACACACAACTGATGCAATAAAGAGGCATGCTGCACCTGGAATATTTAATATTAAATGAGAAATCAACATACCTCTTCAGTTCTGGAGAAGGTTGATTATGATTGACATATGATATGATTATTCTTTTTGCACCAATCTTTTTTCTGTGTAGCTGAGATATTGCATATTGTGCATCCTGTTGTGACGGTACTCTCAAGGTTGCAGCCAAATTCCCATCTGACTGCACAAACACCGAAACATGTAATACCTGCAAGATGACAATTATTAATATTTTATGCAGTTACATATTAAGTTATATTGATATAACTTTCACAGGGTTGGTAAAAAAAAAACTTTTTTCCTCTTAAACAATCCACGAAGGTTTTTAGAATAAATCCTGGGTAAAACCCAGGTTCCAGTTTTTTTTAACAACCCATCAAGTTTATACATGTTACAGTATATATTTTTATATTTATTATCTTCCTGGTTGATCTTCATTTCATTTATTATATATTACAGATTATTACATTTTAGTGTTCATAGAAAAAATATTGTACAAGTGTCAAATGACTACAGTATACTGCATAATACCCGTGTTTTCAAGTAATGGTACTGTAAGTTATATATATTACATTTCAGTATGGCACCAATGGTTGATACATTAACACTGCTGCAAACCCAGTATAAACAGGTTCTAGCTAATTTAAAGAGATTTTGTTTTGATCGTTTCGTTTGGGGAGTAACAGTTTTGAGGCTTCGAGTCTTGTGAACCCAGCAGATGTCTGTAAAGCTTTGCTAACTTTCTAGATGCTTTTCCTGTGACAATGGAGAATATCATTTTCTCTCTGCACTTCTGTGAAAGAGGGGGAAACAGAACACTGCATCTGATGGGACTGGTAGTATGGAGCAATCTCATACGTAACTACAGGGAGCCAACATGGGGCTCCCAGAAAAGTGCATTTCAATTTATATAGAAATAACCATGTTGGCCCATATTAATTTAAAGAAGATTTTTTAAATACAGCCAGGTAAGTGAGTAGTTACTCAGGGAGCTATCCAAATCAATCCTTATAAGGAGTAATTGGTGTGATAATATTAATCAACTAGCATCATAGATTACCTTACCATGACATGGTCCCTGAATATTGTGAAGAGTATGCGTTTCATCTCTCTTGCATCAATATTTTGGTCCAAATTAGTCACTTGCAGCTCCACAGGTACTTGTGAAGCACTTCCCAAACTTGTTTCCTATAATACAAGTTTTTAGTTAAAAAATTGACAATATATGCATTTATAGCATAATGAGTAAAACAGCTGTGCAAATTATATTTAAGGACTATACAACTACTGTACAATATTTATGAGCAATTAAAAACCATAAACATTGATTTGCCGCCACCGCCGCCCTCCCCCCCTTTTTTTTATTAAACCCGTCCCACCTTAATGGCCAAGTTGAAAATTTATCTCAATTACCTGTAACATCTCTCAACATTAAAGGAAAAGTGACTAACTAAAGATGTGGATAAAAGCAGCCTTAACAACATCTTTCAATGCATAATGCATTCCACTTGCTGACCACTCAGACTACTTACCTGTTGTTGATTTCGGGGATCAGTGTCCCTGCAGCCCAGTCTCTGACCAGGCCTCCTGGTTGCTGGTGTGATCAACCAGGCTGAAGTGCAAATTATTCCCCCCCCCCCCTTTTGAACTCTAGGGAACCCAGATTTAAAATTTTTAGGCAGACCCAAAAATTTAGATGATTTATCGAGTGAATTCTAGCAGTAAAAGATCTTTGTAAGTTCTCCAGGTCTGCAATTTCTGCAGCTTTCAATAGGACTTAGTGTGTAGCAATATTCCACTCTAAAGCACTAATGTCTTTAAAAGTATCATTGGTATGGCATCTCTTGTTTGGAAGGTTCTTGTTATCCAACCTGTCATCTTTCTTGCAGTTTTGACAGCAGCTTTATTGTTCTTTAAAAAGTAAGGTCTTCTAAACATGATTACTCCTAAATCTTTTACATTACTTTTTCAATAGTGTGCTTTGACTTGTGTGGTTTCTGCTTTGATGATTTAATTTTTTCTATAGCGTAGTAATTGAAACTTATCCTTATGTTATTTTCTGTGACCCATTGGGGGACCTTCGACAAGCCGCAGGCTTCCTATCCTTGTCGAGGCCATTAGAGATAGTGGCCTTCGGGTAAATCAGGTAAATTGGGAAAGACTATTAACATCAGATTGGAGTTTGCCGTGTCCCCTATTGTCTACTCTTGAAAATTCCAGTACTGTACCTCCAAAGGATGATACAGTAATTTGTATTCTTGTGTCTGACATCAGGATAAAAGTACTGGGGCAAGTATAGTTCCTTGAGGTACAGCTCTTCACTGTGGATGATTCAAATGTTACTTTGCAAATTATTACTACCAAGTTCTGTTTGTCTGGAAGTTGAAGATCCATCTCCCTATTTTGCTAGCAATTCCTTTTGCATGCATCTTGTGTGCCATACCACCATAGTCACATTTGTCGAAAGCTTTTGCAAAATGTGTACATTACATCAGCATTTTGTCCATCTTCCATGCTGTGTAAGGTCATGAGAATTTTTGATACACAAGACTTGCATATCCAGCATCGGCTTGCCCATTGGAGCTGCCGAGTTGCAGCTTCCCAAGACGCTTACTGCCAGGTGTATGACTCCAACCTCACTAGAATAATACACGAGTAACGAATGTGTCATAAGTCTTATTTTCAAAATGTTTATCTTGACCTTATCGAGATGATATTGGGGCTTAGCGTCCATGGCCTGGTCCTTGACCACCCTCCTTTCCCAGAAAGCAGCCTGTAGCAGCTGTAACTACCTATTTATTGCTAGGTGAACAGAGGCATCAGGGTGAAGAAAACTGCCCATTTGTTTCCACCTCCGCTGGGAATCGAACCCGGAACCTTAGGACTACGAATCCGAAGTGCTGTCCACTTAATGTTAAAATTTTCATTAAATCTAGACAAATAGGGGTTTCCATGCTATACGTTAGTGAAGGATTTATCAGCGCTATACCCGACAACATTTTTCCACAAGCAGCCACCTTCAGCTTCCACCAATTTTCCCCCTACCTGCATCGCCCATTTTTTTGTATCTTTCGTCATTCCCTCCTGTGTCAGAAATGATTGAGTAGTATTGGATCCCTAGTTTATCTGTACTGTCATCTAGTGGCAGAGAAAACAGTCAAGTGGTATTCAGGTTAATTGGAATAGTAGTGTTTGGTATTTATTTGTACCAAATATTTCTCTACAAACAGGGTTTTATAACCATCTTTTCACTTATTTTGGTGGAGACAGACGACTTCTTATAGGTATAGAGGTCCCCTAGGTCAAAGAACCTTACCCATGATGAACTTGGCACTTCCCTAGCTCCAGGTACCTATTTAATGTAAGGTGAACAGGCATCAGGAGTAAACTTGCCCAGACATCTCTTTCTGCCCAAGAATCAAACCAGATACCATTCAGGTTGAAAGGTGATTGCATGGACTACAGTGCTACATGTCATTAACAAATCCACAAGGGCCGTGACGATGGTTCAAACCTACATCCGAGAGCATCCCAGACACTGCCTTATGCAGCTGCAGATGTCTACATGTCATCTTTGTGTTAGGAATCTTAGAACATGCTTGGCACCCCACATCTGGAGGTGGGAAGAGTCCATGCTCTCTGGAGGTCACATGTTATACACCTTGAGACATTGTATAGGCTCCGGGGTACCAATTATCAATGCATAAACTCTGATGAGCCACCATAGAAAATGCACATTTCACTTTGAGCTGCATTTCAAATCTTGTTAATGATAAGGCCAAAAAATGTGTAGCACCCAAGGGTTAGGCAGACAATGTTATCCATGCCTTAATTCCTTTGCATCCTCAATTGCTAAACATTTTCAAATTGTCCAAGTATTTGTTAACTTCACTAACAGTTCATATTTAGGCTGTGCTCTAAAATGATGCACATATTCACACAACATTAGAGTAGATACTATTAGATAACCTCCAAGGGCCTGCATTTTAGCTCAGACAATTTGTTTTATACTGTACTAAGCCTGTTCCAAGAAATTTTAGAAATTAACTTGCATTATATCTGACATAGTGGGAAAGTGACATGTCGACACTTGAAACACGAGACATAACATTTATAACACTCGAGTAAGAATCATCAAATTTTCAACCACTTTAGAATTTTGCATAAACAATTTAGGAAATAATTTCTTATGTTTAGTTAAAAGTAAAAGAGTAAACGCATTCATTCATAAACTATACAGTTTAATACTCACCATAGTTGTTCCATCTGTCAAAGACAACTCCCGTAAACCACAAAGAACTTGACCTTGCAACTCTGCGGTGGTTGGAAGACTCCATGTATGCTTCACAGGACTGATTCCACTCCAGGTAGTAAGTAGTGGAGATGGACTCCTCAATCTGCTCCAAATAAAATACTTAACCATGGTAATTTTATACTGATGATAAACTATCACCTGCAACAATTTATTATACCAATAATTATTTTGTATGATGGCTTTGTTAACATTCCTACACATCTAGAATTAGATACTCACCTGAGGGTACTGTCTAGGGCATATGAATCGGATATTCTGGTACTTAAAGAGAAGCTTGGTGGTGAACTCATCCTGAAGTGCACTTCTGGGGAAAGAAAAAAAATTATTTTTAATATAAACAAACTTGAAAGTTGACAAAACAAAATTTAAGGGAAGACACTCCAGCAACTTAAAATAAGCTTCTAAAACAGTACACTACACAGTTAATCAACCAATTATTTCCAAATCCTGCATGTCACATTTCATGCAGTTAGGAACAATATTTGCTTAAATAATTACGGTTATGATTCCATTCACAGCGTAGCATATCCAGCCATATTGATGGTTTTCCTTGCTCTAGTACCTTTTTCTTTGTTTACTTGTTCTTGCAATCCTTATTAACCTAGATGCACATAGGTAGGGTCAGTATGAATGACATTTTGGTGTTGCAAAAGATTTCTGTGTCACAAGGGACTAGAAGCAGCCAGGGGATGGTGGATGCTTTTCCACCTATATCGTAACAACTTTGGAAAATTTGAAAATTCGGACAAGTGTCATTGTCATGATAATGGCAGAATAATGTCTGACAATCGGTACAAAGTATGTTCAAGACATTTAAGGAGGGGGGGCTTTATTTAGCCCAGGCACAGTACTCTCACTAGAGGCCATCAAGAAAATCAGTCATTCTGCACTCCACATCCACTTATTTTTTGCCTATTTGATGGTACCTCAATTGGGTTGATCCAAAAGAAAAACAGGTTGTCAAGTGGTGTGTGGGAGCCCAGGAGCTGATCTCAAAAGACAGTATTTATTGGAGTGGTGCAATGCAAGCCAAGCAACAAGGTATCTTCAACGGCCATTGATTCTCGACCTGTAAGCATGGTCCATTTCATCCGAGGAGTGGACTCAAAGACTTGGGTGTACATTGAGAATACATGAAGTTGTTTATTTCATCCGGAGAAGGACAGTTATGTATATGTACTGGGAAAGGTCTCATGTTTCAAGTGAGCCTTTGTGTAGGTGTCCAAGACTAGGTGCCGGATGAAGTGAGCCTCTTACAGCTCTTGTTGAGCCAGCAACAACTGGCTGATAAATCTTCAGAAACTACACACTTCAGCAGCAAAAACTGACTAAGGTAAGGGAAGTATGGTATTGGCTGTAAATTATGCCAAAAATTAATAGCAGAGCTAGTGAGTGGGGGTCCAGGGAGCATAAACGTATTGACCTAGCAGCAGTAACATTGAGCAAAGTCATCAACAGAGGAACAGCTAGTTCCTCAAGCTGATTCAAGGTAGTCAAAGAGGGACCGATCTAGTCAAAGGCCATAAAGAGGCTTTATGACTGCAGTTGTCGTATTATATTTTATATACATATATACATGCATACATACACACACGACATCTATTTTGTTTGGGGGGGGGGAGGGAGGTCCAATTTATGATTTACACAAGTTCCAGCTGCAGGATTGATTTTTTCTATTATAGTACAGTAAATATCATGCATTTACTTACATAAGGCTAATATTGCTCCTTTGTTTACAGGAAAATGATTGAAAGGCCTAATGGCATACACTACAGCCTTTCACTTTAAGGCAAGACAGAATTGATAAGATATGAAAATCTATCAGACTTCCTTGCAGTTATATAAAACTGATTTATTTCTCACTTATTGAAATCTGAGGTGTACGAGTATCTACTATTTGTACCCGTTGTCTATGCCACTCTAGTCAAGAGAACTTTATTTCAAAGTTACACAGCTAGCAACCTTTATAAATAAATTATCCAGAATCCTGATTTTATATTTTCACATTTAGTTACATGAACAGCCTATTTATGTGGTAACTTTCTACTCTTGGTGCTTTTAATATTTCACATTACTTAGTGATGCACCAGAATTGTTACAGCTTGCGAAGCTGAAGCTGAGTCAGTCAGTTTGGCAAGATATGCTATAAAATATACCTGCCCAGTTGTTAGGTAAAATAAATACTATATTTTACACATTATGTATCCTAAGTCCCTAATTTTTAGAAATGGCTGGCACCACATTTTTTACAATTTATGAACCTTGACTCCATTAGCCTCTATGCAAAGAGAATCTGGAAAGAGGAGAGGGGGCAAGTGGTGGAAGAGAAAAAAAAAAAAAAGTGATGCAACATTAATACCGCACCTGATTATACTGGTATAGAACTAAAAATATAAGACCATAAAGTAGTTTCCATGGTAATAGGTACCTAAATCATTTGTCACATTTTAAAATAACTTACTTTGCGAACGGCCTTTTTTGAATTTCTCTGGTGTTTTATCTAAGTACAAAGGTTGGGCAGCAATATTGTTGGGAACACTTTCTCCAGCACTATGTAAACTGTAGTCTTGGGAAATTCCAGAAAAGCTTCCATTTACACCAACAGATGATTGGCTTTGAGATTTGCAACCACTGTTTTTCCACATTCTTTGTCTGAAATTTTGAAGATATTTTACATTACACTTAAATACAATAGTTTATTTTAACTACCTACAATTAAATATTATAATTTACATTACAAAAAAAATTATTTGGTCAGATACATTAGGTTTTCAGAATTTAAAATTATAGTTCATTAAAAGTTGTGCACAATTTGAAATCACATGGGGGAGGGGGGTGTAAATTTATACTGTAATATATATATACAGTATATTTAAGGCTTGTTAGGTAGGCACATTACAACACTTGAAATAGGCAGACCTGTGCTCCTGGGACCATCACATGCCAATTTTTTAAGATTGTTGAACCTATCAATGTTAACACTGGTAACCAACAAAATTAAAAAATCTTGTTAACCAAATAGTAATTTTTGTATCAAAATTATCCAGTGACAAAGCTATAGTAATAGCCAAGGAACCAATATTATCATAGGAAGGAAACAAGATCTATTTGTGAATTCCTCTTATGCACCTAATGCTTTTAAACAGGAAACTTTTAATGCTTTAAAATATTTTTCAACTTTAACCCCTAAATGATGGTGCTATGTAAAAATTATCACATCAAGGTGCAAACTTCTAAAAATTGCTAGCAAATCATATGGGGAAAAAAATCAGATGGTAATTGGAATGGGGTAAAGGGTAAGCTGAGGAGTACTTAGACACTTGGAAAGTAGAGCCTCATACCCTGGAAGCCAGGTGGCTTCCCAACAAAGCATGATTATTTTAATCATGCACAGGTTCTTTGAGTTTTATTGTATTTAGAACAAATGATCACGAGTCACTAAAATACAACAATTCCCACATTCCAGCCACAAAGTGCACACTAAAGTTTTGATGCCATTATCTTAAATTATCACTATCCTTCAGTCTGAATTATGTAACAAAAATTAACGGTGCAAGTATTGAAGGTATACCATTCTGAAGCTAAAAAGAACAAATGAAAACCCAATGTACTGGTGTGCCTGGGAGGAAGGAGCACCACGAGCATATAACCGAGTATGTGGTCCTTAACCTAAAACTGCTCAGCATAAGGGGGGTATAATTTAAAAATATTTGAATTGTGTAAAAATGACAAAAATGTTAAACAAATCTCCAACTTATTGGCTTCAGCATTGTGAAACTTATCAAAATATTTTCAGAAATTGATTTTAGACAAAAAATATTGTTGATAAGAACAGCTATTAACTGGAACTGATGGATAATGCAATAATAAAGAGATGCAAGCACCTATCCGACACACAAAAGAGTAGTAATAAGTGTCCACAAAGGGGATATACAACTGGTGCCTTTTTAGCATTGGTGAGTAATACAAAAATAATAAGGCGTATGTATGTTATTATGCTCTATTTTGTTATACATCATATAAATACATTGCCCACTATTTTTATCAGTTACTTTCAACAATGTCCAAACAATTTTTTTTTTTTTAGGTTTTTAGGTTTTCCCCACTTTTCGAATTTGTTGTAACCTTAACATAATGGAGAATGCATACTCCTACCTAACTATGTGAAGACAGAATTAAATTGGTTAACAAATAAATCAGTTACAACTCTCAGAACTTGGGACTTTGATTTTTTTTTTTTTACTATTTTTTCAGATTTCAAACTATTTTCCTTGTTTCTTTAAGTTGTTTTGATGATTAGGGACCAGATTAGGGCTTTTTTACTTGTATACAGTACTGTATACCCTAAATATATCCCCTAAATCATTATAATTATTATAATTATCCCTACATGTATATATTTTTTTTTTTATTTCAACAGTGACTTACAACTTTCACATTCAAGTACGAATGCCAAACTGCTTATTAGAACATACAAGTAAATTCATGAATTAGAACTGCCTTATTGTCGATAACTTCAACTTCACTTGTATCTACAAGTAGAATTTCAACTTATTTCAGTATCCAAATATGTAGATTCTGACAGATTCTCCCCAATTTTACATATAGTGTGCCCAGCTGTGTTATACAATCCCTATAGAATTTATTTTCCATAAACTAAACGTTTGGAGTAATAAATTTTTGTCTAAATTTGCGCATATTTCAAATGCCATATTGACTTTTTTTACAGTAAACTATACTGAAAACTTGTATTCTAAATATATGAAAATGAAATTCATATGCCATTCTGAGAGCATAACACCAAATGAACAGTTGGCGATATATTTTTGCAGCCGATTTCAAAATATGAACTTATCCATATTCAATTTTATAATTATTTTTTATTTTCTTGTTTTTCACGTTAGACTGGTATCATTTACACAAAGTTGGAGCATTTGCCTAATAGATTATGCACACAACATTTGAAAGTTTCAGAAAATTTAAAAAACTGAGCCCAGTGTCACCATATAACGTTTTGCGAAGTTAAAGGATTAGGAACGCAACACTTTCTGATAATGCAAAAAACTTACAAAAATTTTCAGAGAAAATTAGTATGTTGCATGTAGTTTAAATTGTATCGTTCAAGTGGTTTGATCTTGGCAAGAAATGTTATGGCAAGCCACTCCTTGTACCCTGCAGAATTAGGCATTTCCATCGAACCCTTTCATTCTTTGTGGCATTTCTATTTTTTTTTTTTTTTTTTTTTTTTTTTTATTATTCTAGAGTGATGTGATTTTTTCATAATAATGAATAGTGGATATTTGATTACCTAAATTAAGGACCAAAACAGTAAGAAGGAAAGTCCATTTATAAAGTTGCACATGGTAGCATTTGCAAAAATTTAAATATTTTTGCAATTATTTTGTATTTTACTAATGGTACACAATCACTAATTTAAGAATTACCTGTAAACTATTTTGCACATTACATAACATTGCTGAGAAATCAGCATCACCATTGTACAGCAAATTATCTACAGCAGCAGCACCCCACTGTCTCCCTAACTCTTAAGTGGTGAAACTTAATGGTAGCAGGTGGCAACAGAAAATTGATATTTGACCGACGGTGGGAATTATGTCAATTTATGAAATACTGCTCTTGAATATTGACTAATGATTAGGATATAAAACTGTACAGTACTTACGAATTATATTGCTGCTCTGATGTGACAGGTGATGACAGTGTCTTTCCATAACTTTTGAAAGCTGAATAGGGCTGGTGCAATGGTGGAGCATCATTAAGAGGATCTCTTATCTGCCATGGTAGACTATCTGTGCCCATCTCTCCCATGGCTTGTTGTGAAGTGCTCTGAGTAAAGTGAAAGCCACTTGTGATCCCACACTCTGGAATTTCAGTTTCCCTATCACGCGAGAAGTGTTGAAACTTGCCTGAAAGTAAAAGCAGTTAATTCAGCTCTAAACCTAATTGGTATTCCTTTTAATACACAATACATGAGCAATCTAATACAGAATACATTCCTTCTAATACATTAACACTTCAATCTTAGCATAGTCATTTAAAACATGCCCATCAATCTGTACAGTAACATTTAACGGGTCTAATGGTAATACAAACAGGCATCCCCATTTAAAATTGGACTACCTCTTGTATACACCTTTTATCATCTTTAAATCTGTGTCTCATCTCCTTCAATGAATATCTACACCCTGCCATACTCTCTCAATTTTCATAAGCCTACAAGTCTCCTACATGTGTCTTATAAATATAAAAATCTGCCTAAGGTTTATTGTCCCATACAATGCAGCTCAATTATATCCAACTTCTTCCATTCCTAGACATGAACCTCTAATTAGAACTGTGCAATATGTTTACTTTTAAGATGTTACTTTTGCAACTTGTTCTATGCCCCTGTAACCCATTTCTGCTTACCAAAATCTTTCTAAATTTATCCAGTTTGATTCCAATTTGTCATGCTTTAACTTGGGGTGACATTTTTTAAGAGCTTAATTTACATCATCCCATTAGATCCATTCATTCACTTTGAAATCAATTACTCAAACCATGGCATCTCATATGAACAAAAAGCTAAAGGACACAAGATTTAATTACTGACAAGTATGATTCCTATTACCTTATTGGCCTTTCCTTTCTCAAATGTATAATACAGTACAATATATGCAATGTCTTAATCTCTACCAATTAAGAATCTGATACAGTATTGTATTTCAATTTAACCATTGTTTAGCCAATACTGGTATCCAGTAAATATTTTGTTCCCTATGATTACTCAATTATATCAAGGAACAGCTCTGGCGTTATCCTCATATTTCTAGACAAGATAAAATGACAAAAATCACACACTTAAGACCAAGACCTGAAACAGTAATGCCTGTGGACAAAGCAGCAGTTGGGTTAGGGCAGAGCATATTCAAGAATGAAAGAAGTACTCAGATTAATGTATTTTTCAGTGACTCCTGTTGTGTGAACATCACCCACAACAGGATTTGAAGGTGTGAGAAGAATGCAAAATCATATGACATCTATGGAACAGTGAATTTGAAATTTGGGAAAGCTACAGAAATTCTTTCACACTGAAGATTTTGTGTGGAAAATTAGTCAGAACACATGGAATGGTGGTAATTTGTTAAAAAGATTGCAAAAAGAGCGGTAATTTTACCCTAATAAAGTGCATACAAAAGTGAGATGGTGTTACAGAGGTACAACTTTACAAAATGTAGTGTGCAGGTGTACTGACAGTAAATGATTAGTGTAGAGCAATTTGTTAAACTTCTTTAGTGCCACAATAAGGTTATTTCAAAGGGGCCATAGATTATCTGTTGTAATTGACCAGTTGATCTATGCCTATGACAATGGTGCAATCAGCTAATCTCTGCCCGTCCCAGTTGGATATTGGCTGGAGATCATCTCTTGGGATCCAAATATCAACTGTAGATTTGCATATGACACCAGGTTGATTGAGACTTATGCCAGGAAACCATTTGTTCTTATGCTAACCAGTGAGGGGAAGGGTGGTTGGAAAGCTAGGTCCATAGGGTCAGGACCTACAACCCCACAGATTCATCAAGGTAGGGGGTTGTATAGGCTGGAACAGCAAGACATTTAGTATAAACAATGAACAGGGCAGGCCAAAGCATGGGTTGGCCCACAAATCCCCACTTCCTTTAACTTTAAAAAAGTTTAGCTTTAAAAGGAAACCATTGCTAGTCATTTAGGAAGTTAAAATTGCACTATTTATCACTATAGTTTGATGGCTGTGCTAAAGAAAATCCTAGTTTCACACATAACACACATCCATTTAACATTTAAACCAACAAAATAGCTTTTAAGTACCACTGTTTATTTTTGGCGAGCCTTCTTTTTCCAAACTTTTGCCAAAGCTGCAATAGATTTTGTTTCCAAACACGTCTTCACCATCTAACCTCTTCTTGGCCCTGAAAAAAAAATAAAAAATAAAACCTTTTCACACATGTTTGAGGACATACAACCTTAAATCCCAAACTTATCAAAGCAACCAGAAATCCACTTGCAAAGGAAATACTGAACTTCATTTAAATTTTCCAGTTTTAGAATTACTGTATAGCAACTCTAATCTGCAGCATGGCAAAGATACTGATAGTGTAAGCCAAAAAAATGTACAGCTTCATAATGAATGCTGTACATCTAAATAAAGATTCCATTTTTGCTACCAGGTTACCCATCGATAATTCACGTCTGAATCTTTTGATAATCAACTGCTCATAGTAAATTCCATTCACCTATGCTCTAGGAGAGTAACTGTGGACCTCGTGTGAGAGATGAATGGAATGTTTATTTCCACATAAGTGTGGATGACAATTTCCAAAGTAAATATCTGATACGTTCTTTTCAACATTTCTCCATCAGAGTTCTCATTATTAAAAACAATACAGTATTTTTAAATGTTTTAAATGTTCTATTCTAATATACATTTTAAAAGAGTGGTTTGTGACATCCATAAAGCTACTATGAATGCTGTTCTTCGATTTTATTATGTTATGGAAACATTCATCAACTACTTTGAGTACAGCAAGACTTTCCAAAGAATCTCAAGCGAAACCCTCCACTTTTCCAACATTAGTGTTATCTTCTTGAGGTTATCTTGAGATGATTTCGGGGCTTTTAGTGTCCCCGCGGCCCGGTCCTCGACCAGGCCTCCACCCCCAGGAAGCAGCAGGTGACAGCTGACTAACACCCAGGTACCTATTTTACTGCTAGGTAACAGGGGCATAGGGTGAAAGAAACTCTGCCCATTATTTCTCGCCGGCGCCTGGGATCGAACCCAGGATCACAAGTTCCGCGTGCTGTCCGCTCGGCCGACCGGCTCCCTTGTTCAGTTAACATTTTTCACCAATGAAAAACTTTGCATTTATCGAGCTTCATTAGCCTAATCCATAGCCGGATTTAGAGTTTGGACTCTAGCTTTAGTACAGGAGTTACATGGCTAGTCTTGGAAGGCGTAGAGCATTTTGATACTAGTGTTGTTGGACACGGGTGGATGGGGAAAGGGACATATTGCTGGGCACAGGGGAAGAAAAGGGATTCATTGTTGTGCAGGGGGAGGGGGGGGGAAACAGTATTAGTTGTTGGGCAGGGGTGGACAGGGATGCATGCTTGGGCAGAAGGGGAGGGGGGAGGGAAGGGATGCCTTATTGGGCAGATGGGGGGGGGGCGGGTAAAGAGATGCATTGTTTAAGGGATGCGTTGTTGGGTGGGGGGGGGGGGGGGGAAGGGTTGCATTATTGGGTGTTAGGGGGGGGGGGGGAGGGATGCGTTGTTGGTCAGTGGGGGGGGGGGGGGCGGGAGATGGATATGTTGGTGGGCAGTGGGGGGGGGGGGTCAGGGATGCGATCTTGGGTGGGGGGGGGGGAAGAGGGATGCATTCTTGGGCAGGGGGGGGGGGGGGGGGGGAAGGGGGATGCATTCTTGGGCAGGTGGGGGGGGGAAGAGGGATGCATTCTTGGGCGGGTGGAAGGGGGGGGGGGGGGGGAAGAGGGATGCATTCTTGGGCGGGTGGGGGGGGGGGGAAGAGGGATGCATTCTTGGGGGCGGGGGGGAAGGGATGCATTCTTGGGCGGGTGGGGGGGGGAGAAGGATGCATTCTTGGGCGGGTGGGGGGGGAAGGATGGGGGGCGGGGGGGGGAGGGGGATGCATTCTTGGGCGGGGTGGGGGGGGGCAGGGATGCGTTCTTGGGCGGGGTGGGGGGGGGGGGCAGGGATGCGTTCTTGGGCGGGGTGGGGGGGGGCAGGGATGCGTTCTTGGGCGGGGTGGGGGGGGGGGGGGCAGAAGGATGCGTTCTTGGGCGGGGTGGGGGGGGGGCAGGGATGCGTTCTTTGGCAGGGGGGAGGGGGGGGGCCAGGGATGCGTTCTTGGGCGGGGGGGGGGGAAAGGACGCATTCTTGGGGGGGGCAGGGATGCGTTCTTGGGAGGGCGGGGGGGGCAGGGATGCGTTCTTTGGCAGGGGGGAGGGAGGGGGCCAGGGATGCGTTCTTGGGCGGGGAGGGGGAAAGGACGCATTCTTGGGCAGGGATGCGTTATTGGGAGGGCGGGGGGGGGGGGGGGGGGGCAGGGATGCGTTCTTGGGCGGCGGGGGGGGGCAGGGATGCGTTCTTGGGCGGGCGGGGGGGGGGCAGGGATGCGTTCTTGGGCGGGGGGGGGGGGGGGCAGGGATGCGTTCTTGGGCGGGCGGGCGGGGGGGGGGGGGCAGGGATGCGTTCTTGGGCAGGCAGGGATGCGTTCTTGGGCAGGCAGGGATGCGTTCTTGGGCAGGCAGGGATGCGTTCTTGGGCAGGCAGGGATGCGTTCTTGGGCAGGCAGGGATGCGTTCTTGGGCAGGCAGGGATGCGTTCTTGGGCAGGCAGGGATGCGTTCTTGGGCAGGCAGGGATGCGTTCTTGGGCAGGCAGGGATGCGTTCTTGGGCAGGCAGGGATGCGTTCTTGGGCAGGCAGGGATGCGTTCTTGGGCAGGCAGGGATGCGTTCTTGGGCAGGCAGGGATGCGTTCTTGGGCAGGCAGGGATGCGTTCTTGGGCAGGCAGGGATGCGTTCTTGGGCAGGCAGGGATGCGTTCTTGGGCAGGCAGGGATGCGTTCTTGGGCAGGCAGGGATGCGTTCTTGGGCAGGCAGGGATGCGTTCTTGGGCAGGCAGGGATGCGTTCTTGGGCAGGCAGGGATGCGTTCTTGGGCGGGCAGGCGGGCGGGGGGAGGGGCAGGGATGCGTTCTTGGGCGGGCGGGGGGGGGGGCTGGGATGCGTTCTTGGGCGGGTGGTGGAGGGGGGGCAGCGATGCGTTCTTGGGCGGGTGGTGGAGGGGGGGGGGGGAAGGGATGCGTTCTTGGGCGGGTGGTGGAGGGGGGGAAGGGATGCGTTCTTGGGCGGGTGGTGGAGGGGGGGAAGGGATGCGTTCTTGGGCGGGTGGTGGAGGGGGGGAAGGGATGCGTTCTTGGGCGGGTGGTGGAGGGGGGGAAGGGATGCGTTCTTGGGCGGGCGGGGCAGGGATGCGTTCTTGGGCGGGCGGGGCAGGGATGCGTTCTTGGGCGGGCGGGGCAGGGATGCGTTCTTGGGCGGACGGGGGGGGGGGTGGTCAGGGATGCGTTCTTGGGCGGGCGGGGGGGGGCAGGGATGCGTTCTTGGGCGGGCGGGGGGGCAGGGATGCGTTCTTTGGGCAGGAATGCGTTCTTGGGCGGGGGGGGGGGGGGGGGCAGGAATGCGTTCTTGGGCGGGCGGGGGGGGGGCAGGAATGCGTTCTTGGGCGGGCGGGGGGGGGGGGGCAGGAATGCGTTCTTGGGCGGGCGGGGGGAGGGGCAGGGATGCGTTCTTTGGGCAGGAATGCATTCTTGGGCGGGCGGTGGGGGGGGCAGGAATGCGTTCTTGGGCGGGCGGTGGGGGGGGCAGGAATGCGTTCTTGGGCGGGCGGGTGGGGGGGGGGGGGGAAGGGATGCGTTCTTGGGCGGGTGGTGGAGGGGGGGAAGGGATGCGTTCTTGGGCGGGTAATGGAGGGGGGAAGGGATGCGTTCTTGGGCGGGCGGGGGGGGGCAGGAATGCGTTCTTGGGCGGGCGGGGGGAGGGGCAGGGATGCGTTCTTGGGCGGGCGGGGGGGGGGGGCAGGGATGCTTGTTCAGCAGGCACGGGTAGTGGGGGGGGGGGGGAAATACCGAGTGTTGCTGGGGAAAGGGGGGGAAAGGGGGGGGGGAAAGGGTGGGGGAAAGGGTGGGGGAAAGGGTGGGGGAAAGGGTGGGGGAAAGGGTGGGGGAAAGGGTGGGGGAAAGGGTGGGGGAAAGGGTGGGGGGGGAAAGGGTGGGGGAGCCCCCCCCCCCCCCCCGCGTATTACTGGGGGGGAGGGGCCACCAAGTCATGTCAGTAGGGGGTGCGATGGCTACAAAGGTACACTTCCTCCTCACCGCCTGACATACTAGCTACACCAGTATATCTAAACTACCTGCCTGTAACTAGCACAAATATCACCTTAAGAACACGAACATCATAATGAAGGAAACTGTAGCCGGCCTATTGGCCCATTCCAGACACGAGCCGTTTATATCCACCCAAGTTCATTCCTCCCAAGGTAGTTTGTTCTGAGCCCACGTGCATCTTTGTGTGTTAACTGCTCTAACTTGCTCCAATCACATGAATATTGAGCCGTTTCTGAGCTCCTTAAACCACGTGCGCAAAACCTTCAACCACCATTACACGATGGGTTATTTTGTGCAAAACAAATTAACTACAATAATTTCTATGCAAAATGTTTTACCCAGCGGTAGACCTAAACCTTATTCCCACCTGGGGCCAGATTCACGAAGCAGTTACGCCATTACTTACGAACGTGTACATCTTTCCTCAATCTTTGACGGCTTTGGTTACATTTATTAAACAGTTTACAAGCATAAAAACTTCCCAATCAACTATTATTGTTATAAACAGCCTCCTGGTGCTTCGGAGCTCATTAACTGTTTAATAATTGTAAACAAAGCCGCCAAAGATTGAGAAAAGATGTACACGTTCGTAAGTGCTTGCGTAACTGCTTCGTGAATTTGACCCAAGGGAGGCAATTAGTGTACATGCCGTTGCCGCGTACAAGGTGAGAGGAAGGGCGACACCTACCACACATCGGGGAAACATCCTTCTAACATGTCAACAATATCGGCGAGGCGTGATAAAAGGTCAGCAGATGTGAAGAGCAGCAGCAGCACCTCCCCTGGCCCTGCACACTAAACTAAAGCTCCACCTCCTCCCCCGCAACCTGACCCGCCCCACCAGTCACGTCAGGTTGCACAGCCTAAACCAATCACAACCCGCTCCTGCTAACTCCCTAACGTATTCTAGCCAATGAGCGGCCCCGTCTCCCACAACACAGACATGCCACGCCCCCTCACGTCGTTTGCTCCTCAAACTAGCAGTTAGTGCCAGCAATTCACGCA